TGTTTATATTGTGTATAGAAGTAATATGTTGTAACACTGTTGGTTTTCCATAAATAAAATAAAAATAAATAAATTTTGAATAAGTGTAAAAGAGAAGAAATACAATATTTTTTGATAATGTACCCAAATCTTCTTGATGGACGAAGAAAAAATTGTTATGTCAACATCCCTATTGTTAAATTCCTCTTTCTGTGTTCTGTGTTAAATACTATCTATTAGTGGTATAAGTATGGCTGTTTAAAATGTCATTGCCATATTTTGCCTATCTATGCAGCGAGATTCATCGTCCTTGTATTTTGCGGTGTTTGAATGACGTAATGCATATATCTTATGTTTATAAAATCATTTTTTTAGCAAAAAAAACCCCGAATATCAATAAAGCAGAAAATTTAAAACGTTTTTATTTTAAGTCAAATTAATAGTTGGAGTTGGTGCCATGCATGTCTGATAGATTTGAGTTTGCATTTACTACTTGGGTTGGTATGGCACCCACTCCAAATATCAAATTGACTAAAGATAAAAAGGGTTTATGATTTTCTGCTTTTTAGTTATTGAGCGGGTTAAATTTTTTGCTGAGAAGTTTTATTTTTATTATTTTTTGTGGCTTTAATTTTTATAATATACAACTCGGTATCAAATTCTGTGAGTGGACAATCACCCCTGTTTCCCCACCCTTAGGGTAGAATTTTTGTTTCCAAATGTATCTAGGACCAACTTTGAGGTATACCCTAATTACCCTATCCAATAAAAACGGGTGCATGTCGTGCCACACGCAGTGTAGGGTGCCGTAGATATTTTATTGTGCTTTTTTATTTTTTCTTTAAATGTAGTTTTTAATTCAATGTTTTACGCAATATAAATAAGCAATTACTTCATCCAAGTCACTTTTAAATTGTTCTTCTAAGGATTTTTTATTAGGTTAGACATTTTCTAATATCTAAACGACTATTAAGTACTCTTAAAGTGACTGCTCTATCTTAACTGCCATAATTTTCTTTTAAAGTTCATGATAAGGACTAGTTCATGTCGTTTTTCAGATTTTTCAAGCCAATAGTTCAGCTTTTAGAAGGGAATCGATAGAGTGTAGTTACTGGATAAACGATCCATGGTACTGCAGATAATAATTATTGCATATTTTTATTCATACTGGTAAAACATTAAACGATATTTTATTACAATATATACATAATAGCGGATTCTGCACTTAATAAAAAGTAGATATAACATATTTAATTTTAATGCATATCTCAATAAAAAAATAACCACATTACTAAATGCGGAAGGGACTCGATCTGTTATGCGTTCGCATCTGATACGCTGAACATAAATGGATGTATATTGATGTAAAGATAAATGGAACCTTGGAAAACGACAAAGGTTACTCTAGTCAAGATAATGATGGAAGTAAAAGTATGTTTGGGAAAATCTAGGCAGATAAGGTCGCGGGCAGGCAACTTTTAAAAAAGTCACATGAATCCCACTACCCGCCTTCGCTTGTAAATTAATCAGCTGTTTTATATACTGGAAAGCTAATTTGAGGCTGAGAAGATAGTTCCTTCGGATTACGTGTCTATCTCAAGTATAAAATCTACAATTTAAGTTGATCTTACAAACCAAGGATTTCCCACTGCTATTTCGTAGGACTTTCGTACGTACAAAACTTCGTACAAATGAATATTTGAGACAACTTTTTGTCTACTAAAGTCGTATGTCTTATAAAGAGATGTACCTAGTTTTTAATTGCTATCATATTTATGACCTACTTAGCCCTTAAAGAAAGTTCTATATTTTGTAGTATAAGTACTGATATTAATATCACATCAAAATAGTTTTGTTATTCTTACATAAAGCACAATTAATTTGAATTCATTAATTCTACTTATATTATAAACGCGAAAGCTTGCCCATGCAAGCTAAATATCCATATATTTGTTACTCTTTCACGCTAAAACGACTGAACGGATTTGGATAAAATTTTACATATTTATAGTTGATTACCTTTATACTTTTTTTACGGAAAATGTATGGTCCCTGTGGAATTCTCATAAAACTAAATATAACGCAGACAAAGTCGCAGGCCGAAGCTAGTAAGTATTTTATAAAGTTCAATAAAATATTCTTCTAAGTAAGGTCGGTGATACATTCTGGCGTACAAAACGAACAGATAAAATGTAGTGACTCAAACCGTTCGTCAGGATTCAGGAATAACCGACACCTAACTGCTCTCATAAATGTCTAACACCATCAACGATCCCAATATGTTGCTAGTAGGTATTTTGCGAATTAAAATTGTTGAATGCAAAAATTAATTACCTATGCATTATACGTAGATAAATGATTGGTGTGAAATTGTTATTAATAAAAACTTCGATCAACATTTTTTTTATTCATAAATAAAAACAATTCAGCTATCTCTTTCTACTTAATTATACAATGATGTCGATTCTGGCATGATCCTCTAAAGCTAAACTTAAATTTGACAACAGTGTATCTTTGTCATTCACTATACAGAATGAAAAGGACAGACTGATGTTAAATTTAGTTTTAAGTTTAGAGAATCCTGCCAGAATCGACACCAATAACTAGTTAATTAAATGGCTAAAAGCAATACAAACTTTATAAAAAAATTACTACTTATTTTATCTTTTGTTTTGTAACTGACGTAATGTTTGTCAACAATTTAAAAAGCGTCTGAAAATTTTCCCCGACATTTTCTTAGGACTATTCGTATTTTGGTACTTTTTAAAGATTAGAGGCGACGGACAGATCTGTCACTATTTAGTTCATTACTAGTAACTGTATTTTCTTATACTGTTGTAGTTGATTAAAGAATAAGCAAATTATTCTTATTTCTAATATGATTGTAACAGAATTAAAGAACAAGAAACGAGCCGATTTGGCAACGCCATTATCACACTGTTACAAGATCACTAGGTTAAAGTACTCTTATCTACGAACAACACAAATCAAATTATGAGTAAATAATAGTAATGAGTGTTTTGTAATTTTGCTCTCTATGTAACGGTGTTAAGATTGTTTTATTGTTTCGAATCGTACCTATACCTACCTAAGCATCACTTAAGATTATGATGTATGTCTATGAACTTTATGAACTTTAAAATTTTTGCTAGAGAATCTCTTTCTTTTTATCATATTTACAATTTGTTGCTAAACTTCATTGTGCCTAAATTATAACTCAAGCAGTAAATAATAACACGTCATACGATCACGAATAAAATTTAAAATAGAATAAAAATATGATTTAAAATCAGAACATAAAGGACCATGGGGGATTTTGTGTGGAACCCGTCCTCACCCTGCAACAGACACGGAATACGTGTGGATTTGAAAAAATGTTGCAAATACGGGAAAACATATTCCATTTGAAAGATTCAATTGCGTGCGCTGCCCTAAACCGTAAAAGTTACACAAAAATCATGTATGAAGGAATTGTTCTACTTTAAAAGTCCTATAAAATAGTCCACAACAGCAGATGTCTATTTTTAAGGGTAACCCACTATAACGTATTTCCACAAATTAATGCGCGTGAAACCTCAGGGCACTTCTAGTATTTATAAAACCTAAACCCCATATATCTGAAGCATATTGCCATAGTAAGAAATTATCTATCCTACCAGACCCTTCGAATGATACTTGTTTCAAATCTGTTGGGTTACGTTTATTCCCATTGTCCAAAAGTGAGTTTGTTTTTACAGAATAGCACTGCTGCTTTCATGAAATCATTATCATCAGCTTATTAATGTCCCCACTGCTGGGGCACAGGCCTTCCCTATGGATGGAATAGGGAGATTGGGCCATGTCCCACCACGCGGAACCAGTGCGGATTGGTGGGTGCTGACGACTGCAGATGCAGCCGGGACCAACGGCTTAACGTGCCTTCCGAAGCACGGAGGAGCTCCAGATAGTAAATTTTTGGTCACCCATCCAATGACCGATCACTGCGAAAGTTGCTTAACTTCAACGATCACAGCCGAACGCGCTAACCACTTGCGCCATCGAGCTCCTATAAATATGTTTTTTATAATTTCTTGTTCAGTTATGTTTACATATATTTTTTTATATCAGGCGCAACAAATTACCTCACCCGACCTGATGTTGTGCGTATGTGGATTGTGATGTCCAGTCGCGAAGATAGATGATGCGACTTATTGAAGACGTTGCAGCGTTACAAATTGAGAGCAAATAAAGACAAATGCTGATCTAAAATTTATTTATTTGTAGGTTTCTATTATAAATAAAAGACTTGTTCTATGTATAAATATAAAGCTGTTCAATAAAATACTTTTACACTATGGAGAAACAAATTAAACAAGACGCTGTCGACCACCGCCATACCTTATGTATTTTATGGCGGTGTACCGGTAGCTTTTGATTGGACATTGTCGGGCGGAAATATTATATATATTATTATATTTTACGAGAATTTTCCAGCGAAACATCACTAGTTCCAACTCATATTTCTAGATAATGTTGAAGAAATATGGTCACATTTGTTCAACGTTATCTGCATCTAATAGAACCTAAGATTAATGATTTGTCTCATAAGACTAAACATTTATCTATTAAATCAATATTATTTATATCTCTATATAAAAATGAATCCCTATTTGCCTTGGTCATGCCATAACTTGAGAGTGACTTTACCAATTTCATACATTTTTTTTAAAGTTGTCTTTTTATAGTTTGTTCTCATGGGAAAACAATAAGATAGTTGCGAAAAAGTTAACGAGGACGAAGTCGCTTCCTCAGCTAGTTGTTTTAATTTACTGAATTCTAATATTATATGTGTCACTTTGATCAAAGTGCTTTAATGTAAAATCATTTAATGCCTCCTTGTATATCTATTGCGTTGAAACAGTTGACCTGTACATTATTATTGTTGAAAGATATCAAATTTTACCATGTACCAGGCTGGCCACACCTCTATCTGAACGAACAATAAATTACATTTATTAATTGATTATACTTATTTTTTCCAGACGCGACAAACAACGTAATCGATGCAGCGACATCAGCCAGAGACGGCGGTGAAGTGGCAGTTATTGTCAGAGGTCCACACGGAAGAAACATCAAAAGGGAGGAGCTCCTTCATGCATCAGGGGCCGAAGATAGCTCCATCTCACTCTATTACTACAGGAAAACCAATAAGGGTGAGTGAGATAGATAGATACTTACAAAAAACTTAAGCCAATTCATAATATTTTATAGTATTTTCCTGCAATGTTAAAGGTTGCGAGAGCTACAAGGGATACTGATACTGAAAAGAATAGGACGAAAGATAGAGGTGGTTGGCACTTCGGAACTTCAGTTTAAAAAAAATAAAACAATTCAGTATTTAAAAAAAGGGTTTTTTAATATAGATAATTAAAGGCATTTCATTATACCATTAAGAGCTTGATAATATAATCACCTTTATGGAGACCTTTATGGGTTACACAGATTTATTTTCAGAAAGTAATTCAACCATTTAAGGTTTTGGTAAAACGATTCATTTAAATTTTCTTAACTGACTAAAAACTGATGCATGCGTTATAAAACATGGCTCTGACGTTCTTCACACTCTGATTTTTCGCCCACTGCTTGTAGCTGGCTTTTGTCACCCGTTTTAAAGTAGGACAATGGTATTTTAAGGAAGGAATTGCCACATAATACCCCTCCCAGCTACAGCCTTGCTTGCCCCTCCCTAGACTATAGGCTGGCTTACATTACAGCCTAGGCCAAAGGCTGTAATATAAGATTATTTGTTTTATGTATTTTAACTTCGTGATATGGACATTGAACATGAAAGTTATAATGGAGGTTCTGAATTCAATCCTTTTTTCACTGTATTCATTAAAAGTTACATAAATAATTCTCGATATCATGCTTTTCAAACTTTTGACTTCTCGAATTTCAGTTTTTCAGAATAAAATCATATCAAAAGTATTTAATGAGTAATTAATCATTGCCGATATTTTCTCTGAGGCTTTTAATTTTCATGTTTGGGAAAGTTGCCAATTTTATTGATGATAGGGGTTTCCATTCAGGCCATTTAAACTTTTTTGTTTCTTGTGAACGACATATTTAATTTCATGAAAATTATAACGGCCTAATAGTTTTGTGGATGAAAGCGCATTTAGTCAAAAGAAAAAAAACATTCATTAAATTTTAATTCAATTTGTTTTCTCAAGTTATCAAAAGGATTGAAAATTACTACACAAACTTTCTGTTATTATCTGAGTAATATCCGATTATAGTTGCAGGAAAAAGAGAATTGGGTTCCGTTCACTCAGCTTGTCGATCTGAAACCAATTCCGCTACCATCCAATTATCTCTACCAGTGCCGTTAAGTAGGAATATATATGGAATTGAAAGTTCCATATACAATTTCAACCGGTAGCGATACTTGTAAAAAAAAACTCCAAGTATCCCTACCAATGAGGATATGTCGGTAGGGACATATAAAACGGGGGACTCTTTTGATGAGATGCTTATTGTGTTAACTTGTCAATGTTGTTTCAGTTTCCCTGGAGAGTCTCAACGGTGGTAGTTTAAAGTCCGTGTCATGGGGTCTGGGTTCGCACGCCAAGACCACATTGCTTCTCGTGGTGTCCGCTGAAAAAGTCAAGTTATTCGTCGGCTGTCACGCTCTGCACTCACATGCCATGCCGAGCAACCATGACGTGCTCGAAGTGCTGAGCAGTAAACAGATGAAACTTGTAAGTGATTTTCTTTTATCTTTTATAGAATATTTAGCGCATGAAATGTACTCGAAGGCAGCTTTGGAAGGGTAGTAAAAGGGGTTATTAAGAAAAGATACGGAATCACTCCAAGATTTGGTACAATCTAGAATTCGTTGTTACAAATTCATATTGAAAAAGCCTTTTTTAAATACCTGTAAAAGCGATTTCTAGTGTAACAGTATCAACTATCATTTGAACTGTAATTTTTTTAGAACATTGTCGTCCACACGCAAACAACATAGAGATACAAACATAGAGATGAAAAATATCGCGTTGAATTTATACATATAAAATCAAAGTTATCGTAATGAACTAATAAAACGTCTTTTTTGTATTTAGTATCACGAGGAGAATGCACCCGTAGAAGTGTTCCGTGACGAGCAATCCGCATTGAACTCTCTAAGCTGTAACCCTGAAATAAAGCCTCCAACGGTTCTGATCGATGAGTCAGACGTGGAAGAAGTAAAAGAATTCTTACAGAAGGATGCTCGAAGGAAGAGGGAAGAGATGCAAGGAGACGATTACAGGGTCAACTATATAGATTCCGATGTAGATCCAGCACTGCCGACGCCGCCTCCGCGGGGAGACATACCGTCGTCGGTTATAGAAACTTGTGACGGTAGGAACATTATCATTATTTATCATATTTTATTCATGCGTTTATTTTTTTATGAGTAAACTAGTGGCCCGCCCTCGCTTCGCTTCGGTGTAGAGCTAAAATGTACACTACAGTTTTTGTTCTCAGGCTTGTATTATACACAATGACATTCATCTATGATTCTTCTTATACCTGCATGCAAAGTCTCAGCCCGATCGGTTTAAAATTGACAAAGTTTTATACAAACTTTCATTCCCTATTTTATCCCCTTAAGGGTAGAATTGATCAAACTCCTTTCTTAGCGGATGCCTACGTCATAACATGTACCTGCATGCTAAATTTCAGCCCGATCCGTCCAGTGGTTTGGGCTGTGCGTTGATTGATCACTATGTCAGTCAGTCAGTCACATTTGAGTTTTATATATATAGATATTTTGAGTAGAAAAAAACCATGACGTTTTTGGTATCCAGGGGATCAATCACATTAGATTTTATAGTTCAACATTTCTTTAAATTATACCATTATCGCCTAGTGGAAAGTAAATATTCGCATTCACGCTAAGAGTGAGAGTAAAATTTAGGTCAAAAATAAAACTTGCGGTAGTTCGATCCTTTTTTTTAGTAAATCTTACAGTGAACTAATAAATAATATTGAATTTGAAATAAATCACAATACAAAGACTTTATAATACAAAGACAATGCACAAGATTCAAGTTGTGAAAGAAAATGAGATCAAGAATAACTAGAATATTCGGATAAAAAGATAATGGTTTTTGGAACAGTTTACCATGGATTAAATTCTTTGATAGCATAGAGGGGCTTCATGTGGAGAATATGCAAAGTTATCACTTGTTTTATAATTAACCTCTTTTAGTGAACGCGTCCCTACTTTGAGCTGTACTTAATTGAAGTCATCAAGTAGGGACCGTACTATGTAAGCGTTTTAGAAATTTCAAATTTTCCAAGGGGATCTACGCTTAATAGTTGAAGTTTCTAGGGCTACGGTAATTTGAACTTTTAGGGATTGCGATAGCATAGTTTATTATGACCATGGACTTCTTGATGCCGTATAGTTTAAGTAAATAATTAACCGATTTATTTATGCATCATAAAGTGAAAGCGTATCAAGGGACATGATTTTTTCCAAAATTATTGTGTGCCAAACTCACATTTCTAATGATCTTATGCTACGGTCACAGAATCACACTAATATTATAAAGACGAAAGTTTGTACGTGTGTACATACACACACGTACAAAAAAACAAACATTTGTTACTTCTTCAAGTCTAAACGGCTGGAACGTTTTTAAAAAATATGGTATGGAGTTAGCTGTTACCCTGGATTAACACATAGGCTACGTTTTAGTGCGGGAAAATATCCCTAATAAACCGCGGATAACACAGCGGAACACAGCTAGTACATAATACGCCACATAATGTTCGGTCATTTTTAGTCCCCTTACATTTCTATTGTTATTAAAAAATATAGACATTTTTCCAAAAGTATAAACCGACTTCATTAAAACAAAACCAGTAAAAAGTAGGAAATAATACGTATTCTTTACTTACAATATAAAGTACATTTAAAGTCTAATACATATTTGGAATAGGTGCCATGTGCCATGCAGATCTGAGTTACCATTTAGTGGTTTTGTTCTTATGAAGTCGCTTTTTATCTTAGTTAAAAAAGTTTTTTAAAATTACCTATTCCACTCCATTAATTTCCTACGATACGAATTTTTAAACACCCTAAGTACTACACGCAAATACGTGCAAGCTGCACAACGTTTCGCTGTCAATAAAGCCCGTCAAGTGTGCACCATGTTAGCGATAGCGATGCGATGCATATTTTTATTGGGATGAACACTCATGTTATCGCAAACCTGCATGTTATCGCGATAGTCTGGTCAAGATTATGTTTATTCCACACCTGCGCAACGAAGCTAAAGTACTAAAATACGTTAAGCGTTCCAATTTCGAATTAAGTAGGTATACGCTTCTTCAGCTGCACATACAAATTTTTCATAACCTCTTTAAGCGTGTCAAATTATCGCCAGTCAAGCTTTCGTCTAGCGTCTATAGACAGACATGCAGCTCGCTAATTCATTACGACAGAACTGCTTAATCAAAATTTCGAACGCAAGTTTTTTGCGCATTTTAGTACCAAAGCCAACCGAAGCTTTGTCACGCAGGAGTGGGATAAGCTAAAGGCCAAGTCAATATTAAAAAATGCGTCATACCATTCTCTATGCGTACAGTATTCCTTAGAGTTATTTCTTGCGGATGCAGATGGAGTGATTCGCCACCTGCAGACACTGACTTTACGCATCGAGCAGCTACACCGAGTAGTGGCCGACCAGCGGGCCACAATAGAGGCATTACGCGGCCAACTGCGACAGTGCTGCGTGCGACCGCAACCGGAGCGCTGCACCGCCACCACCTGCTACCAGGGTTACTGACCATGACCCCTCACACTGTCCATCCATACACACACAGCATATTGATCATCTGTCAGATTTGATACCAATACATGAATTATAAAACATTGGAGGCATTACGCGGCCAACTGCGACACTGCTGCGCGCGACCACTACCACCTGCTACCAGGGTTACTGACCATGACCCCTCACACTGTCCATCCATACAAACACTGCATATTGATCATCTGTCAGATTTGAAACAAATACATGAATCATAAAACATTGGAGGCATTACGCGGTCAGCTGCGACAGTGCTGCGCGCGACCGCTACCGAAGATCATCTGTCAATTTTGATACCAATAATGAGTTTTTTAATATTGAAGGCGTTACGAGGCCAGCTGCGCACTACCGCCGTTAGCTGCTACCAGGCTGCCAATAACCATATAAACACACGATATCATCACTACCGATAGCCATATAATCACATGATACCCTCCCTTATACCACTTGTATCCATATAAATACATGATATCCTTCCTTCCAGTAATAGCCATAAAACCAATGAATCCCCTTATACTACTACAAGTAGTCATATAAACACAGTCATGATACTCTTATACCACCAATACTTTAAAAACACATGATAAGCTCATACCACCAAATCCCATTTTCACTATTTGTCCCAAAAAGGGACAATATTTGCATACAAATAAATTTATAATTTTTCACATGCACCTTCATCTCTTTAATATACACTTGATTATTCAAATTATTCTTTAAAATTTTATTAACACCTTTTATTCTTTCTTTATTTATAAACTTTGTATACCTATTTTTAATTCTAAGCAAATATAATCTTGTTTCTCTTGTTTTCCTTTGTAATTCTATCTTTGAACGTGAATGTTCATATTGTACTCGCTTTACATTAGTTTTTAAGGTTAATCAAGCAACTATTTGTGGGTTTCTATTAAACTATATTTACGAGAATGCATTCGCGTTTCATTTCTTATCTATCTCTAATACCTCACGGTTGCCTACAGAGTTCCGCGTTAACCCACGCCTTACACGATGAATATGAAAGTCAAGTTGCTTGATCAGCCTTAGCGACTGTTCACTATAGAGCTAAAAATACTGCGACCAAGATTATGATATATACAAAAATGGAATTCCATTTCAAAAAGATCTTGTATTGATAGAACTTCAAAATAAGTAATTTGTCTATGTGTTAATGGTATTATTGAAGATCTTATGATACTGATATTATTGAAGATATTCAGGGTGAACACAGATTTTCATGGTATGGCCAATGGGCAGTATTTCTATAAGGTCTCGGAAATTATATCGACATAGTCAATGCTGTAAAACTAAACTAGTATTTGTTTTGGGTGTTATTGGTCATAGTTTCTGGATTTAAACTTAATAAGCTATTTATTTTATTATAGGAGCAATCTTATATAATGTTTTCCAACATTATTACTTTTGTAGCAATTATTTTGGCTTCATTGTGAACAAGTATTTATTATTATTTATATATCTTGTAATTTATGGCTGCTTAATATTAGCTGATCCTAATGTTTTTAAAATTGTTTAGAGTGGGCGACGGCGCTCTGTAGGCAAATGCTCAATGTATATTTAATCGAGATAATGAATTACAATGGTTAATTTAGACCTTTGTCATTGAGATGTATGAATTAAATATGCATAATTGATTTGTAAATGGAAGTTTTAGTACATTTAAAAATAATATCTTGGCAAGGATAAATTGACTTCCGTCTTATCTTACTATTTCTATTTACTTACTAACTTACTATCAATTTATTTTAATTTAAGTAAACCAGATCTCTTAATTATCTGTACTGGAATCAGGAATTCGAACAAATCTTTCGATTTTCAGAACTATGGATTGAAACAATGTTGAACCACAAAAAAAAGTTAGTCACTGTTTTAATCAATGTTCAGTCAAAATTTATATGACATTTTCTTCTAAAATTCGTGATGAACACCCTATTAACTTGTTGTGGTAAAGACATAATAGTATAATTTATTATTCACTAATTTAGCTGGGTTAAATATGGACTAAAAGTCTATTCAACATACAAATACTTTTAATGTTACTGAGGTTATTTTGTGAATTAAAATTTGTTAAGGAATATCACAGGTTAGGAAAGTACAGTACATTTGATAGACTAGATAGGTGCTGGCAATCTGTACGTAAGGATTCCGAATCACAAATGTGAATATGAAAAGGTATTACGAAATGCTATCGATGTTAGAAAGGCACATACATAAGGTGCCTAGTATAAGTTGCAGCACGAAACTCTAGTGCTGACCGTTATTGCACAGAAGTAAAAATTAGGACGTCTTGGGGGGAAATAAGTGCGCGGGTGGTTCGTTGCGTGCGTTCAATTTATCTTTAAACTCCATTTTATTATCTCATCTCAAGCGCGCGGGAGCATGTTCGGTGCTACGCAAACGAACAGCGCAGCAATTTGCAAGTTATACATAAAATATGGAAATAATTTTAGTACGTAATTAGCTACCATTAACGCGACGCGTGCTCAATACCAGATATAACCATTTTCGTATTTATATTGTATTTCACTACTTTTTATTATTTTACATTTCTGAGTTTAATTATTAACATGAAGCTTCATCAACAGCCTATTAATGTACCCACTGCTGGGTTACAGGCCTTTCCAATGAATGAAATAGGGAGATTGGGCCATGATACACCACGCGGGCCCAGTGCGGATTGGTGGGTGCTAACGACTGCAGGTGCATGGACTTTGGAGTTATTCTTTTCTTACCATTTAAACAAAAGAATCTATCTGGACGCTAACCATCGAGCGGACAGACAAAGCTTTTCAGCGTGCGTTGCGCCGATTGGCTCTCCAGTCGTACCCATGCGCAGCTATCCCCTCCACGTTTTGTTCAGTGCTAGAGTTACGTGCCGCGACCAGTAATAGGGTATTTGACAGTGTTTAAAATAAAGTGCCAATTGTTAGCATCTGTGTTTAGAATGAATATTGGCAGGGGTTTTTACTATTTTTGCAAAAAAAAATATTCATAATTTTACTAAAAACTAACGAGAAAGATAATAGTTTTCTTATCTATTGTCACGTGACCGAAAACGCTTGGGATTGGCGGAGCCTAAAATAACGTCACACGCAAGTAAACTTCCGGATAAAGTGACATTACATTGTATCGTTTGACGTTTTAATAACTGTCGTGTGACGTCACACACTAGTAAGACGCGATATTGTCCAGAGAAACGTTTTCGCGGCAACTTGAAAATGGAGTTTTTGATTTGGTTATTTTTACTGAAATACACAACAGAATGATGAATGTCCACTTCTTACGGACTCTATAAACATTAGTCAATAAAGTGAGATCGTTTTCTAAAATTTGTCAAATACCCTATTACTCCAATCTCCTTACAGGCGTGGAGTGTAGGGACACAGCGTCGGGACCCGAATGCGGCGCCTGCCCGACCGGCACGCTGGGCGACGGCAGGCGGTGCCAACCTGTGCCATGTAGTCGGAAACCTTGCGCCAGAGGTGAGTATCATTATCATTATTCGACAATACGACGCCCACTGATGGGCACAGGGCTCCCCTAAAGATCTCCACGTTGGTCAGTTCTGAGCAGTCCATATCCAGCGGCTACTCGCGGCCTTTAATAGATCGTTATTCCACCTAAGGGCCTACCGCTTATCGGTATTGCTAAGGCTATAGCTATCGTTTATGATTTCTTTTTGTTATTTCTGACCACCGAAGGTTTTCAAATACCTCACGCTTATTTTCTTTAATATTTTTATTACCAATGCAAAGAAAAATAAGGGAAATTTGAAAACTTTCGACGCCGCCGGTCAGAAATAACATAACGAAATCATAAGCTATATCGATAGCAATCCCGATAGGCAGTTGGTCCACTGAACATCATCCGGTGCGCGGTTGCCACTCGAGAGCCTTTCTCCTCGCTGTGTCCCGCTTATTGCCACTTCAGCCGAGCAATCCTTCGAACGATTACTTAAGTTCTCCTATTTCTTCATTTTTGATTCAATCACGCAGTGATATTTTTATTATATATAGTCAGGTAGGCAAATGTCTCTAACCCACCTGATGTTAAGTGGTGATAAAGTCCAAACGCGCAAATAGCTGGTTCAGCAGTTGTAAATACGACAAAGAAATAAGTCACCAAATTTCTTTTTCGTGTAGGAATGTAGGAATAGTGGCCACAGTAAGTCGGTGGCAACGTAGGCCAGCGCGCGTGGTCCTCTGAAGTAAGTACTTAGCGGAACCATCCCAAAGGTGCGAGCAATATTCCACGCAGGATCGCACTTGCGTTTTGTACAACAAGCACAGTTGATCGGGCGTGAAAAAACGCCGCATCTTGTTCAGGACTCCGAGTTTCAGTAGGTCAACGTAGTCCTTTGGATTCAGGTCTTTGCATTCTCCATACCGAGCATGGCGCCTTCAGCTGTACATACTTTATTGTGTTCCACGATCTATTTTCGCGAGTCAAATTATCGCCAATCAAGCGATCGTCGAGCGTCTATAGGAGTGCAGCATCTCATTATGACAGAACTAATTCAAATTTCGAACTCACATTTTAGCGCATTAAGTGGCAAAGCTACTCGAAGCTTTATCGCCTAGGTGTGGGAGAAGCATCAGTGATTCATACTTCTAATTTCGTTTATCAGTAATATGGAAGGTGAATGTTTATTAATTACAGGCGAATACTGCACTGACACCGACCGAGGGTACCGCTGTGACCGCTGTCCCAACGGACAGAGCAGTGACGGGGAGCGATGCACCTCCGCCTGCAGCGCTCACCCTTGCTTCGGAGGACGTACGTAGATTAACCTGAACTTTTTTACTTTCAGTATAGTTACAACAATTTAGTATTATTTTTGATGTGTAACATCTTTCCTCTCGCTTTCCTGCAATTTGTGGGAGTGATTTCGTGAAATTGGACGGAAGTATGTAACAGGAAGTCGCGAAAGCGCGCGCTATTTGATTTGATTTTAGAACATAATGTTCAAATGGCTTATTCCTTTTGTAGTAGGTTTTATTTCTTTTTTTACTAATATAAGGTTAGGTTTCAAATGTTACACATCATACGCGACTACTGTAAGGCTCGCTCGTTTTTTTATTTATGATCATGCTAAGTACGCCCATAGATAAAAAATACCTCATAGTCTAACATATATACAGATCATACTTTTTTTCGGCAAGAAAAGCAGGGGTTTACCTATAACGAGAAAAGCATGGTGAAGTAAAATTATTGATATGAATGGTGCAAACGAAACCAATCAGTTTTATTTGCACCATAAATGGGTTTTTATCATGTCCTAATAGGCTAGTTGACCCTTTTTGGAAAAAGGTTTTAAATGGTTAATAAATGTTCTATTAGACCGAAAAAAAATGTATTGTATTTTTTTTAAACCTAGAAAGCTACAAATCTTTAATTTTAAAATAGACTTTTCATGGACATACAAAAACGCTGTCGGCCATTTTAGTCTATAGATTGTCTATGCTATGACGTGAACTGTGGTAAACAAAAACTCGTAAACACGTAGAAAATTACTTTTAACTGAGTTTATAATAAAAAAAAACATGATTTCTAATAAATACCACGAAAAATAAAGTAATTATCATTACTGTATTGTACGAGAATATAAAAACACATCCTTGAAGACTCCAGGAAAGTTGTGGATTAAAGTGCCGAAAGAAATTAACCTACGCAACTTTATTACACTTATTCATATGTTGTATCAGTTTTATGTTTATTACTACATTGTAATACTAAATGCACGGTACTTACATAGATGCCTTGTCGTTTCTCTGCTCCGCAGAGCAGAAATCGGGGTTTAGTGCAACAAATTCACCAACCATCAATGCGTCAATTCTTGGCAGATTTGTGCTTTCTGCTTTCACAAAGCCGGCATCCATAATTTGTTTAGTCAAAAAAAACTAAGTTTACTGTTTTTTTCCTTTCCTAAAGTTAAAAGTGTTTTAAGATAAATTTAGTCAGACGAAAGAATCCACCTACAGTAACACGCGAATGACATTTAGTTGTTTACCACAAGAGATGTCAAAATCATGGCGAATGTGGCGAACAGCGTTTTTAGTGTTTTAAAATATAGACTAAAAAATATTTTTTTAAATTAAATTTCTACAGCAATCTTCTGCTTTTATGAAGTGAAATCGATATATTAAGGTTTCTTAGACTAAACACTTTAAGAAAAAAACATTTATTTAATACAATTCGACATGAGTAAACTAGCCTATTATACAATTCATACATAATCTAATAATATAAATGTAGGTAATTCCATATAATATTATTTATAAGGTACTTTTGTGTAACTACTGTGTGTTCACATTTGAATTACAAATGTATCGAAGCAAAGCCGCATCTTATTTACTTCTCCATATAGTTCACGCATAAAAGAAATCTGCTCATTCCAATTTACACTTTTTATTTTCCTTCTCTAGTTCAGTTAGGTACGATTCCAAATATTTTTGGAATCAAACCTAACATAACCTTACCTATATCACGACATAATTTAACGCAATATTTATCTTTTCTCAGAGTTGCCACATGCTAACAAGTATAAAAAAAAATTACACAATTGAACTATTAATAAAAAATAGTAGTGAAGGTTTTTTCGTTACGGAATTTCTTGATTCGGTCGCCGCGCTCAAAGCCCGCGATAAAAGCTATTTAAAAGCTTAAAAATCAGAAGTTTCCCAATGAAATTTCTTTGTACCCAGGTGTGACATGTCAAGATTTGCCCGGCGGCGGTTATCAGTGCGGCGCGTGCCCCCCAGGCTACTCCGGCAACGGCGAGCAGTGCTACAAGATCACCTGCAGCCAAATATCGTGTTATCAAGGTAAAATTTATTAAGAGAACTTCGGAATCTATATTGATTTTATATAAATTTGAAGTTCGGGAGCTGATCGTTACAAGCGGCTAGACAGATTCCATTTATTAGTAGTTTCTCCGACTCGGCTTTGTCGTGTAATCTTTCATTATGATTTCAATCACTATTTGACACTTCAAGTTTTATTTTTGCAATAAAAAGTACTAACCTACGTCTTTCTCTGGGGTTCTCATCATCATCATCATCATCATCATCATCATCATCATCATCATCATCATCATCATCCTATAAACGTCCCCACTGCTGGGGCACAGGCCTTCCCTATGGATGGAATAGGGAGATTGGGCCATGACCCAACTCTGCGGGCCCAGTGCGGATTGGTGGATACGACTGCAGTTACAGCCGGCATCAACGGCTTAACGTGCCTTCCGAAGCACATGCTTCTGGGGTTCTAATTATATCAAATGTTAAATTCATTAAAAATTACTTTAATGATTTAGATGTGAATACCATCTAATTCTACTAGTTCAAAACTTCATTATTATGCCATTGACATAGAGTAATACGGCCGATGTCATGGTCATTGAGGAACATTTACTTTAAAGTGTATTAATATGCTTGACCGTGCTCTCATATTTGCATCGAAATATGTTTAGTTCATGCATGCAATTTAGTTTCGTGATTACTCATACACTAATTTGCATTGTATGTAACCTTAAATTTTCAGATTGTCATTTTGCAAAAATGTAATAGCAATATCCACCAATATATGTAGATACGTTTAAAATCAAATTAACATTGCAATGCAAACATTAGCAGAATGTGTCAAGAATGAAGATATTTTATTTAAAGTTTATGTTGCAAACTTTATAATAGCAGGCAGATATGAGTAAGCGGTTGTTTCTCGGCTAAATTAACTTGGCATTAATAATATTACTAGGATGTGTATTTAACTGTCTCCTCCTATCCATTAGCATAATTGGTTGGAATAACAGCGACAGAAGTAAAATCATTTGGTTACTTTCGGAAACTGTTTTAAGGCATTATAGTAATTAATGTGATTGCTACCGTGTACCTTGTTGTTCGATATTCCGATATTTCAGCACTGTTGCAAGCGTCCTAACCACGGAGCTTGTAACAGTGCCGAAACATCGCAGACACAAAAAACAAGGTACGTGGTAGCAATCTCGCTAATAATTTGATAATGTTAGTGACCATGAAAGTTAAAAACAATATGTTTTAAGAGAATAATTTGACCTATAGGTACCTTCAAAATTTTTATTATTTAAAAGTGATACCTGTAAAAGTTTGGCTTGCCTTGTAGCTTAAGATATATACTTGCAGAAATTTGACACATACTTTAGGTATCATAGTGGTCAGTAGATCCATCTGTGTAGCGAATGATGTTATTTCGATATTAAGCCTGATAGGAATATTCAACTCTAGAACGTGGTTCAATTTTGAGTGATGCAATTGGGAATATCAACCCTGAAATTTTCTAGATAAAAAAACTCTTTCCATTTACGTAAGTTATTACAACAAAATTTCTTGGTAATACTCTCGATAATCATTGTTATTGGAAAGCACACATATACGCTATGCGCTCTAAATAAATTTATGTTAGCTCTTAAAAGACTACCGTGTGTAGCTGGAGAAGGAGTTATTATAACTGCTTCCTATAGTTGAACCAGTTTAAGACAAACAAAAATATGTTATTCTATTCTATTCTATTCAATCTTCCTTCTTACCAGGCGTGGAATGTCACGAGACCGCTTCCGGCCCCCGCTGCGGGTCTTGCCCACAAGGCTTCTCCGGGGACGGTGTCCGCTGCCAGCACGTATGCGACTCCCATCGGCCGTGCAATAACCAGCCTTGTAAACAAAAATCCACCAGCCCCTTCTACGAGTGCGAGGGCTGCCCGAGGGGATACGAGTGGAATGGTAAGTCTATTTTCACTATTTTCACTTCTGCCTCCTCTTTATCTCAGCTCTATTCCACTGACCTACAGCAATGTTGTCAAAAATCTTGGAGTTTTCTTTGACTCCACCCTTTCATGGTCACCTCATGTTTCTGAGGTCAGTAGGAAGATATTCGCTGCTGCGGGCTCGTTGCGCCGATGGAAAAACTTGCTACCGGTGAGGACCAAGGTTGAACTTGTGCAATCTCTCTTAATGCCGATTCTGGACTATGCAGATGTTTGTAACGTAGATCTCAAAGAAAATCTACTTGATAAGCTGCAAAGACTTCAAAATCTTTGCATTCGATTTATCTATGGCCTGCGCAAGTTCGACCATGTTTCTGAATTTAGGAGAAAGCTCAAGTGGCTTCCCATTAGGTTGCGTCGTGTAGAGCATCTCCTCTTATTACTTTATAAGGTGTTGTATGACCCTCGCACTCCCACTTACCTCAAGGAACGTTTCCAATTTCTTGGTGCGGACCACGATCGCGTTTTGCGCTCAAAACACGATAATGTGTTAGAGATACCTCTCACCCGCTCTGAATATTATATGGACTCCTTTACAATTAAAGCTGCACAGCTTTGGAACAAGCTTCCGCGAGATCCGCGCTGAGATCCGTCACGCTAAATCATTTAACATTTTTAAAAATATACTACATGATTTTCTTTTACTTAAATCCTAGTCTGCTGTATCTATAAATATATAATATTGCATAATGTATTTATTTGTGTAGGTATATATAGTATACTAGCTGATCCAGCGAACTTCGTACCGCCCTAAAAAAATAGGGGTTGTCTAGCGGACAAAATTGTGAATCTAAACCATTCTCAGATCCCCTTGAACACACACGAAAAATTTCATCAAAATCGGTCCAGTCGTTTAAGAGAAGTTCAGTGACATACACACTCACAGAAGAATTATATATATAAAGATATATTTGTGCAGGTATATGTTATTTATTTGTATATAATCTTTATATATTTGTTTCTTAGGTTTTCACGCACATCACTCATTAAATAAAACTAGTTTTTACGGGTTAATGCACGAAAACTTTATTTATTTATTGACGTTTCGTAGTCTTTACAGGCTACGTCGTCAGAATAAAACTTTTATTTAATTTGTCGAGCTACCTTCGAAAGACTTTTATTGAGTGTTTGGTTATTTCATTCTTCGATTTTTAAGTTTTATTGTCTATGTATGAATTTATTATTTAATTTACTGAATAAAGTATTTTATTTAAAATTCTTGTTTGTAATTTTGAGTTTATTTATTTGACCCTAACTACCGTAAACTACCACCGGTTCCAAAATTGGGAGACCTTCCTGAGAAGAACCGGCGAAACAAACTCAAGAGAGGCTTTCTATCTCCTTCTTATGTTAAATTATGCAAACAAAAAGAACTAATAGTATCTGATGGTCTTGCAGTGTGTGCTCGGGGTTGGGATTTTATCTCCTGTATAATAGGTTCCCAAGCTGGTGGTATATACCAACCATCTTCCCTATTGAAATTTGGATATTTTTTAATCTCAATAGCCTCGCGCATCATTCGAGGAACGAACCGCCGCTCAGCTGCAAGGATCTGTGGTCTATCAAATCTAATGTAGTGGTTTGGTCCCCCTAATGCATGTTCACACACTGCAGATTTATTTTCACGCCTATGTTTCATATCTGCGATATGTTCTTTTACCCGAGTAATCTTTATATGTTTAAGAAAATATGTACATTTCTTTATTTTATCTTGCTGGCATACTGCAAGTTCCTCTTCATTTAGTTATCCTTTACCGCAAAGGTTGTCTGGAAGAGATCGCTTAAAGCGATAAGGCCGCCTTTGCCCACATTATGTTGTTGTTTCCTTATTTTTGTATTCTTTTGTGTGTGTGTGCATTAAAGAATTTATCTATCTATCTTTTTAACTTTAGACAACCAACAAGATAGGTAAGACTATAATCTTAAGATTCCAGGCCTTCACGAGATGAGGACTGGGTTTGGCTGGGCAACGGTTCGAGTAGTATTTTTGGTATGGTAAGAAGCTGTAGGGCCGCTGACCATCAGGCGGGCCATAATGCTCTTCTCCACCCTTCTGACATTAAAAAAAATCTTAGCTCTGGGTAACCAACAACCAGGCGTATAATGTTACGACTACCTCCTGCCATGCAGGCATAAACCCAGCAGCCCCTTCTTCTAGTGCGAGGGTTGCCCAAAGGGATACGAGTGGAATGGTAAGTCTACCGTCTTATCTCTAGGAAACCAACAAGCAGATTTGGAGTGTCACGAGACCACCACCAGCCCCTTTTATGAGTGCGAGAGCTACCCTAGGAGATACGAGTAGAATGGTAAGGCTCTGGTATCTTCTTAGCTCCGGGTAACCAACAAGCAGGGGTAGAATGTCACGAGACTATCTCCCAGCCCTCTATAAGCTCAGGAGCCCCTTCTACGAGTGAGCTGCATTATGAGATACGAGTGGAACGGTAAGTCTATCTTCTTCTCTCTATTTTCCTTTTCAGCATGGATATTTAGCAAATTACGAAAATGTAGTCGTCCACTTAATATCAGGTAGTAAGTAATTTGATGCGCCTCGTTAAAAAAAAAAGACATGAGAACCTAGACTACTTGTTCAATGCTTCCTCCTTTCCTCACTGTCAGGTTACGGCTGCGTGGATATAGACGAATGCGATCTGATCAGACCTTGCGACGATATGGTGTCCTGTCGTAACGAAGACGGCGGTTTCACTTGCGGAGCTTGCCCTCCTGGTTACGAAGGCGGCCAAGGATGGCGCGGGTCAGGCCAGGAGTATCGAAAGGAGACTTGCGTGGATGTCGACGAGTGTACTGAAGGCAGGGCCAACTGTCCTAGAGGAAGATTGTGTGTTAACACTCCGGTAAGATTGCTTTTCTTTGAGAAATATTAGTTCAAAATAATTATTTTCCACAAGCAGCGCCTGTGTAGTGATAGACTTTACTTATTTGTTTAAGATATATGACAAAAAGCATTTGTGCACTTGATCTCTCATATGAAGTCACTAAAAATAACAGGAAATATCGAAATGGTTTCTTACTAAAGTATACAGCAATACAATGAACCCATTTGTAGTATTATCGTGTTTGATTCATCTTTATTAAGTTGGTTAGGAATAGGAATCATGCAAGATGAAGCTGAGAATTAATAATATCAAATTGTTACTTGTAAATTCTTTAAAGTAGACTATATATGATGATGATAAACCTTTTCGTAATACAGTACAAACGAATGTGCAATCAGGAAATCCGAATTATTATCAGGGTTCCTACATCTGCGTGCCGTGCGGTGGCAATTACTACGTGAATACGACGCGACCGTGCTTTGAATACGACGACGCCGAGTCGTTGATACTCCGCTGCGACCCCAATTACTGCAAGCGGTTCAACGCCGTCTGCGGCTACGGATACAAGTGCGTCTGCGCGGTAAGTAGAAAAGTGCGGGCTACGGAATGGATCTGTGCTACGTTCGCGCAGTTACTTGAACCACGACGCGACCATACTTCGACGACGAGTCGTTGATACTCCGCTGCGACCCCAATTACTGCAAGCGGTTCAAGGCCGTCTCCGGCTACGGAAACAAGTGCGTCTGCGCGGTAAGTACAAAACTACTGGAGTGTATGGGCTACGGAAAGGATCTGTGCTACGTTTAAGTCTAAAATGGGCTTACGCTGTATTCATGTTAACATACTTGGAACACGATGCGACCGTGCTTCGACTACGACGACGACGCAGAGTCGTTGATACTGCGCTGCGACTACAATTACTGCAAGCGGGTCAAAGCCGTTTGCGGCTACGGATACAAGTGAATTCGCGCGGTAAGTACAAAACTATGGGAGTGTATGAGCTATGGAGAGGATCTGTGCTATTTTTAAAGTCTCAATGAAAAATTTTGGGAAAATAAATCAATCTATGTTGTAACCAATACACATAGATTGATGACTCAGATCTAGACGCTGAACTGAACTAAAATCGTAAATTACACCATAATAGTAGTTACCATACTATTCAGATTTTACGCAAATATAAAGTGATCTTAGGGACACCATAACACGTTTAGATTAATACCGAATTGAAATAAATGTGAATTTTTCCTTTTATACTCACTTTTATACTCTATATACGGTAGCTTGTCAATAGCTTTTAGTAATGTTTTTTACTATAATTTTTATGTTACAAACCTTTTAACTGCCCCAAGATAATAAATAAAAAATATATTTTCTTAGACGGGTTACGCCGGCAACGGCACAGTTTGCGGACGGGACAGCGATCTCGACGGATACCCGGATCATAAGCTGGCGTGTTCTGAGCCCCGGTGTAACGCTGACAACTGTCCCATGGTGTCCAACTCTGGGCAAGAAGACGCAGATGGAGACGGCCTGGGTGACTCCTGCGACCCTGACGCTGATGGAGATGGAATCCCTAATCATCCGGTGAGTTGAGAAGATGATTGTAGGCTATATTATATAACAGACAAATGTCCCATGGTGTCCAACTCTGGGCAAGAAGACGCAGATGGAGACGGCCTGGGTGACTCCTGCGACCCTGACGCTGATGGAGATGGAATCCCTAATCATCCGGTGAGTTGAGAAGATGATTATAGGCTACATTATATAACAGTCAACTGTCTCATAGTGTCCAACTCTGCCAAGAAAACGACGATGGAGACGGACATAGAGACCCCTGCGACCCTGACGCTGATGCAGATGGAATCCTTAATCATCCGGTGAGTTAAGAAAATTATATTTGAGCTGTAATATATTCCAGACAACTGTCCCATGGTATCTAATTCTGTGCAAGAAGACGCAGATGGAGACGTCCTGGGTGACTCCTGCGGGCCTGACGCTAATGGAGATGGAATCCTTAATAATCCGGTGCCAATGTCATGCCAATATGTATCTAATGATCACTAGTAACGTTGTTATCATTTCACTTCATCTGCAGTTCCCCCACAAACTTCTTAGGAAACTCTTCTCCAATTATCGGCAGAACGCCTTTCTTTGTCGAGCAAGTAGCAGCTTAAATTTCCTATCGAAACAGGTGAATTTAGATTTTTTTAACACTAGCGTGTTGTCGATTAAGCGTATTATTATTACTCGTTTGTTTTGAGGCGATTATAATTAACAAACTAAGTGCGTAATTGTTGTTCTGATAATTATTATAAAAACCATATATAAAAAAAATATATTTTAGTATATTTTTAGATTGGACAGTGCAAATGGGTTCTGTTTAACTTTAAGTAATTTCTAGACGTGAGGACCTGTAATTGGGCCCTTTTTGCCACCATTCATTTCTAGTTTATTAAGATAAGCTGTTGGTCTTCCATGTAACCAAAATAAATAAATTTCTTATACCAGGATAATTGCCCCCTGATCGCGAACGCTGACCAACTAGACAGGGATGAGGATCAGAGCGACAAACGAGGCGATGTGTGCGACAACTGTCCGCGGCGATACAACCCCGAACAACAGGACACCGACAGCGACGGCTTGGGCGACGCCTGCGACCCCGATATGGACAACGATGGTAAGACAACTATCTAACTATATACAGTCCATAACGATGACAACGATGGTGAGTTTATTATAACCGACTTCTAACTGCTCTACGTTTATCAAGGCAGGTATTATAAACATAATCACTTAATACTCTTGTATGTGTAAACATATCTACATTTACCTACACTACCTACACCAATTGTTGGCATCTTGGAAAACGCCTGATAATGGAGAAGACTAAAATGTCGTCACACGATACTAAACTTCCGCTTAAAGCGACGTTAAATTACATTGACAGTCGTGTAACGTCACATACCAGTGCAGTGAGATGCCCCAGATACGTCATAATGTCCAGAGCAACGTTTCCGCGGCAACTTGAAATGGTTTTTTTTACTGGAATACACAACAGAATGATTAATATACTGTAAAATCCAAAGATTCTAAAAATATTTCTAAGCTTATCAGTGTACGTTACAGAACTTAGCTCACTAGTGTGTTCCCCTTAGGCATTGTAAAATTGTAGTAAGTGTAATATATTTTCAGTCATACTTGTACGCTTTGTTTTGTTTCGGATAGTTGATTATTCACCTCAACAGCTGTAGTCAAATCTATTCGCCTGCACTAAATTTATATTATATTTTTGCAAAATGTGTTATTATTACTTTAATGCAGGTGATCACCCCCCCCCCCCCCCAAAGACGTTACTGGTCACGGAAATATAAATACACCCACTTAATATTTTTATTGCGGGTGTAGGTAAACGTAAATAATAATTTTGACTATCGTTGAACTGGGTGTTCAGGAAAAATCCAAATTTGTATTCTAATTATATTCTAATCCCATCAGTATCCTTATCACGAACCATTTTCGAATTCGTAACGTTTGCGAGTACGAAACGCCATTGTCAAATGTATACTGATTTTTATTCCTCGTTACGTACTTTGTGGTGCTGCTGTTCAAGTTTCCATACAAAATTTGACATTGACATTTATCAGTCGCAAACCATTCGAATTCGGTAATGGTTCGTGCTAAGGGTACAGTACCGATAAGTTTAGAATTCTTTACTTTATGGTGCCAGAATTAAGCTCACTATTCTGCTTTCCTTAGGCATCCGCAACGAAGACGACAACTGCCCGCGTGTATACAACCCGCGACAAGAGGACGCCGACGGAGACCGCGTGGGCGACGTATGCGACAACTGCCCGCACTATCGGAACCCTTCGCAAGAAGACGCCGACCGCGACAACGTCGGCGACGCATGCGACAGCGACGTCGACCGCGACCAGTCAGTATCTACCATCTCCTTCTTCTTACTATTGGAACCCCTCGTAAGGCAACGCTGACCGCGACAAAGTGTGCGACGCCGGTGACAGCTACGTCGACCGCGACCAGTCAGTATCTACCATCTTCTTCTTCTTACTATTGGAACCCCTGGTAAGGCAACGCTGACCGCGACAACGTGTGCGACGCCGGCAACAGTGACGTCGACCGCGACCAATCAGTATCTACCATCTTCTTCTTCTTACTATTGGAACCCTTCGTAAGACAACGCTGACCGCGACAACGTCTGCGACGCCGGCGACAGCGACGCCGACCGCGACCAGTCAGTATCTACCATCTTTTTCTTCTTACTATTGGAACCCCTTGTAAGACAACGCTGACCGCGACAACGTCTGCGACGCCGGCGACAGCGACGTCGACCGCGACCAGTCAGTATCTACCATCTTCTTCTTACGATCGAAACCTCTCGTAAGACAACGCTGACCGTGACAACTTCTGCGACGCTGGCGACACCAACGTCGACCGCGACCAGTCAGTATCTACCATCTTCTTTTTCTTACTATTGGAACCCTTCGTAAGACAACGCTGACCGTGACAACGTCTGCGACACCGGCGACAGGGACGTCGTCCGCGACCAGTCAGTATCTACCATCTTCTTCTTCTTACTATTGGAACCCTTCGTAAGATAACGCTGACCGCGACAACGTCTGCAAAGCCGGCGACAGTGACGTCGACCGCGACCAGTCAGTATCTACCATCTTCTTCTTCTTACTATTGGAACCCCTCATAAGACAACGCTGACCGTGACAACTTATGCGACGCCGGCGACAGGGACGTCGACCGCGACCAGTCAGTATCTACCATCTTCTTCTTCTTACTATTGGAACCCTTCGTAAGACATCGCTGACCGCGACAACGTCTGCAAAGCCGGCGATAGTGACGTCGACCGCGACCAGTCAGTATCTTCCATCTTCTTCTTCTAACTATTGGAACCCCTCGTAAGACAACGCTGACCGCGACAACGTCTGCGACACCGGCGACAGCGACTTCGACCGCGACCAGTCAGTATCTACCATCTTCTTCTTCTTACTACGGGCGTTTCTGCACCACACTATCGGAACCTTTCGCAAGACGATGCCGACCGACCAGTCAGTAGTATGTAGAATGTATGTATGTATATTGTGTATAATGGGTAGAAGAGGGAATCCAACTCTAAAGGAAAACAAACGAAAAACAATTAATCAAACCACAAACCTAGTTTTAAGTAGATGACGCATGTGCTTCAGCTTGTATGAAAAGCCGAGCTTATGTGGCATATTTTAATAACACATTAGGTGGCGGAAAAACATGGAACCCTGCCTTCCTTTTCAATTCTAACGTACTTACAGTTTAATTTGATTAGGAAATTTATAAAAATTGCGATTGATGTTCAGTGCCGAGAACGGTGAAGGTCAAATACTGGTCACCCTTTTGTCATGTGTTTGGCAGGCGAAGTACATACAGTACACTTGCGGCATCTATTTCGGTCTAAGTCAGTGAGACCAACAAAGTAGTTAAAAGTAGAACATGAATGAACTGACAAGTTTTGAAAATGTACAAGAGCATAATTTTTTACTTATGTAAATATGGTATTCGTAAAGAAAACTATAGTAACGGATACAATGTTGGACGAGAATAAGTATTACTTTTTTAGCTATAGCTCCAAATGTTACTAAATTTACAGTCAGTTATAGACAGTAAAAGTATATTGACTCAAAAATTTAATGATTTGAGACTTTGATACGTATATAGTTTAAGACCTGGATTGAAACAAGATAGTTTTATCCCGGGAAAATATTTGGATGCTGTGGAATTCTCAAGAAACCAATGTTAACGCGGTTGAACTCGCGGGCAGCCGCTAGTTTATTATATTTCCTTAGATGTCTACCAGTATCATATCAGTTTTATTAATATAAAAAAACTTTAATACCCAAACAGAGATGGAATTCAAGACAGCCTAGACAACTGCCGTTACGTTCCGAACAGTGACCAGTTGGACGTAGATAACGACGGCAAGGGTGATGCGTGCGACGACGATGACGACGGTGATGGAATCGTTGACAGTGAAGATAACTGTCCGATCGTAGCTAACCGAGATCAGAGGGATAGTAACCGTAAGTATTCAGCCACAATTGTAATTACAAGTAAAGGGTGCAAAAAATGGCAAGAATGACGCCGTAGATGATGGTGATGACGGGGATGGAATAATGACAGCGAAAATTACTGTCCGATCGTCACCAGCAGAGATCAGATGGATAGTAACCGTAAGTATTTAGTCACAAATGTAATAACAAGGTTAGGCTGAAAAAATGGTAAAAATGACGCCGGAGACAATGATGATGACGGTGATGGAATCGTTGACAGCGAACATAACTGTCCGATTAGAGCTAACCGAGATCAGTGGGATAGTAACCGTAAGTATTTAGTCACAATTGTAATTCCAAGTTTAGGGTGAAAAAAAAAGGTAAGAATGACGCCGGAGGCGATGATGATGAAGGTGATGGAATCATTGACAGCGAAGATTACTGTCCTTTCGTCGCCAACAGAGATCACAAGGATAGTAACCGTAAGTATACAGCCGCAACTGTAATTATAATCTACTAGGCAATAATAGGCAGGGTAACGATGACGATGATGGAATCATTGACAGCGAAGATAACTGTCCGATCTTCGCCAATAGATATCAGAGAGATAGTATATCGGGAAGTTTTTGGTTTACTCGAGCGCGGTAGAATAACATAAAAGGGGCAACATTGCACCATTTGACTTACGTCCACCATAACTGAGCCTAACGTCTAGGAAAGCAAAAACAAATATCAACAAATTGTTATTTTTTTGCTCGTGTCCAAATCGTCAGTATTTTCAATAAGAGCTACCGGAGGGTTACTACGTTTAACTATGAAATATTCAAGAGTAGCGAAGTGTAGAAACGAATAGAAAAACAAAATGTTCATATTTATTACTTTCGGGAAGTGAACTTCATAAAATTAAAATGATAGAAAAATTTCAATATCTAAACCCACTGATCAAATTCCTAAATATTGACCACGAAACGATATATGAATGATATAATAGTACCTATTTATATAAAAGTACTGATGTAAATTCCTCTTTTCTAAATATTTAGGTGACGGCGTAGGCGACGCTTGCGATAACGACAACGACGGCGACAACGTCATCAACGAGCTCGACAACTGCCCCAACAACTCCCAGATACATCGCACCGATTTCACGTAAATACGACTATTTTTTCCGCTTTACATTACGCGTAAGCGAATATATAGCTACCGCCTTTATTGTTCAACTAAAGTCTGTTATTTTATCGTTATTTTGTTAGTAATAAAAGCATTTTTTTAAGCATTTAACATCTAAAGAAAACTTTACTAGAAAAAATTCTACGCAGACCAGGCAGCAGACGGGACTCGAACCATTCGCTATCCGGGCGAATGCACTGACCATTACGCTACCGCGGCTACTTTTTTTCTAGTTAAAATTTCTTTAGATTTGATAAAATCTAGCAGTTAAATGCTTAAAAAAATCTATATGTCTTCACAGGAAATACATGACAGTACGGTTAGATCCCGAGGGCGAGTCCCAGCAGGACCCCAACTGGGCGGTGAATAACGAGGGCGCGGAGATATTGCAGACCCTCAACTCCGATCCGGGGCTCGCAGTCGGCTTCGAGTCCTTTGGTGGCGTCGACTTCGAAGGCACGCTGTTCGTCGACACGCAGATCGACGATGACTACGTCGGGTTCATATTCGGGCAAGTCATTCATTATCAGACTATAATAGATCTCACAAATGGAGCATTGATCCTTCGAGTTCTTCGGTGGCGTCATCTTCGAGGGCACGCTGTTCGTCGACACGCAGATCGACGATGACTACGTCGGGTTCATATTCGGGCAAGTCCTTCATTATTAGACTATAATAGTTCTCACAACTGGCGCTTTGATCCTTCGAGTCCTTCGGTGGCATCATCTTTGAGGGCACGCTGTTTATAGACACGCAGATCGACGATGACTACGTCAGTTTCATATTCAGGCAAGTCTTTCATCATCAAAATATTAATTAATGTCACAGGATTACCCCATGGATCAAGTTCAAGTTGTTTGTGGACACGCAGATCGAAGATGACTACGTCAGGTTCATATTTGGGCAAGTCCTCATCATCGGTCTACTAAAGTCCCCATAGCGGGCACACAAGTCCTTCGAATCCTTCAGCGGTATCCAGTTTAAGGGCACGCTGTACGTCAACACGTATAACGACGATGATTACGTCGGATTCATATTCGGGCAAGTCATCATCATCATTAGATTAGTTGGCTAGTGCATCCGCCCGGATTGCGGAAGGCACAAGTTCGAATCCTGGCTGATACCTGGACCGAGTAGATATATTACCTAGAAATGTGTCTTATTTGGATTCGTCATCATCAGCCTATTAATGTCCCCACAGCTGGCGCACAGGCCTTCCCTATGAATGGTATAGGGAGAATTGACAATGACTTACACGCGTATCCAATACTGTGATATTGTATGTGTGATTTTAATAAAATTTTGCCTTTACCCTTATCCTGAGAAGAATCAGCGTAATGCGGTAGAAAATATATTTCTATAGGTCTTATCTCCAGCCTTACCGTATTATTTTTGCATGTGTGCCGCCGCAAATTGAGTTGTTTGCTAGGACTTTCAAGCGAAAAAAGACATTCAAGCGATTGATTAAGTATACCTCGCTAGTATGTCTAGTCTCAAAACTTCTTTGATGTAGTTATTTTAAGCAAATTGTTTGCGTTGATAAAATTTAACAACACACTGAGTATCTTTAAAAATTTAGCAAAATGCTGTTGCTAAATTTATTCAATGTTGTGGAGATTTGTTTTAGCCTGTTTTTCTTCATAGCTTAAAGTAGCTGTTCAATATGTGCTAAAAGAAAACATGTAGGGTAGGACGTGTTAAATAAGTTATGTTAAGCATCTAATTTGAATAAAGAATGCTAGACTTTGACTATGAATTTCTTCCACGAACAGTTACCAGAACAATAAGCGGTTCTACGTGGTAATGTGGAAGAAGAATCCGCAGACTTACTGGCAGACGACACCGTTCCGAGCTGTCGCCGAGCCAGGAATACAACTCAAGTTGGTCAACTCCAAGACAGGACCTGGAAAAACATTAAGAAACGCCTTGTGGAACACCGACTCTACTCCAGATCAGGTTTGATACCTATTCTCTGATATAATCGTTCATCTGTTTAATTGATTCCAAATTGTATACAATGCATGAATAAGAAGAAACACTGTCGCTCGGCATAAAACTCAAGCTTTTTAACTCCAAAACAGGCTCGTGGAAATAATATATTCTCTATTACTCGTACATGCCTCTGTACTCTATACGCATCCTCCTTCAAATGTAGACAGACGCTTGTGTTTGAACGATACACGAGTGTTTAGTACTTTTTATCACTCCGAAAAGCGCAACATGCCTATAGTAGTTTACTTCAAAAATTATGAAATTAGCAAATATAATTTGTTTTAAAGTTCGACCGACGTATCTACTTTGAAAAATCCTTCGTTATGCTTGGGATTCAAAAAACGCTCTCGCCTTTGAAATAGTTCTTTGCTCTCTTAGTAAATAATATAATATATGGTCACCAAGCGTAGTATCATAATGCCTCATAAATGAAAAATGAGTGCAAATTAAAAAACATGTATTGTATATTGATGATGACGCAACGTTTTATTTGAAGATTTCATTTTACAGAACAGCGCTGCAGGCAAATTCCCAACAAATTCCTTTGTTTTATCAACGTCAAATATCAACGAATAAACATTCGTCTAAAACAAAGGCAGGTAACAGCGTTGTTCTGTAAGATAACATCCTCGATTACAGCACTGTAATTCCACGTAAAATACTGTACCGCTTTTAACGGTGATTTCATTTTACATGATTTAAAATTATCCTTTTTTGATTGAACTCAACACAGGTATGTAGTAATTTTGTGCCCTATATCGGAAACTTAATATAGTAACTCAAAATTCACTATTTACTCAATTTTACTTTTACGGTCACAATAACCGAGTAAGTTTTATTAAAATTGATGCTGCCACTATGTTTGCGTAAACAATGAAATAAGACAGCAAATCTAATTAAAGTCTGTTTTTTGGCGGTTAGGTACTGATGGGCAACCTAAGCTAGTTCAATCTACACGAAACTAAAATACTAATTGGTGAAGTGAAATATTCTGGTCAATTAATGATGTTATTCTCTTGCGTTCCCTCATTTATAATTCGTTCACGGCGAGAGGAGGCGCTCAGTTCATTAGCATGGTTCAAAGTAAGCAATAAATACTAAATGAACTCCCAAGTATTTGCGAAATTGCGCGCCCTGTGTGGTTCGCTGTTTGTGTTTCATTTGGAATTTTGCCCTTTAGATTCCATAAATAGCAACAAGTTTTCTGCAATACACGTTTTAGTTGCCCATATAATTTTCGGGGAGATCCTTTGGCAATAAAAATATCTTTCAATATCTAAAACATACTTTAAGAACATTTAAAAGATAACAAAATACCTTAGCAGAATATGTTATTAAAGTACTTATGTAAACTTTTAAAGTTTATTATATAACTAGCGGCCCGCCCTCGCTTCTCTTCGGTGTAGAGCTTAAGTGTAGACTACAGTTTTTGTTCTCAGGCTTATATTATACACAATGACATTCATCTATGATTCTTCTTATACCTGCATGCAAATACTCAGCCGGATCGGTTTAAAATTGACAAAGTTTTATACAAACTTTCATTCCCTATTTTATCCTCTTGGGGGTAGAATTGTTCAAAATCCTTTATTAGCGGATGCCTACGTCATAACATCTACCTGCATGCCAAATTTCAGCCCGATCCGTCCAGTGGTTATTTGGGCTGTGCGTTGATAGATCACTATGTCAGTCAGTCACCTTTGAGTTTTATAGATTAGAATTACATAGTGGTGTCAATTCTGACCCGATTCTCTAAACCTAAACTTAAATTTGACAACAATGTATCCTTGTCATTCTCTGTACGGAATGAAAAGGAGAGATTGATGTTAAATTTAGTTTTAAGTTGTTGAGGATCACGCCAGTATTGACACCAGTGTCAACCCAATCTATACGAAAATAATATTAAGTGGTTATTTTTGGGTTTTGTTTATATATCTACTATAATTTATTGTTAGCTTTTAGTATTGTATAAGAAATAAGATTAAAACAGAGCACTATAAATAAAACAATGTGTTAAATCTATTATATCATTTACAGTGATACAGTTGAACCTTTAATTAGCTTTATATTTAAGAACCTATACAGGGTTATTTTAATACAACAACAACCTCTTAGGGGGTGATTCTACCCATCAACAGGAACAACTTTTATGGTCCCATAATTAAAGTTGTTCCTGTTGATGGGTAGAATCACCCCCAAAGAGGTTGTTGGTGTTTTAAAATTAACCCTCTTTAATTCAATACGCACACTCTTAAAAAGAAACATAACAGCATATTTTTTTGTGTGCAGGTAACATTATTATGGAAGGATCCCAGAAACGTTGGATGGCATGAGAAGACCGCTTATCGATGGAGATTACTGCACCGTCCTAAGATCGGTCTCATCCGCCTCAAAATCTATGAGAACACGCGCCTAGTAGCCGACTCTGGGAACGTTTACGATGCCACTATAAAGGGTGGTAGGCTCGGCGTCTTCTGCTTCTCCCAGGAGATGATCATCTGGTCTAACCTTGTCTACCGTTGCAACGGTGAGTACTTCAACTAACACTGCTTCCGTTTTGGCAGTTTCCTTAGTTTTTGTTACAGTTTTATTTGAGTTATGTCTAAGATTTGCATATCTAAAGTTTACTTTATTCGATAAACTTAGTTTATCTAAATTTATCGAGGCGGAATCGGTTTTTTCATTACAGATCTTTTTAATAAATCTGAATTGTTATTGTCCATCGGTATCAGTCTTAAAATCTCTTTTGTTGTTTTATTGCTAATATGAACTTTATGAAATTCAATTAATTGCTAGGACGGTTTTTTAGGAAATGACGGACTAATAATTTAGTTTTTTGTTACAGATAAAATTCCCTCAAATATAGTATCGGAGTTATCACCACGCCTTCTAAAAGAGAAGAAACCAGAAGTTGACCACGAATTTTATTACCAATAGTTAGTATTAAATATGTGCGAGAATGTGAACTCGATCCACTAATTGATGATTCCCAAAACCATATTAAAATATGTTTAGACTTCCTCTACCTTCTGATGGTTCGAAAAATCTGTAAAAACCATGTGACAAAGCGAAAAATATTTTTTCGCCTGCACATAAAACGAAGATTGTTAACGTAATCTTAAGAAAACTATTAATTAAGTGATTTTTTACAAAAGTAGCATTAAAAACATTCATTTTTATTTATTTCGTTTACTTTTTGCCATTTTTTATCCAAACAAACCAACTTCATTGATATAAGTAGACATAAGAAAATATATCAACAGATGTAGTAGATAAGTAATAATGAATGTAGTGCCATACATCTTGATATGTTTCATACAATTTTATGCAGTTTTACAAATTAGGTAATTATTATCGTGTATGGTCGGGAATGGGTACGATTTTGTTATTTGATACTTGGTCCAAGTCAAGGTACCTAATCTTATGCAAGTACACGAAGTATTAAAATTCAGATACAGTAAAACAATTAACAACTTATAACTTAGTATAAGTACAGATGAATTCAGAGGTAAACGCCGTAAGGCCGTATACAGAAAGGAAGCTAGTAGCCTACCTGCACTTATAGGAACCGGCTCGCGCAGGTAGCCGGTGCAGGCATTTCTATGACCAGCGCCGATAAGCGCCGAAATTCGCCGACAAGTTCCGACAATCTTCGACATGCGCTGGTCAGCCCTGTCACCACTCTTTGAAATTAATAAACGCTTCAATCTGCTTCCTATATGTAACTGTTACCAGTAGTAGTAGAAAGAAAGCTGGAAACCGTATACACGTAGAAAGCTGGCTACCGGTATCGATCTACCAGGTCTTATGAGAACCGGTCCGCGTAGGTAGTCGGCGTAGGCAGTTTCTATACTTTGTGCCGTACCAGCGCGGATAAGCGCCGAACGTCGCCGACAAGTTCCGACTTGCTCCGATAAGCACTGGTAGATTTTTTCTGGGAGGACAGGTTGTTGATGCCAATTAAGTACACAATTTTTATCGATAAGTTCTACTTTATTCAGAATATTATTATAGTTATGTTTTGGAGTCACTCTTATATGTTTATATAATCTTTGTTCGTCTACTTTCGTTTCTTGGAATAAATGACAATATTTTCCGAATTTTTTTTTTATTTATTTATGAACTGTATCTAGGTGCACTTTGTTTTTGCATTTTGAGAAACACATTTTCTAACAGAATTATATCTTCGTCTGATGATCACGACATTTTGCACGTCAGAGAGACTGCCAGACAGCTTCTGCTTCTACTCGACTCCTTTATGTAGAGGTTATCTGAACGGACCTGTACCGATTTGGTACCGATAGGCACTGGTAGATCGACGCTGGTATCCAAATTTCTACCTGTATACGGCCTTAAACGAAGAGCATTAACAAAGATGAAAGAAAACTATGAAAAACTATGACACTGACATCATTTTCAGATTTTCGTCATGCTATTATTGTCGAATTTGTACAATAATATTTACTTGACTTTTTATTATTTATTTTAAAGACACAACCAGCAAATATATAATACACTGTTTCACAAGCCGATGAGTTTCAATTGAAATAAACATGGACAAGTTACAAACTGATGCCAGGGTCAATGACACTGCAGAATCGCCTATACAGGAAAGTGCCTCTTCAAACGGTAACGTTCAACAGAACATTCTGGGCATCCTCGGTATTCCCACGTCATCTAACAGCAAACAAGAAATAGATGAGCCTGAAACTAATCTTCTTAACAAAGGGGACATAGCAATGCAGAGAATTCCAAAAGATGGTAACCCACAGGCAACAACAAGTGCAGTTGGTGTGCAAGGACGTAAGCCACGAGTGCGTTCCATACCAGTATTGCGGCAAATTTTGCCTCGAAAATCTAAAGACAAAGCGAAACAATTTCTGAAAGTGGTCGCAAAGGGTATCATTATACCCAGGGGGGTGATTGTAGAGCAAAGGAGGAGACGGAGGCCAGTCCGAAGGCCTCTATCGCCGAGAATACAAGTAAAGAAAAGAAGGGTATCTAAAAAGTCTGTACAGACTGTATGGACGAGACAACGGAAGTACAACTCTTCTGATTCGTTGCACGGCAACGGATGTTCGGTCTGCGGTCCTTGCAGTTGCAGTGAACTCTACTACTGACTATATAGGTTGACGAGCTGGTTTTGTTAGTAAATTTTACATGTATTTTCGGTTAATTTTTAATAATACCTTGTTTTAATTTTTATTAAACTTTTTATTTTACTTTTTTCCCAATGTAAGTTTCTTTGACTGCATGAAGGTTCTCATTTTGTTGCGACAGCATGATTTCTTGACATAATCATCATCAGCCTATTAATGTCCCCACTGCTGGGGCACAGGCCTTCCCTATGGTTGGAATAGGGAGATTGGGCCATGACCCACCGCGCGGGCCAAGTGCAGATTGGTGGGTGCTAACGACTGCAGATGCAGCCGGGACCAACGGCTTGACGTGCCTTCCGAAGCACGGAGGAGCTCGAGATAGTAAATTTTTGGTCACCCATCCAATGACCGACCACTGCGAAAGTTGCCTCACGCATCGCAGCCGAACACGCTAACCACTTGCGCCATCGAGCTCCTCACTCACTTCTTGTCATAATGTAAGTATGTAAGTGCATGGGGTGCAATCAATATTTTTGGTATGAATAAATAAAACTGAACTGATTTCCTTAGCATTTTATCACTATGGATTTGGATATAATGAGTGTATAATTGTCTATATAGATAAAACTAGTTTTTTCGGGTTAATGCACGAAACTTTATTTATTTATTGACGTTTCGCAGCCTTTTCAGGTCTGCATCGTCAGAATAATGATTTTTTATTAAAAATTGTCGAGCTACCTTGTTGGTACCAAAACTAGTTTTATTTAATGAGTGATGTGCGTGAAAACCTAAGAAACAAATATGTCTATATAGATGTTGATCCTGGTATGTCATAAAGCATCTAATACCCGTGAATCGGTAGACCTATTTTGTTATTAATCCAGAGTTTAATTTCAGTACCTACCTACAGTAAAATAAATCCATTAACAACAATTTTAATTTGCAAATCAACTCAATCGTAAATCCAAGCTTTTAATATTCTAGAAAGATGTATACAAAAGCGAATAACTCGCAGTAAGCCTCTAAATGCTTAATTTTGCAAAACACAGCGATCCCTAAAAGATCTTTTTTTACGCGTGGATGCATTACTTTATGGTAGAGCGAGTTTGGTTTTATAAAATTATTCCAGTAGCCGCCCCGCGTCATTGTAAGTCGAGAATTTAATTTGTAGGCGAGTGCCTTAAGCTAGCTTATATCTGATAGCCTACGACCGACGGATGTCCTATCGCTTAGATCACGTAGAAGTGGTTAATTGAAAATGATACAGAAGATCTGTATGCAAGCTTCTAGAAACTCTTTTATAAGCATTTTGTATGTTATTTTTTTTTTATTCTAAAGTAGCTATTAGAACAAATATTCATGTGCTTTTATGAAACAGCGATGCAAGTGAAACTTTTAATATCGTTATAAAAATGTCCTTTTTCTGCTGGGAATCGATCCCGGGCCGCCCGCGTGCGTAGCAGGCAATCTCTCTAACATTGATCCACAATGCTTGTGGATAAACTCTGATTTTCTTAATAAATATTAAAAATGTAATGCGACGTGCTAAACAAGACCGAAAAAATTTATGACTATGTAATTAAAATTTCACTATAAAAAAGACGAATGATATCGGTAAAGTCATTCTCATGTTGTAATGTATTTTTTTAAACACCAATTGGCCTAGCCCCAAAGTGAACACTGTCTTGTGTTATGGGATATTAGGGAAACGGATAGGATACATATATAAGTATATTTATATAGAAATACATATTAAACATTCTTGACTGGAGTACAAATGCTCGTTGCATCACACAAACATCTGCCCCCACCGGGATTCGAACCGGGGACCTCTCGAGTGAAACCCACGAGCGACACCATGAAACCCGGCGTACAAACCATTCGGCCACTGAGGTCGTCGGCTTAGAAAATTAGGTATAAGTATGTTTTTCTCCCAAGTAACGAACTATTAATCCTAACCTTTACCGTTAGATAAAACTACAACCACCCACAAAACTACTGGAATTGGTAAATCTGAAGTAAAATTTTACTATAAAAATGTCTTTACATCTTTTAATATATAAAATTCTCGTGTCACGGTGTGCGTAATTGAACTACTCCGAAACTGCTCGACTGATTTTCGTGAAATTTTATATTCATATTCAGTAGGTCCGAGAATCGGACAACATCTATTTTTCATCCCCCTAAATGTTAAGGGTGGTCCACCCGTAATTTTCTTTTTGGACAGAATTTTTTGTTTTTATTTTTTTATGATACATCATACAAAAACCCTTACCCTAAATTTTTACTCTTCTACCAACCCCTATTTTTCATGGCGGTACGAAGTTCGCTGGGACAGCTAATATTTATATATACTTACTACCCGAGTTAAAAAAGTATTAAAACCCCCTACAAACTTAATAAAAAGTGTGTTTGTGAATCTGGTTGACTTTATGATGCCATTGGTGTCGATTCTGTCAGGATTCTCTAAACTTAAAACTAAATTTAACATCAGTCTCTCCTTTTCATTCTGTATAGAGAATGACAAGGATACACTGTTGTCAAATTTAAGTTTAGGTTTAGAGAATCATGTCAGAATCGACACCAATGTCCTGTTTTGAGTCAATAAAAAATGCATCAACGTAGCAATAAACCATTAAGTATGAACGTTCTCAATATACCTAAAATTAATAGCGTGTTTTTATGTTTCGACTTTATGGATATTTTAATTATATTTTGATTTGTCTAAGTTTTTAACAATAAAACAATGATTTAAATAAGTAATGAATAATATCTCGCACCTAAAAATATGGCTTTAACAAATTGCTTGCTAAATAAATACCTAAATTGTTCTAATCGGCAATCCGCATTTAAATTATGCAAAGCATTATTTGAGTTCAATAATGTTCGGGCTATTTCGTTCGCCTAAATTGTTTTCCGAAGAAACCGATCCAATGTTTGTTTTTCATTATCCGGCCTCGGGGGAATTAATCCCTTAATGTTAAGCATCCACCGCTGTGACCTACATTTAAAAATAAAACACTTTTTTCAAAGGATTTTTAAGATTCCTCTAATCTGCCTGTTCCATTTATCAATACAAAGTCTATACTTGAATGGAAAAAACAATATATTTTCATTATATTTGTTTCTTAGGTTTTCACGTACATCACTCATTAAATATAACAATTTTAACGGGTTACATGTACACACTGAATTTATTTATTTATTGTCGTTTCGCATCCTCTGCAGGAATTCGTCGTCAGAATAATGATATTTTTATTTGCTTTTTTTTTCTTCCGGTGAAATATCCGAACGCTCAATAAAAGTCTTTCGAAGTTAGCCCGACAAAGCAAATAAAAAAATCATTTAATGACGACGCATTCCTGCAAAGGATGAGAAACGTCAATCTATCTATACTTATAATAAATCTGTAGAGATGTCAGTTCTGTACATGAAATATATTTTTAAAATAACTATCAGGGGGTGATTAGTGATCGATACTGATGCCAAAAATGCAATCAGTAAATTTTTTGTCTGTCTGTCTGTCTGTGTGTATGTTCCTTATAGAAACAAAAACTACTCGACGGATTTTAACCAAACTTGGTACTATTATTCTTCATACTCCTGGGCAGGTTATAGTATACTTTTCATCACGCTAGAATCAATAGGAGCAGAGTAGTGAAGGGAAATGTTGGGAAAACGGGAGAAGTTACTCCATTTTTTAAGCTTCCGTCGCGTGTGCAGCCTTAATGATTCAAGTTACATAGAAATCATGTATGACGAAAATATTCTACATAAAATTGTCTAAAAAATATCCTGCAACAGCATATGTCTATCTTTTATGGTTGACTCACAGTAACACGTGTAACTCCCGATAGCTTAGCAATTCGGAGCATTCTGATCATATTTGTTTACTCTTACGTTTATAATACTCTGACTCATCCCTAATTTAAAAAAGTTAACATTATTACCTATTCAATAAAAACAAAACATAGAAATCGGTATAGAAACACCAAACTTATACATGAAATAAGCCATCGCGCCGTCGCACGTGAATACTGAATCATGCTATAAGGATTATTTTTGTGTAACGGTTGCCGCGCTCGACACGGGTCGCAGCGGTGCGGTAGGGTATCAAAAGGCGGGAGGTCCGAGAGCGAGCTGTCTAAATCTGTTTTCTGCGTCGCTCCCCCCTGGGGGCGATCGCTTCCGATGAAGCCTTAGAGGCCTTCCCGGCCAGAGGCAGCCCCTACGGGCGTTTTTTAGTCAGTACGAGTCTGACATAACCTTGCAGCCGGCTGTAGGGTATCCATGAGGATTTCTCACCTCGCCTGGGAGGAAACAAAAAAAATGAAAAAAAGAGAGCGAGCGAGCTTCAATATTTGGCTGTTGATGCGTTCAGAGCGTTCGACCTTATTGACAGACAATAATTGAGAAATATTGAGAAACCGTGCTTATCAGCGCGACTTTTAGTCTTTAAATAGTTTATTTGAATTTCTTTTGTTGTTATTTTGTAAAATAGGTATTAGTTGTTTTGGTAATGTTTAAATATTCGTTCAAATTAAAATTATTAAGCGTAGGTACTTTTATTAATTAAAGTATTTATTTTTAAGTGAAGTAGGTATAGGTAGATAGTATTGCACAGGCGTTTCAGCTTTATTTTCATTTCTTTTTTGTTGTGAGTTGTATATATTTCTGGTTATAATTCTATAAGAATATTTTAGTTTAAATAGTCACTTAGATTTTAAGTGTAAGGTAGCTAAAGTTAGGACCACGTATTAGTTGTTTTGGTAGTGTTTAAATATTCGTTCAAAGTGTAATTTAATCATATGGGATGAATGTACGATGGCCCATCGAAAAGGAGTAGAAGCGGTAGACAGAACTTTAAGGGATATAAGACAAAATGATCGTCCAATGGGCGGTATCACAGTTTTATTTTGTGGTGATTTCCGACAAACCTTACCGGTAATCCACGGGGAACCCGAGCTGATGAGGTTAGGGCTTGCCTGAAAAGCTCTTATTTGTGGCGTGATATACAATCGGTGCATTTGACTATAAACATGCGAGTGAGAACTGTAGATAACCCGGATGATCGTGAATTTTCTGATATATTATTAAAGAAAATACCTTCACCAAAGATACCTATCCACTGCTACACCAAGGAAAACTTATTCTGACGCCTGAGTTATGCTGTATAGTGCAATCCCAACAACATCTTACATCGTCAGTTTACGGTGACGTAACAAATATATTAAATAAGGACAAATCTTGGCTATGCGAAAGATCCATTTTAACTCCTCGCAATGACCAGGCATCTGAGATTAATAATAAAATACTGTCGAATATCCAGGGGGAAAGCAAAGTTTATAGTTCAATAAATAGAATGGCCGATGAACAAGAAACCACTAATTACCCGATAGAATTTTTAAATTCTTTAAATATGCCCGGACTTCCTTCTCATGAAAGTTTAAAAATTGGCATTCCGATTATTCTGCTCTGAAATTTAAGACCACCACAACTTAAGACCATCACAACTTTGCAATGGAACTCGGCTTGAAGTAAGCCAGTTGCAACAAAATATAATCGAGGCTCAAATTTTAACAGGTTGCGGTGCAGGAGAAACCATCTTTATTCCCAGAATTCCCATAATACCAAATAATTTTCCATTCCAATTTAAAAGAACGCAATTCCCAGTATCGGTGTGTTATGCAATGACAATAAATAAGGCTCAAGGGCAGACTTTTCGTGTTGCTGGAGTAGATCTCGGTGTCAGTTGTTTTTGACATGGTCAGTTATGTCGCTCTTTCCCGTGTTAGGAGTCCTAGAAATTTTTATGTTCACGTGCCGGACGGGTCAACTTTCAACGTAGTTTACCCGGAAGCTTTGCGCTGAAGTATTTTCATTCTATATGTACTTAAGCCTCATGTGAAAGCGATCTAAACAATATTATCAATACATTAACATAATAACATACAAGGAGTTACACGCTGATGGTCTCGGGGCACAGTGATAATAATAATATTCTGCGGTTCCTTATTGCGATATTTTTAACAGTATTGTGGATTGACATATTATATTTCCCTACTAAAATACGAAAGTTAATCTGTCTGTCACATCAAAACCACGGAACCCTGAGGAAGGACATATGCTACTTTTTTACGAAAATCGACGAAAACGCGGACGAAGTCGCGGGCAAAAGCTAGTAAATAAATAAATTCAGTACATCTTTCCCGTTAAAATTCCATTTTTTATTTTATTTCCATAATACCTATTATATATAATAATAAATACCTAAGTATAAGGTTCACATAAATTCAATCAATCATGAATTTTCAAAATATTTAAATTACAGAGAACATCTGTATCACCAACCCGTGATAATTGTTTCTTCCTTAACGGATCGTCGTGTTGAGAGAGATCAAGTCTTTCTTCATAAAATTATGAACAATCTCATTGACTCTCCATTCCTTTTGAATAGCATTGGTTTAAGATGCCCTCGGGCAGGCTCCCGTTTAAAAAGTTTATTTAGTTTGCCTATAATTAACACCAAATATACTGCTAATACTTTTGTGATAAGGTCTTGTACTGATTATAACACATAGGTTCATATCAATATTTTATTTATATATTTAACTGTTCACTCAAAAATTGGAAAAAATATATACACGATATGATATGTAGATACCTAGTTCATAATTATTAATTGTAACCAACAAAACTTGTTTATTTTTATTGGTAAAATTATGAACGTTTTTTTTCTATCTTAATTTTAACTACCTGAACTCCTTTATATGTTTTATATTATAGTGGAAATATGTTTTGTTAATTAGATCTAGGTATAAGTATTAATTCATTGTTTGTTTAACAAATAAAGATAAAATAAAAAATGGATATAGGTACTAATGTTTGGTGTAACGGTGGGGAATGCGAGTAATATTAATTAGTGTTTAGCATTTTTTTCTGGGTTCGTCGCAACAAAATAGCTTTGTGATATTACCAATTAATATTGTTAATTACAACTTACCTGTTCAATATAGGCACTTTTAATTAATACAAACATCATTTAATAAATATTTGATGTTTACTAAAACTTAAATGAGTAGATGAGTACGAATTGTATAATACTGTATTCTCGTGTAGGCTTTTAAGTAGGTACTTACGCAGCGAAATAATTATCATTAAACAAATTTTTACCTAATTACATCAAAAACTTCCCCTAATCCTTATCCTCAAAACATTTCTTAAATGCAGTTGGAACCAAAGAGAGCGGCTATCGCAGCCGCCTTAAATTTTCCCATTATTTCCTTTTGGTTGCTCAAAAGATAGACTGAAGTGGTTTACTTACTGACTCTGCTAAAATTGCAGAACAAACAAAAATTCTTTAATTTTAACAGGAAATACAGACGATAATTCCTTTAGGTGTTTATTACATTATAACATTTAATTTGAATTTTCTTAACAAGGCTTTTAAAATCACAATTATTTATGCATTGAAAATACACGAACCTTAATTTGAGTTGGTTAAATTGGAATAAAAGCCCTTTTGAATAGTCCTTAATTATTTTCTTACAACTAGCTCAGAAAATCTTTTAACTGACAAAAGAATGAGAGATCTATCTATATATATAAAACTCAAAGGTGACTGACTGACACAGTGATCTATCAACGCACAGCCCAAACCACTGGACGGATCGGGCTAAAATTTGGCATGCAGGTAGATGTTATGACGTAGGCATCCGCTAAGAAAGGTTTTTGATCAATTCTACCCCCAAGGGGATAAAATAGGGAATGAAAGTTTGTATGAAACTTTGTCAATTTTAAACCGATCGGGCTGAAACTTTGCATGCAGGTATAAGAAGGTTCATAGATGAATGTCATTGTGTCTAATACAAGCCTGAGAACAAAAACTGTAGTCTACACTTCAGCTCGGTGTAGAGCCGCTAGTTCTCAAAAAACGTAGCAGTAACATTTGCATAAAACTTAATATGCCGTTACCAATGCAATGTTATTTACATTCAAAATCACTACAAGTACCTAATGTTTAGCATGCAGCTCTGTTGGAATGTTTTTGAAGTCATATGCGTTATTTCACTATGTGATTTCATAAGCAGTGTTATGTATCAGGAAAACACTCGTCGAAATAGCTAAAAGAATTTCAGACGAGTAAAGAAAACTTTCTGTAAGTGCTGTTTAAAGCAGCATAAACGACATTTAATTTTATTAAGTTCATAAGTACAAACAAGGGCGTATTTACAAATCTGGCGCTCTGAGCCATTTACGATTTAGTGAATTCCCTCAAGAATTAGTAAATCCAATCAGAGTTTGGGTGAGTAAAGAATGTCTTTAAATATAACTTCTGCAGCCCCTGGCAGTCTTCTGTCCTGAGCTATGGTCGTTTTTGTCCCTAGGGTTGTAAAATAAAGATTTATCGAGAGCAAGACTAAAGCCATGCATGAGCAACAATACGCACACACAATAGATTTATCTACCTTCTAACTTACTCGAATAAATACCATGAAACGCTTATGGCAATTAATCATGATAACGAAATACGTATAAAAGGTAGCTAAGACATTAACCTACTTACTGGTTTCTTGATTTCCTTACTCTGACGATGAAAACGAGATTGTACAGTATGTATAATAATTACAAATTTTCCTTTGAAGCGCAAATAAGGTATTATGTAGCCGTAATGAGACGGGAGTAAGTACTTATTATCGAAATTTTCTTGTTCTGGAAAATACTGTTTTATTAAAGCATCCAGTTTTATCGATACAACGCCGGTGGGGTTTGTTTACTGGCTGCGAATGCCTTTAATCAATGTATATTTTCAGTAATTTAAAAGCAACTTAACCTAATCTACCCCAAATATATCACCTTTATTCCCACTAGTTTTGTAGGACAGCTCTGTTGACCGAACTAATGAGTTTTTTCCCAGTAGTTCAGTTCAACAAAACTGTCCAACAAAACAAGTGGGAATAATGGATATACATATAATAGAATATTCTTAAAGAAAAAAAAACATTAAAGCAACACAAAAGTTTCCTTTATTCCCATTAGTTCCATGTATCTACCATAGTTAACTACTGGAACCTTAAGAAAAATATTTTGTACCATTACAATTTTCATTCGTTATGTTGGGTTGGTAGTTCTTGATGATTATTTGATTATCCTCAAAAGAATATACATATTATAATAGAATATTCTTAAAGAAAAGAAAAATCATTAAAGCAACACAAAATTTTCCTTTACTCCCAGAAGTTCCATGTACGAGTATCTACCATAGTTCGTACTGAAACCTAAAACAAAATTTGTACCACTACATTTTTCAGTGTTGGGTTAGTAGTTCTTGATGATTATTTCATTATCCTCAAAAGGAATTCCTACGAGAAATATGACCAGAATAACAAATGTTTCTGGTATGTTGACTATAATCTAAAATAACTTACAACGTCGGCCTCGTTCCCTTGGGTTTAATTGACATGCATTTTTAAAACAGTGGAAATAATATTTGGAAATTCTAATCATTAGATGGGAATCAAATAAGTGGTCAAAGTGAAAACGAAAGGATATTATCACAAATATATTTTATTGTTTTATTGTACATATGTTTACATAACACAGACGAAGTAGAACTATCACTCTGGAAAATAGATGAATCAAATCTAGACATAAGTTTCCCAATAAGGGCAATTCAATAGGTAAATATAATTAAAATATTGTGCTATAAGTCGAAAGATGATTCGAAGATATATTTTTAATAATGATACATATGTTGTGCTTAAGGAGCATCTTTGATATGAATGAAACGAGAGGTCTAAAATTTTCTATTGTATCTATAGCAGCAATGCAAGAGGGTCATTACTGCTTCTAAGCAACTGTCACAAGTATAAGGTAGTGGCACCAGTGATCGACAAAGAAATAATGACCGAGAAAGAACCAATGATCGTTATTTCCTTCCGTGACAATGAAAACAAAAACAAGCAACTGATCTCTAAAAATGGTAATACTGAGCGAGCTATAGACGCACGGTGTTACCACATTTATTAATCGGTCACCTATTACTTTCATTTATCACAGAAAAAACTTCGATTATTGGTTCCTGCCATGGCGCTCATTGGTGCCACTACCTTACTCAAAGACATCAATTAAATTTATTGTTTGTAAAAGTGATGGGTTATCTTATTCTTTTGCTATCGCAAAGAATTAGACAGCATCAATTTAAATCAAACTAATTGGAGCCTCTGAGTGCCTCCATTAGTTATTTAATTTTATAATGCTTCATGTTTATTTCAAATATCAAGTTCAAAAATCATTATCGATCGTCGATATATACGATTACTTATAAATCGTAAATGATTTGTAAACGATTGTAAAAATAATATAAGAATCGCTAAAAATAACTAAAAGTGTAATAGGTAGACACTTAAAATAGCAAGTATTACTTTAATAATAGGTAATACATAATTATTATTGCTCCTGACAATATCAATCGTCATAATCACTGGAAAGTATGAATATAAGTAGTTTAAGTAACATTAATTAAGTCTATCAAATAAAACATTTATTGCATCATTGGCTATTAAAATTACAGAACAATTTCATACAAGATCTTTCAAACCTGGTTTTTTACAATTACTGAGGTATATACAGATTATTATTAATTTCATTACAACTTGATTTTATGGTTGGATATAAAATAATTGCTTAACTTGCACAATCTATTTGGTTTAGTTGAACACATTGTGATGACTGTTATTTATTTCACAGATTAAAATACAAATTTAATATAAATATATCTATTATTACTGTACATTTGTTCTTCTTTCACACGATTTTTTCGAAAATTGTAAACATACTTCTGTACCAGATTAATTATTATAAGTACACAGACAGATTAGACATAGAGAAGCAGGTAAAAGCAATAGGTATAATTTATGGAAATAGTAATTTAAAATAATGTTTGAAAGAAACTGTGGAACTAATAAAATTAGGTCTTTTCAAGTACTTACAAAAAAGTTAACGACATGAATGAAGAACAATAATCATACAGATAGGTAAGTACTTTAATTTGTAATAAAAAAAAACGTCCTATACAATTATTTAAGTACAAAAAGTAAACGCTGTAAAATTAGAAAAAATATATTTTTAAGTATGTTAAAGGACGTGTGTCAGGAATAATAAAAATAAAATTATAATTCATTATAACAGGGTGCATAAATAAAATGGTTTAAATATTGTATGCATTAATAAAATTGGTCAATCATGTAAAATGTAAGATAATTGATACTTTAAAACAATTGCACAATACGCTCCTAAAAATTAGTGTAACCTATTCTTTGATATGTCTAAAACAATTAATATAGGTTCTGTTGGTTATTTAAAAAGATTCATAGTCGCTCAAAGTTCTCACTGCATTAATGTAATTTAAGCTTAATATTTATGTATCTATTGCGAAAGCAAACCTCACTCTGCCACCGCAAGTTCAATTCCATTAACGGTAAATTTGTAAAAATAAAAGAATTGCAATCTCAAAATGCGGCTTAGCACAAGTGTGTCCGTTTTTTAATTAGATAAAATCTACTATTATCCTATTATTATTATTAAAACTTCAGTTCAAATAATTTAACCACTGAATAACTCTCTGACAACAGTATTTACATCATGAGCACTAATACTTGTATTGTCGTATGTCTTTCCTCTAGCTCTCATATCACCAGAACCTGTACAAGATTATATCTATAACATCCTCGAAGAAATTTCATTTCGTAGAAATTGCTTATAATTATTATGATGAGTTTCTCGTGAAGATAAGCCCTATGCGGCGAATAAACACGTGAATGCTTTGGACCGATTATATTAGAGGAGCCCAAGCCGAGATTTTGGGCTTTATTAGAGCGCATAGAATAATGGCAGTGGGGCAAACTTGCACCTTCTGAAGTACTCCCACTGTACCCGAGCCATTTATAAAGGGTGGAACGTCTAGGGCAGGAAAAAATAATTAAGAATCGGCCATGACTTTTGGTCACGTCAAATTCTCGTAGCGTAACATCCTTTCTGAATGTCCGACGCTTTCGCATATTTTTTTCCTATTTTCTACCCCTTAGTATGGTTTGTACCCCCACACCATGTAAATCGGCAGATTATTATTTTTCCGTCTTCAGAAATCTTTACGTAAAGTACGAGATAGACGATTTGGACGTGATCAAAAGTCATGGGCCGATTGTTGAAATAATGTTTTTTTTTGCTGCCCTAGATCGGTCGATCTTATATAACGGGCTCAGGTATGGCGAAAGTACTCAACAAGGTGCAAGGCCACCCTTATATATTATTCTGCCGCGCTCGAGTAAATCCAAAAATCCTTGCTTTGGCTCTCCTACTATTATAAAAGGAAAAAAGAATCGAATAGTGACACTGAGCATAAATATATACAGCAAAATACTAATTAGTTTTAAACTAATGAGGAAGACAGCTTATAATCGGACTGTGTCAATTTGTATAAAGATAGCGGGATTATACAATTTCGAAGGATATTCTGTTTCAATCGGATTCTTGATGTCTTCCTCAGTAAGATATTTATTGCGTTCCAAAGTCTCAGCGATTACATCAAGGGCTAAGAAGATATGGTTACTTTTAGAATTGTAATCAATTCAGTCTAATTGTAGATCACACTGGAAAAACAGTCAGGAGTAACAGAGTACGTCATTAGAAAGTTGTAACATCGAAAAGGGGGTTCCAAAATGGCCTTCTTACTAAAGCGAAACAGGAAAATTTTTCATCTCAAAAGGTAACATTAAGGTGCTTGGTGTTATTTTTATTATGACTACTAAACACTGTTGTGCCTGCAGGCTCTTAACATTTTGGTTTAACGCTCGATACCATCTCAGGTTTCTTCTTTGGATTATTTAAGCATTCCTTGGTTAAGATATTACCTGCAGAAAATAAAAATGATTATTAACTCCTATGCTAGTTTGGAAATCAAAGAACGTTATAGAAACCGCTTTAACTTTCACTAAAACATTTGAAGAGTTTGTGTCCAATCGGACTTACTGCTCATCAGAGCTTGTAGAAATAAATGTTTTCCTCATTACTCTTATAAACGGTTTTAGGGCGATCTAGTGCTAGCGGTGTGGCATGAAAATTCTGCTTCGGTAGTTAAGACGAGTGCAGCATATGACTGCTAAGACTGAGCCGAGATCTATATCCTCACCGCTCTAGTACATGGGTTCAGAGCGGGTCGTTGCAGATGGTGTGGACTGATGATTCCGCTACAGCAGTTGAGATGAGTACAGCGCGATCCACCGCTAAGAGAGATACAGATATCTATATCCTCACCGCTCTAGCACATGGATTCAGGACGGGCCGGTGCAGGTGGCGTGGGTTGGGGCGGTTGCTCGGCTAAAAGCTGTCTCAACAGCTGCGACGAGTTGAGTATAATGACTGCTGGAGAGACAGGTATCTATATCCTCACTGATCTAGCACATGGTTTCAAGGCGGGCCAGTGCATATAGCTTGGGTTGCGGCCGTTGCTCTGCCGGCCGTTGTATCGGCAGCTGAGACGAGTCGAGTTTAATGACTGCTTGAGAGAGACAGATATCTATATCCTCACCGCTCTAGTGCATGGGTTCATAACGGGCCGTTGCAGGCGTTGTGGGCTAAGATTCCGCTACAGCAGTTGAGATAAGTACAGCGCGATCGACCGCTAAGAGAGATACAGATATCTATATCCTTACCGCTCTAGCACATGGTTTCAGGACGGGCCGGTGTAGGTGGCGTGGGTTGGGGCGGTTGCTCCGCTGACCGCTGTCTCGGTAGCTGAGACGAGTCCAGCACGATCGATGGTCGCGGCGGAAGGTTCTCGCTCACCATGTGGGATAAAGATAAATCGCTGGATGCATTCGTGTCACCTAAAGATGGAGGATAGTTTGTAAGGCTAAGAATGAAATATCCCCTTAATTGAAATCTTAGTCGATTTATTCTAAAGTTAGTGTAAGCTGTACTGTAAGAAATGGTATTGTTCTTAATTCTGCTGGTTTTAAATTTTAGAAAGTGGAGAAGTGAAAATATCTGGTGATATGAGTAGTGATGAGAATGGATAAAATAAAGAATGATTACATAAATAATAGAGAGAGAATTTTTTGAAAGTGGCTCCATTAATAAAATAATTAGCTAAGTGTAAACTTGTTATGAGATCAAATTCGCATATTGAGTTGTTAGAAGGACCATAGAAATAAATTGTAGATTACCTTGGAACTTGGAATTGAAAACGAGTGAAAACTCATCAGTTAAAACCAAATGCATATAAAATGAATAATGAAGTGCCTCGTATGGTATTTTCTTTTAACTCTTACCTGACGGCTGCCTAGGCACTGGCAGCAAGACTTCTCCACAACTGTCATCCCCCAATAATGGCTGCAGTGGTGACGGCAGCTCACGGCTGTCTATCGCCGAAGATCTCCTCAACGAGTGTCTACAAAATAATCGAATCAATCAAACTGTTCCTTATTATATCATCCTACTTTCCTTATTATAAATATTTCTAAGAACGTAGAAGGACAGATTAAAACATTGATCAAACCCAAAAGGGTTTGAAATATCTAGAACATGTGTAAATTGCTGAAAGGGCTGCAACTGAGAATATTTTTTTCAATTCCACATGAATTTGTGCGGCTCTATTAGAAAGTAGCCTGTTCTAATTATCAAGACTTATAGCCAAGTCAACCTGTTCATTGCTGTTGTGTTTTAGTACTAAGTAAAGTTTGAAAAATTACAAGGGGTAAAGGAATTAGGTACTCGAAATTTGCAGCAGGTGTTATTATCTCAGTAGCTGTACGATTAAATCAAATCCCAGATCAGCAAATGGGAGGGTTGCGCAAGTAATATATCGAAACAATTGCTGTTGGAAAATAGTCACTATGAATAATAAATTACTCTGTACAACAATAGCCAAGAGTGAAAACCAACGGATAATTACGATCTGATAAATTTATACATAAGTCCATAGCGGTAATGTCATCCTAGCCATTAATGCACGCGTGTGGCAGAACATTGAGAATTTATCCGCGGACTGCCGAGGACGCTCTTAGAAGCCTTTGAAAGGACCGAAAGAATACTGCGATTCTGGGGGATCTGGGTTGGCTGTGCTAGCTAAATAATCCTGGATGTAGAATGGACCAATTGCAGTTTACTTGTGAAAACTGGACCCTACCACAAGTAACAAGTACAGAAATTCATACCTCTGGTACAGCAGGCGCCTCTGGAGAACCGCACATCGGGGCAGGTGGGTTCCTCAACACGCACATGCACTTAGGTACTCAGATGGCGTGCCGGCCCATTGGCCGGTGCATCATTATGCAGGAGTATTGTGTGGTTTTCACTGGGCAGGGCTCTGCTCATTTCACCGAGCCCTTGAACTGAATGAAATGTACGGGGAGGAGTCCCCAGATATCTTTATCTCACTACCGTCGTCCTACTCCCGGTGGGCGAGGATGGCGTCATGCCTTTTCCCGAAATAATAAAGGCTTGTCGGGCGCGCTGTTCACTTCCTCCAGCTCGCTGCCCCCCTGGTATCTGTCCCCACACACTTGGCATGTGTCCTTACCTCTGGTGCGGCAGGTGCCGGTCACTGACGGTCAGCAGGGTAGTGGGGGGCTCGTCGGGCGCGCTGTTCACCTCTTCCCGCTCGCTGCCCCCTGGTATCTGTCCCCACCCACTTGGCATGTGTCCTTACCTCTGGTGCGGCAGGTGCCGGTCACTGACGGTCAGCAGGGTAGTGGGGGGCTCGTCGGGCGCGCTGTTCACCTCTTCCCGCTCGCTGCCCCCTGGTATCTGTCCCCACCCACTTGGCATGTGTCCTTACCTCTGGTGCGGCAGGTGCCGGTCACTGACGGTCAGCAGGGTAGTGGGGGGCTCGTCGGGCGCGCTGTTCACCTCTTCCCGCTCGCTGCCCCCTGGTATCTGTCCCCACACACTTGGCATGTGTCCTTACCTCTGGTGCGGCAGGTGCCGGTCACTGACGGTCAGCAGGGTAGTGGGGGGCTCGTCGGGCGCGCTGTTCACCTCTTCCCGCTCGCTGCCCCCTGGTATCTGTCCCCACACACTTGGCATGTGTCCTTACCTCTGGTGCGGCAGGCGCCGGTCATTGACGGTCAGCAGGGTGGTGGGGGGCTCGTCGGGCGCGCTGTTGACGCACACGCTGATGCTGACGCCAGCTCCCCCGTTTTCCTCTGCCTCAGCGCCCTCCTCGTATCTGCCCACCACACTAGCCATGTCTATGCTACCGCGAGATTGGCCCGGCTGTAGTTACGTTCGCTTTCTATTTGACACCACTAACATGGACACGGACGATCGCACGTCAGGGCGTTCCACAGTAAATCTCTTTGAGGTATTTCAATATAATGAATCACCTATTTTATTTTGATTGAAAAATTAAAACATGTCCAAGCGGTAAGCATTAAGGTCTTGCAAGTGTTTTCTCTTTTTTTTCTCATTTTTTTTTAAGTGTTCCCATTAATAGGGTTAGGGCGATTTAACCTCTGATTAACTTAACTAAGTGTCATATGTAAGTACATATATTTTTTTTAAATAATAAAAAATACCCCTTGGGGCCCATGAAGCTGTTAATATTTTTTCAAAAGTAATATATAACATTTTTCCAAAGAGATTCACTGATAACAGTAAAATGTCCTGATATTTGACAAACCACAACCACAGCAATTCCCGCCACCAATCTTTTTTTCCCTGTCTGTCAGACGGTTTAACTCGCATGCTTTTGACATGCCTCGACTGTTCTGTGAGAAAAGCGTAGAGCAAAATTGCGTAGAATATGTATATAAACCGTATGGCAGAGGCAAGGTCTAACGAAAGTACTAAGAGACATTAATTAAGTTTAAAATTGAAGCAGAATGATTCAAAAATGATTCTTGACAAGCTTTAATTAATAAATTAAGTCTCTGAGTTGCTCGAAATAATAGTAGATCGATTACAGATAACAATTAATCATAGTTCAACATACAGATCTAATGTTTAATTACACAAGCAGAAAAGTGAACTTGCCAAAATGTTGGTACGTTTTTCAAGAAAGTGATAAAAGTGAGGAAACTTATTATAGCACGAAGCACGAATCATAATTTAGCATAAAACACTTAAATTACGATTAAATTTAATACACAGTGTGTCATAATAGGAATTTCTTTTTAAATATTACTTTAGACAGCTTTAAATATAACGGAAGTAGATAAAAATTTATACATACTATTGGGCATTAATGGCTTTGAGGCAAATTCACTTTTCCACTCCATTGCAAAGTAAAATATTCCTCATAGGCAAGGCGACTAAAACCCAATCTTTTATTGGAATCACAAATCTTGTGACAAAAGGATTCCAAACATCAAAATATATAGAACGACATTGAACGCGCTTCTGAGCACATAAAAACAAAACGTTTTGCTGAATGCGAACATTCTTTAAATAGAATCTCCTATGCCTTTGATAAAAGATAATGACAGCAATTTTGTGTGAGTGAGAGTTAAATAGGAGCGTTGAAAAGTTCAATCTCAATCTCCACCCTGAGCCACAGATCACCTCAACTAGAGTCCAAATTGAAATCAAAATCACCAAAGTTGAGTCATGCGGGGAAGGTAAATCGCGTTTTGTTTGGACACGTCAGTGTGAAAAATTAGGTGCAAAGTTGTATAATTGTATATATGCCACCGTTGACGCTTGGGGGCACACGGGGTCACATGCTTATACGATAATACTACCTAAGCTTGCAACGGTGTGGCATAGCCGCAACCATTCACCCTGTTTATTTTCTCCATGTTCGACCTTCTTGACCACTAACTACTAATTTTAAAATATTCCTTTATTGAGTTTGAAATTCAATTCCGTCAAGGCTGTCAAAAAAATATATTGTTGTTAGTCCAACAGCAAAATCCGTAAAAGATAGATGTTTTTGGTGAAAGCAATTACAAATCATAATACTTAAATGTTACTTGAAATTTTCAACTTTTTTTTTTCAAGTTTTTCAACCCATATTGGGGGTAAGTAAACAGTATTTCATAGTAACTATTTATGGTTTGAAGTTTATGCCTTGTTTTGTTACAGTTTTTTATTCCTACCTTAAATAAACAGTTCAAGCTTATTCTTGGCGAGTTATTATTATCGAACCCCCTCTACCGACGGCTACCGTCGCAAGCTTAGCACAAGCGGGTGCCCTTGTATGCGGTCTCTAGTAGGGGTGTGCTGAGACCAACTTAGGAATTCTGTAACATGAAATCTCATTGTGCTGTGTGATAACGCAGTGCATATTTAACTAATGTCTAAAATTAGAGCTAACGAAAGTCTTTCGATCGTCGTCGTCGTGTCAGCGTACACGTAACGTCGTCGTGACGACGACGACGCTCAAGAGACGCTAGTTATACTTATAGAATCATCTGAGCGTATTTAAGTATTTTTGTGGGCATAGAGGCAAAGACTTACCGCCTTTGGATGAGGTTCTGCATGATGATGTAGTCGTCCTCCTCGGCCCCTCGCAGGTGCTCCTTCTCCATGAAGAGTGCGAACTCGGGGTTGGACATCTCGCTCGCGTGCCGACGGCGCGCAGTTGGCGACGCCGCCCGCGCGGGTGAAAGCAGGCGGGATGTGATAGGCGTCCTACAAGGTAACATTATTTGGGTTAAATGATGGTTACAGCCAAAAACTGCTATTATTAGAGTAGGGGTGATGACGGGGTACAGTAAACGAAATTCTATTTAGTCCGTCAGTTAGATGATCAAAAAATAATGAACACGTATTTTTACTTTGGGCAATCAACCAAAAAATGACAAAGTTATAGCGCGTCAAAGTTTGTGAGTAGGGGCTCGTGACGTCACTTTTTAGTGAATTTTCACTTAAAAGTGTACCAAAACGTCATGCGACTTTTCAAATCAATATATCTGTTCCATCAGCCTTTCTCCGTTCACTGCTGGACATAGGCCTCCCCCATTTCTATGGGGGAGGCCTATGAGAACGACACAATGGTCCTGCGCTATCCACATCCAGCGGCTCCCAGCACATTTGACGATATCGTCAGTCCACCTTGTTGGAGGCCGCGCCACGCTGCGTCGCCCGGTACAAATCTGCAATGTTTATATTAGGTGAAAAAAGAAAAAATACGTGTCCAATATTTTTTGATAATCTACCTGATAAACGAAGAAAAAAAAATTAGTCATCATCCCTATTAGACATTATCATAATAAAAATATTCATAGCAAGTCACAGATCCCTTTGTATTTTTCGCTATTACAAAGGTTAGTATGAATAATGAGCTTTATGCACTACTATATTTATAGTCTATGATTATGATAAATGTGGTAACATGATGAATCGAACGGACGGTTATATTGTAATGGAATATGGAATATAATCGAGAAATGAGCACCTGTTGTTTTAAATTAATAGGTACTTACATGGTTCAAAACTTAAAGAGGTACCGAAGTGGCAATTACTATTAGAATTACCGAATTCAAGCTTATAACATCTTCATTATGCAGACTACTGTGGCAAAATATTCTTACTTTATTTGTTACCCTTCCGCAGTGAGTATAATCAAGCTGCCATAATGAAACGGTGATAGAGTCTGTGCGGAAAGAGAATGGGCGTGGCAAAAAACGGAACTATCATTAAGATTTTTATTTGGCAATCAAACCCAGCAATATGTAAAACGTTAAAGTTTTGTTTTGTTACGGATTTGTTTGTTGTTGTGATTTCTTGCGGTTTTTTGTATTTAATCATGTCTAAAAGAGGTAAAACCTTACAAATACGGCAGAAAAGCACTACAGCGCCCTCCAATCTAAATCCCATTCTCTTTCCACACATACTCTTAAGGTATGCTTAATCAAGCCGGGCTTACGTGTGTTAGATATGCTTTTGACATAAACAACCATAACAATGAGAAATCATTGCCAAATTGACGTATTGAAACCTACGCTGTAATTGACGAGGTTATTTGTGACTAAGTTGTAATGTACTCATAAACAAGACCAATAAGCTTCACACAACCGTCGATTTTCAGATCGTCTATATGAAATCAGCGTGCAGCGTAGCGTTGCATTGTTCATTGTCGCTCTAGTTAGTGTAACCGCAATGCCATGATGCATGTCGAATGCAAATTCCGTTGTGTGTTCAATGAATCATTCCGAATCTGTCCGAATGGCAGGCCTGTAAATTCATTAGTAAAGCTACTTTTATAATGATATGGTTCTTTATGCGATTTTATCTGCATGGATTAAATGGTTCCTCGTAAGTGGTGATAATTTAGTTAAATAATCTAATAAAGCTTGCATGAGGGAGATTCAAATTTTATTTTGGCATTAAGTTGTAGCCTTTGTCAATCTCCACCGATTCTTTTAATTAAATCAAAAAATTATCAGTATCGATGAGGCGGCTCATGGATATAATTAAATATTCCAGGGCCAAAAGAAGAACATCACACTAATATTAAAAAGGCGAATGTTTGTGAATTTTAATAAAATTGGATATGGAGTCAGCTGACACCCTGGATTAACACATAGGCTACGTTTTACTGCGGGAAAATATCCCTAATAAATCGCGGGTAACACCGCGGGGCACAACTAGTATTATATAATGTCTGGCGTATTGTATAATGCTGTTCCGTGCATTTTTTAAAGGCTAGTTTTAAAGTTTATGGGATAGAGATAGCCTCATTGCTATTCTACTGTTTCCGGGCAGTAACGTATTTATTTTATCCAACGGGAGAAAGATTAAATGAAATAAAATGAAATAAAAGAATTTCTTTCGTCGTTTAATTGAATATACCTAATCATTTTGATTTGGCAAATGACGGATTTTGAATTCAAAACCGTTAATTAAGCGGTTTGTGTACACACATTCAGCTGACACGTTCATTTGGAAATACTTGATGAGTTTTTTTTATACTTAAAGATAGGTCTGACAAATGGCTTCATCCCACCTGATGTTAAGTGACGGTGAATTATTCCAGACGCGAAGATAGCTGGTACATCAGCTCTACCTACCACACCAGCCATCCTCACCTAGCCAGGCTGCATATTGCTCCTTTAGATTATGTTTTTATTTTTAAGCATTTAACTGCTAGATGTTTAAAACTAAAGAAAAGTTTACTAGAATAAAATCCACGAGGTCTTCAGACATCTTTTAAAGGATCCCGGGTTGTATAGGAGAACGAAACCGTTTCATGTTGAACATACAATACAATTACATTAGAACACTTTATTGTGTAATAAAATACGGCAGCAGTTAGTTATTGACGGTTTCTGTAATTTTCTAGTTTAGATATCGAAATAAGTTCAACCATATATAACCATTAGACTTGCAACGAATATTCGGTTACTATTCGGTATTCGGCCTATTCGGCTGCTTTTATTATATTCGGCCGAATACCGAATATCTACATATTATTCGGCCGAATACCGAATACTTAAATAATATATTTTGTCATAGAGAAATAATTGGTAAAATGAAAAATTTAAATCGATTGATTACCTACGTATATCATCATATTTTCATTTCTGTCATATACGTAGTATATAAGTAGTCATTAGTACATAACACAGGCACATAATCCTCTTCTGAATTGGAAAAATGGAGGATTCTATGTATTTGAATTATTGTGGTAATCAAAATTTAGAAGGGTAAGGTTCTCATTTCTTTTATAATCATTTATTAAGTAGTCATTATTACATAAAACAGGTACATAATTTAATCATTTTCTGTATTAAACAAGTTAACAGTTTTTAATTCATTCAGTCATGTGATGAATGGTTACATAATAGCAATAATTTAAAGTTTACGCGCCGTTGCCATATCTCAAAAGTTGGTTTTGTCATTTAGCCGCATTTTAGCTTGAGGACGGCAGATTAGAACAAAACAAAGGAGCGCGAAACAATCACGTCTGTACAAGTTTTTGGCTTTAAAATCCAGCCGAATACTTTTGCCTAATATTCGGCTATTCGGTCAGGGGCCTCGCCGAATATTCGGTATTCGGTATACTGCCGAATATACAAGTCTAATAACCATACATCATACAACCAATGTGCGCACACCTAAATCGGCCACAGTATTTATGTACATAGAGGGGACCCTGTTGCCTGTAGTACAGTTTATCCTACCACTGGCACCAGACAGAAGTCACCTTTACAATATTTATGCTCCAATGTGCCTCTTGTCACCAATTTTTGTCTTATTAATTTAAAAATATTGTATATTGTAACTTGCTTAAAGTCAATATACGTTTATTATTATTATTATTACAATTAGTGTATTTTGACAAAACATCCATTAACTTCAAAATAATAAGCGAATATTTTATTTCAATATAAGGGAAGGGAGAATGATCTTCCAAAAATATTATTCGCATATCAAATGTACCGGAAGAAATAAAGGCTTCTAAGGGCTAGTTCAGCGGAAAGCGGAACGTTTTGCGATGCGTTAAGCTGTTTTTGTGTTCATGGCGAAAAGCTTCAAATGCTTGAAGTAGGTGGGGTTGCGTTGTCCGCACCAATAAAGACAAACCTTTAGAAATGTGTAAATCCCGTTTATGATCCCGCGGGGTGTAATGACTGGCATGACGCGATAAGAATGAGGGAGTCCTTTGCGGACTACAAATCCGGACTACAAATGTGGACGTATTTTTACAAATAGACTCTGTGTTGAAATGAGCGATATAGTTATTACGAGTAGTCTTAAAATTTTATGCTAATAGTGCTCAAGATACCTTTTCTAAACTTAATAGTCCGGCAAGATTTTAATACGTTCAGAAGTCGTTATTACAAGGGAAAAAGTATTTTTTTCTAAGTTATATAAAATCTAATTTCTCACGATAAACAATAAAGAGATAAATGCAAATATTGACAAAAAATCTTGTAACACATTTGTAATGGAAACACGATTGTAAGGAACACGCCGTATGTATTTACTATAAACTAGGGAGAATAATATATGCCGGGCTAGCAATCTATTCGCCCATTCTAGCTCGGCGAGCAGTTTGATTGACCTACATAATAAATTGAATTATCGGATATCAGCTAATGCGGACGATACCAATCTGGGCATGGTAATCGGTAAATGTTTGGAGTTGCCTTATTGGGATTTCAATCGTGTTATCAAGATTTACAACTTTTAATTGAAATTCAATCTAAACAAGCAATCAAGTTTAAGATAATTATTTTAATTCGACGTCATTTTTGGGCGGGGTATGGTCAAACAAGAAATCTCAAAACTCAAATCTCCTCCTAGCTTGATGATCACCTACTCCCAGTATCAGCCCGATACTGGGTTTGACGAACGGGTTAGGGAGTAGTGTAAGTCGCAAAGATCCCCTAATCAAGGCCAGAGGACTATCCTTCACGAGGTTGCCGCCCCTTTTTGGTCAATTACCTTCTGTAATTGACATAAACAGAAACCTCTGACCATACCACAAGCCCTGCATAGCCGAACCGTGGCGGCGCATTTCCACACACATGCCAAATCCTTTAGACCAATTAGCCTAACCACTTTCCTTTTAAAAACATTGAAAAGACTGGTAGACCGACACCTTAGGGATGGAGCACTAAGTAAGGCTCCGCTGCACCTTCAATAACATGCCTACAGAAAAGGCAGATCAACAGAGTCGGCATTGCATGCGGTAGTTCACAAAATAGAGTCGGCAATCACAAACAAAACTCAACATTGGCAGCCTTCATAGGCATTGAAGGTGCTTTAGAGAAAACGATGCACAACAGCAGTAACCACGTCCTAAGAAAACAGTGTAAGTGGTAACAGTGAGTAAAGTGGACCAAGTTACCAAATGTTGGATTACCGAACTGGTCGGCAAAAGGGCTGTACAGATAGTGGGGATCACTACCACGTGTACGAAGTTAGTTAGAGGGTGTCCTCAAGGGGGAGTCCTATCACCACTTCTCTGGAACATAGTAGTAGACAGCCTCCTAAGGAGTCTGAATGATAGAGGATACACTACTATTGATAATGCAAGTGAACAAACAATCTAATAAATGGGAAAGCTGAAAATGCCAATTGCAAAGTTATGTGTTCAGCCCTTCAGATTGTGGAAAAATTATGTGACGAACATCACTTGTCAGTAAACCCAAATAAGATAGAGCTTGTCCTTTTCACCAACAAAAGGAAGTTACTAGAACTACAATTACCAGAAATACAACCAAACCTGTTTGATAACAAACTCTCCCCATCAACACAAGTGATATATCTGGGCGTAATCCTTGATAACAAACTGAATTGAGCGAGTCATATCGAATCAAAAACAAAGAAGACCTGCATAGCTTTTAATCAGTGTAGAAGACTAGTTGCTTAAAATGGGGATTTCGTCCAAAGATCACTCTTTGGTTAAACACAGCAGTTATCAGGCCCTCAATAACCTACGGTTCAGTTGTTTGGTGGACTAGGACCCAATTGAGCACAGTGAAATTCAAACTCCAAAGTCGCTTGGCGAGCGTAGCAGCAACTGGATGAATAATAACAACTCCATCTGCATTAGAGTACCTCCTGAGACTAAGATCTCTGGACTTATGGAGATTAAACACTGTAACAACGCACTCCAATATTCTACAATGAAGAAGCAAGAAGAAGGAGATCCCACTCCTGGAGGCACCTATGGATAGAATATTAAGTCAACACGTCTTTGATCGAAGATGCGACATCTAACTTCCAGCGGAAAAGGCAGATTACCCTGGCGTCGGGGAAGTTAGGATGTACACAGATGGCTCCAAAATCAAGTGGTACTGGAGCCGGTGTCTTCTCGAACGACCTGAATACAATAATATCTTCAACCTTAGACAAACTAAGCACAACCTTCCAGGTGGAATGTATTGGCAATAAATGAGCGGCACAGGCGGTGGCAGCCGTGTTTCAAGCCATACGTAGCAACACAATAAACTCTGACCTGGTAATGGAGTGCCACAATGCACTTCAATCCATTGCAGTAAAAAACACGGTAACCTTGCAATGGCTAAAAGGACACAGCAACTCGATTGGAAACGATGCAGTAGACGAACTGGCTAAGAAAGGAGCAGACACAAAAGTGTATGTATGTCTGGAACCCAGTTCCATTAGCAGGCCCAAATTAAAACGTGGCTACGTGAAAAAACTCAGAAATCATACTTGACAGAGTGGAAAACAGGTGAAGGCTGCCGGTAAACGAAGAACGCAGTTCCGGCGGCAAACAAGAGACTTGCCCCTACCCTTACCAGACTTAATAGGGACAAACTCTGCAAGATTATAGGAACCCTGACTGGTCATTGTCCTCTATACAAACACCTATATATAATAAGAGAAACGGACAGCCCCCTATGCTGAGGATGCATGGAGGCAGAAGAAACTCCACAGCATGTCATCATGGAATGTAGGAGTGTGGCCGACCAATGGGCACGACTTCTTCAGTCGCCAAAATCGCTTCCGGAAGCTTGCAGCAGTCTGCCAAGGCTACTTTCCTTCTGGACTAACTTAGGCTGGCTGGAGTAAAGGGAATGTTTTGAGACACGCACAATGGTCTTATAATTAGGACTAAGTGCGGAAACAGCCCTGAAAAACTAAACTAAACAACGTCATTTTCATAGAATTTTTAAATATGACATAGGGTGAAACAACATGAAACATTCCAGGTCATACAGGACTCCAGCATGCCGGTGATGCTGGTGTACTCTTGCATCACCAGCAGCAGTGAGTGCGGCGTGGCTGTAGAGATGAACGGTAGACACTCACCTGGGTGTGTGTGGAGGTGAGAACAGTCCATACACGGTCTCCAGCTCGTCGGTGATGCTGGTGTACTCGTGCATCGCTAGCAGTAGCGACCGTGGCGTGGCACCGACGCGGGTGCGACCCGTCGTTGTCGACAGGCCCGCAGCGCCGCCCGTTGCCTCCCACCCTGATTGATGACCTTCACCAGTGAGAAATGTGGTTTGATTTTCTTTTTAAATTTATTATTTTACTAAGGATTGGCGAACCCGAAAACAACAAACAAGACTATACTACTGCAAAATTCTTATTTCTACCGTTAACTCAGTAATGCAATGGGCTCGACTCTAGCACCCAAATCTTAATGAAAAACCAGTATGTATTGTATATTTATCAAGCTCTTTAGAGAATAGAATAGTTCATTGCCAAATCCGGTTTATATTCAGAAAATCATGTCAGAATCAACGTGAAATGACTAATTATTTTTAGGGATTGTTTGATTTTCAAACAGTAATCGGTATACCCGTTAGTTATTGGTGGTGTGTTGACGGATTGTCTGGTTCGGAATACCTGAGCTCTTTAGTTAAGTTCTGTTAAGGTTGCAAGTAAATTCGCTATTTTTAACACTTGTACCACAAACGCATCCCACCTGTGACCGAGTTGTGTGTCGACCCAGCGTAACAACCAAGTTGTGTGGCTCGAATCGGATCTGGCTACGTATCCCACCTGTGACCGAGTTTTTTGTCGACCCAGCGTCAACGACCGAGTTGTCCGGCTCAGATCGGATCTAGCTACGTATCCCACCTGTGACCGAGTTTTTTGTCGACCCAGCGTTAACGACCGAGTTGTCCGGCTCAGATCGGATCTGGCTACGTATCCCACCTGTGACCGAGTTTTTTGTCGACCCAGCGTCAACGACCGAGTTGTCCGGCTCAGATCGGATCTGGCTTCGTATCCCACCTGTGACCGAGTTGTGTGTCGACCCAACGTCAACAACCGAGTTGTCCGGCTCAGATCGGATCTGGCTACGTATCCCACCTGTGACCGAGTTGTGCGTCGACCCAGCGTCAACAACCGAGTTGTCCGGCTCAGATCGGATCTGGCTTCGTATCCCACCTGTGACCGAGTTGTGTGTCGAGCCAGCGTCAACAACCGAGTTGTCCGGCTCAGATCGAATCTGGCTACATATTCCACCTGTGACCGAGTTGTGTGTCGACCCAGAGTCAACAACCGAGTTGTTCGGCACAGATCGGATCTGGCTATGTATCCCACCTGTGACCGAGTTGTGTGTCGACCCAGAGTCAACAACCGAGTTGTCCTGCTCAGATCGGATCTGGCTACGTATCCCACCTGTGACCGAGTTGTGCGTCGACCCAGCGTCAACAGCCGAGTTGTCCGGCTCGGAGTGCGTCTGGCTGTGCTGTCTGCGCGGCGCCAAGTGCTGCGCGGAGTGGTGCCCGCCCATGCCGCAGTCGTTGCCGCCCTCGGACCGCCTAAACACAACGCCCAATACACGAGCACTCTTCAAAGTTCAGTAGGTATAGGTATATTTTAATTTTAAGTATTATACTGCTTGATTCGTAAATCTGAACAAAATTTTCTTTAGATTCTTCAAAGTTATTTTATTAATAAACCACTGAACTATACTGGCTGTTAGAAAAAATCGTACCCCCTTCGAGCCCTGGTGCCTTGACCGCGTGGAATTGTTGTCTATATTTCGAAGGTTATAAATTCTTTTTTTGTCGCACTGTTGGGTGGATATTTTTAAAGCCAGTACATTTTATAAAACGAAAACATCTTGCAGTATTTTTTATACAGTTATACAGTGACTCCGTTGTGATATTCTAGAAAATCCTTAAAGTATTATATGTCATACATATTATTTTAGTATATTTATTTAAGAGAGTAGTGCTAGGAGTATTTTAATTTCACTATTTAAGGAATAATTTCTAGTTAACTTACCTTTTAATTTGATTACAACATTGATAAATATTTCAAACAAAATGGATAAACCTTATAATGTTACATAATTATGCATAATAATAAAACTCGGAAAGAGGGCATTTTTTGTGACAAGCTTAGAAGTTTTAGATAGATAGATTTAGTAACCAATATACCTAATATTGGTTATTTTTGATAATAAAAATGTATAGAGATGCAATGTGTGTTTAAGTACGAGTTTATTCAACACCGATAAATAAACAAAATACTGTACAATACTTGCTTGTGTGAGTAAAAGTGCATTGTTATGGTACCATTGCTATTTACAACTGTGTGTGTGTGTGTGTGTGAAGCTTGTGCTCAATAAAAGGACGGTATGTTATCTTCAAAGATCGCTTCAATCCTCATAATATCTATTTTCTAATGATTATTTATGTCCCATTTTGGAACTTTTATCTATTCTATTCGTTTCAAGCATGACTTTATATAAAAAAATACAATAATCTCTTGTGTTAAAAAAAAGAATAAGAAATCGAAGCCGTAGGGACCCTATGCAATTACAATGAGCGACTATATTACATACATTTAAAAAAATAACATTTTTAAAATTATAAATAGTCTACTAGGGAAAAAATTGCTGTATTTTTTTTATGCTTTTGCGAATAATGTCTCTTGTCACATTTACATAATCGATTTCCTGGACGATTGTAGACGCGCGGCTAGTCGCACGCCTTACTGGCTTAAAACATCTAGTTAGTACTTAAAAATATTCTCAAACACAGCCAAAGGTGCAGCGTACAAAAGAGGCGCGACGAAGATACTAAGCGCGGCGACTCCGAACGCGGGCAAGAGCCTCGGAGCGGCGCAGGCAAGAGCCACGGAGCGGCGCGGGCAAGAGCCACGGAGCGGCGTGGGCAAAAACCACGACGCGCGGCGCGGGCAAGAGCCTCGGAGCGGCGCAGGCAAGAGCCTCGGAGCGGCGCGGGCAAGAGCCTCGGAGCGGCGCGGGCAAGAGCCAAGGAGCGGCGCGGGCAAGAGCCACGGAGCGGCGCGGGCAAGAGCCACGGAGAGGAGTAGTCGCGCGTCGGCTCTCGTGGCCAGTTCGCAGCGCTGTGTGACGGTTGTGCTTTGATCCATGCACAATACACAGGTTAGAAGGGCCTTGTGGGCGGGGCAGAAGCGCTACAGTTACAAGTGTGAGCAGATGTACATAACTTGACCATAACATGGTTCTGATTGCGTCGTTGCTTTCGGGTGTGAGCGCTGATTGGCTCAATTGTTTGATGCCGCGTCGTTTGATTTGCTATTATCTTTTAGGTGGAAGTGTAGTGGGGGCGAGCCAGCGACATCGATTCCCGTACAAGTGGTATTTGACCACCCTTCTAACCTCTTTCTGTGTTCTGTGGTTACATTTTTACCATGGAAATTTTAAACCTTTGATACAGAAAATAGGGTTTAACTTAAATTGTTAACTTCTCAGTATCTTCGCCGTGCCTCTCCGCGTGTGCGCTGTACAAATGAGTCCCAACTCCAAATTCTTACGAATGTACCCCAGATCAACAGCGATTCTTTGAAGATAACATTGATCTTGATCAATTTTATGAAGGTGTTACCACTACATCTAGCTACGGTCACTATGCACAAGCTAAGCCAATCGCCAATTATGAGTCTAGTTGACTTACTGTTTCCACAACCGTCTCCTAACAGATGCAAGAAAGTAACAAAAAATAAATTAAATTAAAAAATCAATTATGACGGTGACAATTTTGATACTGATATAGGTATGCATTTGGCCCGATTTGGGGACAGTGGGGTAAGGGGTTAATAAGTAAAAAGTTATGCCACTTTGTTATATGATTGACACTCATTGTGGCAATGCGTTGAAAAACCCCATTTAACACATTTTTAAATTTGTAAGTAGAAAAACTATCTATCTCAGGTTATTCTTAAATATTTAATGAGAATAACTGTTACATTTGTCAACTCTCAGTTTCCTTTTTAAGACTTAAAAGTAATTCAACATTTCAAAGACTTTTGAGAACATTTCCTTTAATGAGCAAAAAACAGAGATTTCGATAAGACCTCTTTAGGTTTTCCTAAGTTAAGCTATTAATTATAGAAAAATCAACCCCTTTGAAACAAGTGAGAAGAAAAGCAACATTTTTCTCCGACGGTAAAAGGGGATAATGGGGGTGGAATATGGAACAATAGAAAATAAAATGACAGCCCGCATGCGTCAAGAATATGATACAGATGAGTCGTTATGGCACTTATGCTTATCCCAGCCCGAGCCAGTGAGTCCTAGCCTAACTGAGCGAGTGTTTTATCTCTCGTGAAACGGTGAGTAAACACGTTATTCATCTTAGCGTCGGCAGATATTACAGGGCATAACGGAAAGGGTACCTAATAAATCAAGTTTACTGCCTTGGTGGTGATGAATTATCCTCAAAACGCATAGAGCAACACGGCCGACCCGGCCAGGGGAGTAGGCATACTACATAGCTTTCTCCTCTGTCGGACCGGGCATAGAAGCGATAATTATCTGTGCAGGATTTGTCGGTGTATTTTGTCATTGTTTATGTGCGAGTGTTGTAATAGTAGGAGGTCTACTCTATTTCAACGAACAACGAAATTTCGATCGAAATTTCGCACGTCTCTTACTCTGTTTCCTTTTCATTTCGAAAATTCGTTCGTCCGAAAATAGTTTGACAGTTAAATTCTCGAAGCCTACTCTAATTCACAAAACTTTCGAACGCTACGTTGAATTTGACAGTAATTGTTCGAAATTTTAACTTCAAATTGACGAAATGAAAAGTGTTACCTTTTCATTTTCGTTTTGAAATTTTTGTTCTAATTAAGCCTAAAATGCTTGCAAGAGTATCTTTAATCAAGGCGGCTTAGCTCGAGGAATTTTTTTTAGCATGTAAAATTAACAAATAAACCATTTTTTTATTATTTATTGTAATTCCAATACTTCAAAGTATTAAACGACAAATTTAGGTTGACATACAATAGATTGTATCAACTCTACAAATTAGACGGCTAACACTGTCAAAGAAGGTTCTTTCAATGTCATCGAAAATTTTGCCGTAAACTACCTATATTGTTTCCAAGTAAAAAAAGTAGAGATAAAAAGAACTCACAAACATGACTCATTCCATTCGTTTACGAAAACTGTTTGTGGTTCCGAACTTTATGTGCCTGTTCGAAAATGAAATAGAGTAGAGGCAGTGGCGAAATTTCGTTTAAAATTCATTCGTTACCGAAATTTCGTTTCGGGAAAAGAGAGTAAAGCTCCAGTTTCGTTTTTCACTCATGTAGTGAAACTGTATTTGTGTGCAAATCCCCCCCACCCCTCGCAAAAGGTGGCAGAATTATTTTGAATAATATTATGTCACTATCGCTACTCCTACCGTGTTGCTCTTTGTTAAAGGACGTATTCTTATAGTAACATTATAATAGATATAATAATAATTAATTACTCAGATAATCTCCTGATATAAATGAATAATAAATTAGAATTCTATGATTGATTATTAGATATTAAACGCTTTCCGTTAGACCCTGTAAAAAAGAATCTTACAAAATCTAATTGAGGTTGTGTGTCACAATTTCCTGGAAAAAAGTCGTGAACATCTTTAACACTTACTTACTACGGAATCCATAAATTCGTTAGAGAATTCAGATATAAATTTTCTTGTTAGATACTCGCTAATGAATTTATGAGAAAAGTATCGCGTGCTTCACGGAATTTTAAGCAGTCATACACGTTGGTCATTTTTAAAGGTGTTTTATTTGTTTAAGCATGATTTAAGCTTTTTGACTGCAGTTGTTGTTGGTCAGTCAGTTGATCGTCCGTATTTAGTTAACAACTTTTTAATGTTAAAACGGTGGCAAACATGCATATGGCCCGCGATGGTAAACGGCCACCATAGTCTATAGACGCTTGTGATAACAAAAATATCACTCGTAGCGTTGCGTACCCTGATCCAATCCCCCGTGGAGCTCTGGAACCTTACTCAGCGACAGAAACATGACACCAGCAAAATGTAGTTTTTTTTTCTTCTAGATGGCTTCGCACGGCTTGTGCATTTAGCCAATGTCGAGTGTTAAAATGTATACAAATACTATAGCACTCGTGGTCAAAGTAATAAGTCAAGTCAAAGTAAGTGGCAGTCAAGTCAATCCCCCTTTCCCCATGTTTCAGTAAAAGTGTGGGGATTTACTGGAACCTCCCCGTGGACTTCTTGAGGGAACGTCGAAAGACACTTTCCGCTATTTTGTTTTACTTGCCAACACTTGTGCGTGTTCCCGAACACTAAGTGGTTAATAATCCATCATTATTAGACACTAACATCCGCCACAACACAAGAAAAACAAAACTGCTAAAGTGACGCTGCCCGATCCCGCCAAAAAGTCCGTAGTATTATTTACAAGAATCTAGTGCTTAATCTAATATCTAATCTATATGCTGCAAGGTGGAGGTTACTTTCCCAGGTGGAGAGTCACCAGGATCCCACGAAACCCGTTCCGGCAGGCGGGGAAGCACTGTTGGGTTTTTAGTGGGTAGGGTCCCACCATCCCGAGCAGCCGCTGAGCCAGCTTGGCTGAGTGGGTGAGCGGGATTTGGGGGGAGGAGGACTCCCACAGAACCCCATCTCTCACCCAGGGACCCAGGGGCGGGGTATGCGTCACGCATTTTCCTAACAATAAAAAAAGAGATGGGCGCCCAAATTTGAGCTGAAAATCCGCTATGCTCTGCCTCTCTTAAATAATCTTGATATTAACGCAATTGAGTTGTTGTTTACGTTTGTATTACTAAATGAACATCCTATTCAAATTCAACTCCCTGTAAGGATAATTTGCCTAAGTAAACTTAATAAATCAACAGCCGTTGTTATTTTAACATTAAGCAACTAAGTACATAAGCTCCTAATCGCCTTCAGAGAACAGCTTATTGGAAATTGTTGCTATATCCAAGTTATATCACATTCGTTTCCAGGAAGAAGACGCTTTTCTTTTAACATATTTCTAGAATGTTTTATACCACTTGCGAAATGAGTAAGTCGCTCAAACTCGTGTGAAATCTCAGCTTACTTGATCATGTTATTGATTGTACTCGTAAGCTGTGAATATAAAATGTAAAGTCTTTAGGGAGCGCTTGTTGTAGGTATGTCGTTTATCACATGGTTTCATAAAGCGCTATAAATGTTTGTATTAACAGCGTTCTAGACGCATACTATCAAGTCCCATAAACTGATCTAGGTACCCTTAGAACGAACCAATATCGAATTCGAATAGTTCAATTCGATCTCGATAGTAGTCAAGTGAAAAGAAGTTTTCTATGGAACACTTTTAACTCACGTGACGTCCGTTGCGATGCAATTTAAAATTACCATACGACTGATCTTGACATTTGACGCGTATCGTTCGTATTGGTACGTGCGAAGGGTACAGATCAGTGCAGGATTTGTTTGGATTACTGACCAACGTGTAAGACAGATTCTATAATAATGTAAATATTGTTTAAAAAAGGTTGGAACATACCTCCTGGTGTTGGCTGTGCGCCTAGTACCGGCGGAAGTGGTGCGAGGCCGCTGGGGCTGCAAGTCGGCTAGCGACTCTCGCACTTCCGGCAAGAATGCGTCGTCATTTGTGGATGGCGCTAACGCAGAAATTTTGGCTTTTTTAATGGTTATATTGTTTTGATATTTTGTTTGCAGAACAGTATCTGCCCGAGCAAATTTAATACTAGTAGGTGCTCAGAAAAAAGTTACAATGTAAACTAATCAAAAGTGTCTAGTTAAGCACCTATCAAACTTTTGCGTTGAGAAATTAGCCAATCTATTTTATTTACCAAAACCAGTGGCCCAGGTCGGATTTTTACCTTAATTCTTATATAAAAATTGAATCAACCTTGCATTTATAAAAATAGAATAAAAAGAAAATGCGTCAATTACATATAGTGAGATTCAAAATGCTGCTGTGAAGTCAGCGCAAGTCGCGACGCAGTACAAGAAATGTGTGGTGACGTAGACTCGCGCGGGATGCGTATAGATGCACTCGCTGCTAACATCACAACCAGCGTTTCCAGACCTACAGATTTGTCCGTAGAGCTACGGACTTTAGGTCTACGGACATACGGATTTTAGTCGTAAAAATACGGATTTTTGTTCGGATTCTATTTCATCCACCAAAACAATAGTATAAATATTGCAATTCAATAAAACTACGTAAAACGAAACGTAACTCCAAATAAAAGGTCCTGCGACTTGCGTCTTTGTTTCTTGTTATTTTGTCTGTGATACCTGTCCAACTCCAAAGACTACTTTGTTTGATTAGCGCCTAAAGTAAAACGGAATGAACTATTCGTGGTTTTATTGATCACAAAATAAAGTTTGGATCGCACTGTACTAAGTAGCGTACATGACCCTAGGTACTTTTGGTGTGCATTGGTCAAAGAATAAGTAGGCTTCTTAACGTTAGCCAGTGATTCCTCTGACCTTTCTTGTCTTCGCTGGGCTCGGTGCGGTTGCTGTCCGAAGACTTCTGGCGTGCGGGGGTAGCCACCGGCTGCTGCCTCACGACCGTCACGTCCGGTCCGGCCGCACTGCCGGACGACGTTGATTCCGAGTCACCGTCTGGTTCCTTCTCCACCACTACCGCCTCCGGGCCGGATTGAGGCATCTCATCCTGTTTCAAAACACGCTACTAACTGGCCAAAAACTAATGCTTATACGCTTCTACAAAAAAAAAGTTAGACAATGGGCCTGATTCTGACATCTCACCTGTCTCTTGTTTTCACTCTCCACAACATTATAGGGTTATATAATTTATAGTACTATTTTGTTTTAGGTTTAAACTAAACAGTTCGAGTCATCTTCAGGAATTGATATATGAAATTTCTTCTTAAACTCGTGTTGAATGAATTACTTTTTGTGGTAATAAGGTAAGTCTTCCCGATTTAAGACAGCGTTAATTTACCTCCATCTCAGTTATTTAGCTAACTTCAGTGGTGCATGATTTAAATGGCTTAAAACTTTGCTACAGACCACTGTCATTTCCAACGGTAGTGCAGATCGAGGCGGGTGCAAGCGCCAAAGAGCAAGTTCATTAAAAAGTTTCTTGTTATTTTTTTCCTAGTTGTTTTTAATTAAGACAAACGACAGGAATCGAGCAAATTGTAAGATTGCTAATATGTCCAACTAACACCTGAATAGCCAAACACTCAAATTCTTGTAGTAAAAGTAAAAAAAAAATATCTAAATACTTTAACAGTTAAAGGCGCGAACATAATTTTAATATTCAAATAGGTAATATATCTTTAGGATCATAATCTGGAGGATTGTCTTCAAACTCGTGTACTAAAATATTGAAAAGGTTTTAAGGACTTAGTGTGCTGTGTAAGATTACCCTTTTTAAATGGTAGCTCTCAAATATCTTTAAAGTCGCGGAAAGATATATATATACTTGAAATTTTATATCATCAAAATGCTTTCTTCGTTAATTTTATTCTGCTTCGTGGCTAATTTTTTATGTTTCTAATAAATGTGACGATTGTTAGTATTTAGCTCATTTGCTTGTTTGACGCAAGTAATAGTATCTTTATTAAGTAGCAAAATTTTCTTCATATAGCAACATTGTTAAATGTCTATAATCAAATAATAAAGCCTATAATGAACCAAGTTTAATTTACTTGAAACCCTTTATTAAGTAAATAAGACGACCTCTACTAATCAAATCTTATCACCGAACGAAAATCTTTTGAATATTTTACGCAATTTTAGCAGCTTCTATAACTTCAGAAGAACTTAAATAACATTTTAATTAAGGAGTGTTAGAATATTCGGCTGCAAATTGACTAGATGATGTTCTTGTTAATCTCATCAAATTAATATTATTATTATTTTGTTTCTATAAGTGCGAATGAATATTTTATAATGATCAATGTTCATCGATAAGAAAGTACCAGCTTTATTTAATTGAAATAAGCACCATTTTGATATTTCTTTGGTGAGACTATATTGATTAAGGGGATTAGATCTATTCAATCTTTTGCTTCCTTCTTCAGTAGTTACTCCTCAAACAATTATTAAAGTTAACCTAGTCTTTTTTTTCTTAACAATTGCGAAGCACAAAGCCCGATCTAAAATGAATAAGGCGGAGAGAATTTTCCAACAGAAAGAACAAACTGTGCAGACGGTGCAAAGGTTTCATTCGTGTTTCAATTCAGTAGGTATTTAAAAATTTAAATTTCAAATACAAAGGCGAAAAGTTGTAATGAAAGAATTTTGGTGATGAAAAGTGTTCACGTTTGAATATGGGAGTACACATATTTCAAGAAGCAAGTAGTACGTATATGTGCCATTCTTATTGTTGCAAGAAACTCGTTGCATTATATAGCGAAAGAACTTTTTTGTGTGCTTGTATTTAACACTCTCAAATATGTGGACTCCCTGACACAAAACAGTGAAGTATGATAACATAAACACACACAGAATAGGCATGGGTAAAAACAGTACACCCAAAGAAGATATTGGGTGAGGTGTGTATGATGATGTGTTAAAAACAATCAAAGACGAGTACATCGCATTGGAATTCGCAGATGTGCGTAAATCAATGTGCTATCTCACAAGACACGTTGCGTTACCGTGTTTTAAAAACTTTACAGTGAAATCAAACTATACGTGATATTTACAATATTACTCTGTAAATTTTGTAATATATAAGTAATAAAGCGTTTACTGCCCGTACCTTTACCTGTAAACAATAAAAAGAGTTACTCTATTTTATTACACTGTTTTTGGACGAAACCGAAAAAGCTCAGAACATTTCGCAGGAATCAAGTTTTATTATCGATATCATCCGAAGTGGATCTCTAAAAGGATTCGCTAGTCGTGCAAGTATCGTATAGTAAGCCGTGGGTGTTTGATATTAATTTAAGAGATCATCTAAACGCCAACGCGTGTATAAAATATCTTTTTCGTGACGCCATGTTGTAACATGAATAACGACGCTAAAAGAACGCGTATAATAAGTTTTTACTAACCAGTTTCATTTAAAATTGTTATTAAAATAATGACATAGGAACTTGCAAAAATCTCTCTTGAACCTCACTTAAATCTCTCTCATGATATCACGGTTGATATTAGTCAAACGTATCTAGCTCCAAGTGTAAGGTGTCGTGGTTTAGAAAATTTGCTGCTGAACAATGCGACCTTACTATAAGCGCCTTTACGTTGTAAAAATTATCATAACATGTGGTACCGTAACGGGTAACATTATTATTTCTATCGCAGTAGAAGAATAAAGTATTTCCTTTATTATATATTGTGTTAGGATGTGTCTTAATTTCACGCACGTGCATCATCTAAAACAAGTTTATATTTTTTTTCCTTCTCTACCAAGAGATGAGGCCAATAATATTTTAAAAACACAAAAACAATACTCGTCCACTTTGGTATAAGTACCGTTTATTTTATATCATACCGTTTACACTGTACTCATACCGGGTCTTTTTGATGGCGTGTATTACACTGTAGTTTTCTACCGTTTCTGTACCGATTTTTTATTTGATGGCGTGTATTGTAATGTATTTTTCTACCGTTTCCGTACCGTTTCTCTATTTGATGGCGCGTATTGTAATGTACTGTACCGTTTTTGTACCGTTCCGCTATTCGATAGTGTGTATTGCACTGTAATAACGCAAGGCACGCGCGGTTCGGCTAGGCAGTATTCTTTCTTTATTCGATGGCATGTACAGTAATGTATTTTGCAAACGATTTTGTACCATTCCGCTATTCGATGGCGTATATTGTACTGTAATAACGCATGGTGCGTGCGTTTCAGCTGGGCAGTACTATTTCTTTATTTGATGGTTGATATTGTTATTAATTTTGGACCGTTTCCGTACCGTTCCGCTATTCGATAGCGTGATGCACTGTAAAAACGCACGGCGCGTGCGTTTCATCCGGGCAGTATTATGTCTTTATTTGATGCCTGATATAGTAATGCATTTTTCGACCGTTTCGTACCGTTCCGCTATTCGATTGCGTGTATTGCACAGTTATAAGGCACGGCGCGTGCGTTTCACGTGGGGTTGATATTGTAATGTATATTTCGACCGTTTCCGTACCGTTCTGCTATTCGATGGCGTGATGCACTGTAATAACGCACGGCGGGAGCGTTTCAGCCGGTCAGTATTATTTCTTTATTTGATGTCTGACATAGTAATGCTTTTTTCGACCGTTTCGTACTGTTCCGCTATTCGATGGCGTGTATTGCACTGTTATAAGGCACGGCGCGTGAGTTTCAGGCGGGGTTGATGTTATAATGCATATTTCGACCGTTTCCGTACCGTTCCGCTATTCGATGGCGTGTATTGCACTGTTATAAGGCACGGCGCGTGAGTTTCAGGCGGGGTTGATATTGTAATGTATTTTTCGACCGTTTCCGTACCGTTCCGCTATTCGATAGCGTGATGCACTGTAAAAACGCACGGCGCGTGCGTTTCAGCCGGGCAGTATTATGTCTTTATTTGATGCCTGATATAGTAATGCATTTTTCGACCGTTTCGTACCGTTCCGCTATTCGATGGCGTGTATTGCACTGTTATAAGGCACAGCGCGTGCGTTTCACGTGGGGTTGATATTGTAATGTATATTTCGACCGTTTCCGTACCGTTCCGCTATTCGATGGCGTGTATTGCACTGTAATAATGCATGGCGCGCGCGGTTCGGCCGGGCAGTATTCGCGTAGGGTGCTTACGTCGGAGGGCTGCGAGCGCTCGTCCTCCTCCTGCACAGGCCGGACGGCGAAGCGCGCGGCGCCCGTGTCGCTGTCCGACAGCACCTGTCCGTACCGCACCATAGTAAACACACGAAAGGGGTCCTTAGACTTTCATGCAGCATGACCGTAGACATAGAGAATGAAGTGAGCGTTCGCTTATCGATTGTAAAGTGAAACTGGGCAGTCTTAACGCCGAGTTTCTGAAAGGATTGTCAAATCATTATTTAGCTAACATGTCTGTCAATTTGAGTTTCTAAAAACAAGATTAGCAAAAGATTTTAGACAACCGAAATGACGCTTGATAACTCAATTGACAGGTAACATTAGATTTAACCACATGCTAGTTAATTTTACCTCTAAACAGCCTGTCATAAACTGGAAGTAAGTGTGAGATTTACGAAGCAGTCGGGCAGCCCAGTTAGTCTATGTCATCATCATCATCATCATAAGCCTCGGCCAAAGACCTCCACGCTGATCTTGAGCTGTCCGTATCTAGCCGCTTCCCACGACCTTCAATAGATCGTCGGTCCACCTTGGTGGGGGGTCTACTCACATCTGTATACCGTGTGTGTTCGTCTATTTATTGGCTGTTTTCTTTAGAGAGTTGTCAATTTGTCTATTTATTGGCTGTTTTCTTTAGAGAGTTGTCAATTTTATGCGAGAGTCATTCAGTCCATACTCTATGTCTATAAGTATAACACACGTTTCCGTGAAAAGAGGAGTTATGCTGCATGACAGCACGTAGTTTGCATATCATCCGCATTGATCAACACATTGAAGCGATCACGCATGCATGATAGCACGTTAAGCATGTCATGCTGCATGATCGTGTAGGGGCACTTTAAGCAACGAGTGGAATAAGTAGTGCAATTTTTAATCTAATTCATATTGTTTTTTTAAACTATTTTAAAGTAACAATCAAGAGCGCCAATGCTTTTTGAATGCGTTTTGTACAAAAAGTAGAACAAGAATGTAGGCTGCGTGATTCTAATTGTGCTACCCAGAGTATTTTATTCTATCAGATCAAAATATCTATGATGTGCGACCTATAGTCTCGTAAATCATTGGCAAACTTATTGACTACAGGATCTTTCAAAAGTGGTAGGGCAATGCAGACTTTCTGGTCGAATTGTAGCGCCCCGCTCGTAACGGAAGGAAGTTTTATTTTTTTCCTACAGATCAAGCTCTATTGACGAGACTTCCTCCGGGTTTGCTGCAAAATATAAGCTGAAACTCAGTCCACTCGTACTCAGATAGAGTATAGCAATTTGTTGGCGACTTTTATAAAAAAGAGATATTTATCGTTTGAACTACGCTTGCGATGCTAGGAGTAAGTTACGACGAGTTGCTCATTACAAAAGTTATATATTTTTCCTTCTCTACTGTAATACAGCTAAAGTTGAATTATCTCGTAGATGGGTATTTCAATTCGAGCGGAAAAATTCAGCGAGCCCAACCTTTTCTCTCAGTTAATTAATTTAAACTTTGCAAATCCGATAAGAGCTGCAAAGATGTTCAACAAAATTGGGCGATAAGTAAGAGCCATTATAGATATTAAAAGGTTATTAAACGTACAAAAAGCAATATTATTATTCATAGATAGAAAATTCTGAGAAATGCTCCAAAAATTGCACTACACGTTCCCATTATTGCAAGTGACCTAAATAGAAGCCGCGTACATGTATTACAAAGTTTTAACATTTGCTCAAAGCCAGTTACAGCCAGTAACAGTTCGTAACTTTTTGGCAGCTAAATCGCTGTTTTATTAAAATGTAACGTTAAAGTTACTCTAGAGCTGAATCGTGTTGCATTTAATAGATTCTGTACAGTTATTACAATCAGTAATGTTATATTTCTGTTAATTGAAATACTCGGCTTCTGATTAGACCAATATTATAACACTGACGACATTAAAGTCCGCATTTAGAAGCGATCAGCGGGAACAAATAATGCCTAGCAATTTCACAAGAAAACGCCTCTGAATGCGGAGCTGACAGTTATGAGGGCACATGGGTGTTTTGTCGCTTGAATTATTACATTCTCTTGTTTAATCTATAACTATTAGAATACCATTAGTTTCACTGTTTCAAATAGCTGACGTTAATTATAATTATAGTTCAATTCCCAAGATGATTAGGGTTGCAAAAAGTGAAAGGAATATGAAATTCATTTAAAAGTTTGACCTACTGTTTAACACGACCAAACAACCAGTGCACTTTAAAGATAATCAGAACTTTTGCAACGTAACAAACAATTGAACAATACATTCAAAATATGCCTACTAAAAACCACCGGTACCCTCCTACGCCCATATGGGGGCGTCTCAGGATCAGCGCACCTTAGTGTGCGCCACTTCACTGGGACGCCCCCGGGTACATTCAAAATATGCCTAGCAGTTTAGATTTTTCAAACCAAGTAGGAATTATTTTATCCTTGCAACGACTGGCAGTTTAGAACTAGTAGGAATTACTTTATCCTTTTAAATGTTTTAAGTTCTGATAATCTAAGAACGAAACATAGAGAACATAGAATGAGTTAACATGAAGTTTGGGCAACGAATAGAAAAACATCGAAAAGTTGTTATCATGCTGAAATGGAAACACTGATATTGGTTAAATTCACATACAATATAGACTCAAAAGCCTAATTTAATACAAGGACTCATATAGCATTTGAAAAGATACAGGAATTGTGAGAACCAGATTTTTGCGATAACGTAAATGACAGTTAAGACATTGCTGACACAATACCACGAAATTGTTATATACAAATATTCATATAAAAAAGGGGGCATGGCGTTATGCTTCAAGTTTGATCATCGACAAATGATAAAATGAAAAGCTGCAGTCTAGATATCTTAAAATTTTTATTGGATTCGTTGACTGAGGAAAATAATTTAAATACATACATTTACTTAAAATTTGAATAAAAAAAAATTTCAATAGGAAGAGCTGTTTCAGAAGAATTCATCGTATGGGAAGTCATACGCATTTTATTTTATTATTTTAAAATCTTAACCAAAGCAGTCGATCCTTATTCAGACCTCTGTCTTGTTCAATTGCCTTCATATTCATAATCAGATTCTGACTTACCTCCGACCTGTCACTAGCCGTTCTCAGTCTGTTGCCAGCGGCTTGGAAGGTAGGTGGTGGTGGTCCCAGAGTATCAGTTGACCCTCTATTCACCAGCGATGGATGCGTGGCCATGAACCGATGGATTACCGCTAGGTGATTCATAGTCTGCTCAGTAACGTCTTCCAGCTTTCTTAACCTAAATTCTACACTCTGGAAATGCGAATAAAGTTACGTAACTCTTTTAACTTTAAAATCATCTGTGTGTTTATCGATTTTCTATCTTAATAAAGTCATTTTTGAAATAGTGGAACAGTTACCAATTTTTTTGTTAAATATAGCATTGTGCTGTCAGTGGTAATAAATACACCGTGTTCCTGAGGTTATACACTAACTTTGGCATGTTATTCAGACTATTAAATTGATTATTTTTTAGTATGGGCACTTTTATGAATTCCAATTTCTTGAACATTTTTTATTTTCATACAAACTAAATGCTTAGATATACTTTATCTAATATGAATTACTCTTTACCTGAGCTGGCGACGTCGCATTTGAAACTTTGGTTCACATGTCCACATAAACTTTTTGAAACTTTTCTTGACGTCAACAATGTTTTTTAAAATTTTGACTTTTGAGACTTAATGACCATTGACAAAGAGTTGATAGTTTGATAGTTTTGGTTGCACAAAGTGGCAACACAACACAATTAAGTTGGTTTAACTTAAATTACCAATAACTTAAAAACTATGCTATTTAAACTACTACTTTCCTTGTACGATATGTTTAACAAGAGCTATAGAAGTTTTATTCAAAGTTAATGTATATCCTCAGGAACTCGGTGTATATTGTGAATTCTCAGTAATAGTTCTTCCAATACAAATTTCAAGATTAATCGCTAATATTACTAAATTTTCTAATTTTCGTCGCAAACTCTATAATTAATAATATGTTCAAAAATAAACTTTTTCCACTACGCACTTTTGCAGAAGATAAGGTGAAGTTTTTATCTGCCAAACAAGTTTGCTAACTTTAAGTTAAATTGAAAAACTGAGAGTTATTTTCTTTATAAAACAGCTTTTGTATGTCGAATGACACTCACCTGCACGGACTGTATCTGGCAGTTGGCTTTCTGATTTAAGTCTTCCATTTTGGTCGTGATATGTTCTACCCTATCAGTTGTATTCCTTACTCTCTCCTCTATAGAATTAGATAATTTAACTTCCTGTTAAAGAAAAAAAAACCGTTTTTATAATTGTTTTCTTTCTATTTTTTTTTTATTTTATTTATACAGCTTTGTTCACATTATCTTGGATGCAGCATTGGAGTTTATCAACATGGTTGTGTTCAACCACGTTTACAAAATCATAAAATTTGAGGAATATTATGTGAGAGTGAATATACTTATTAAAATGTACATTTGTTTTCCGTAAGTAATGCGACTTAATGATATTTAAATTCTCAGCCTTAATAGCACATAAACTATTGTTATCTTTATGCACATAAAACACAGGCTTATAGAAAACACTAGTGTTTTTAATTATTTTCCAACAACTTTCAAACTTATCATGAAAGTTGAATACAATATGAGAATACTTAACTTCATAAGGGAGAAAAGGTATAAGCTTAAGCCACTTATTAGAGTAATTTTAAACACCTCACTTTTATTAGAATTTTATGTTTCAACTTTTACAACGGCAGAGTCTGGCTCACTTTAATTTCGTCTGCGAAATGGGTTTAAACAATCTCATCAGATTTTACGAAGTACATTGTGTAATTTGTTGTTCTTTTATTAAATCTGGAAACTTCATACAGCACTTACAATAAAAAAAATATATAAAAATAGAATACAACAAAGCCATAATTGTATAAAAATACGAGGCAGATGATAGTGGATTTTGCGCTCAAATCAGAAAAGAAAATGAGGAACCTTCACCTTGCAAAAAACCACAGTGAATTTTTGTTGTGTTGTTCTTTTTCTCTCAATAAATATGCTTTCTACGGGGTAAGGTACACAACGTGCGAGTGATACTTTGGCATCGTCATAGGCTGTGATGGTGGACGCGCTAACTACTGCCCCTGTCCGAGGTGTAAACTCAACTTAACGTTGTCTCTGACACACGTTTCCTTAGTAACGTGAAAAACAAGAAGTCTTGGAATACAAGTTATACAAGCAAGTTTTTTTTTCCATTTTCCTCCAATATGGTAGCAGAGTCTTAAGATTTATAGTATTTTATTTTCTTTCTTGTTTCTTTATTCAATATAATCCGTCTCAAAAATGAGCAATCAATGTTTCATTGAAAAACTTTCCGGTTAATTGAGGTAAATTTCTTGCCAATGTCCGAAATGATAGCGGACATCTTAACAAATCCCTTATCTGCAGAGAAACACAACTATTTTGTAAAGGGTTTAAGCTTACAACGTAATTTGTCAAATAGGTAGATATCTTTACGTTAGTTAAGTTTAAGGGTCGGTGTTAGAGGTGTCGGAGCGGTGCGGTGACGGAGAAAGAATACAACTCACCACCCCTTTTCTTCCCGTGGGTGTCGTAAGAAGCGACTAAGGGATGTCGGAGCTTCCATCCGCTCTTCTGGTGGTAGGGTGCCTAACACCCGCCTGGTTCGTTACCACCGTGCGCATGGTGAAAAACCCGTGAAGTGCTTCTCGCGCGTTTCGGGGTCAGCCAGCGTACAACCAGAGCTCGAGTGGAAGTTGTCGCGAAGGTTTCGGTCCAGGGGAGGCATCCGTGGAACTGATGCCAGGAGCACTGCATCGACCCGTCGGCCAGGGAGACCCGTAGAAACGGCTGTCCCGCTGGCCGCCCGTGGCACAGTACAGGGGCCCAAGCGTTTCTAACCAGTTCGGGAGGCTGCCCCGTCATGTCACGCATAATCTCGGGGTGGACCGTCGTGCCGGTTGGTGACCGGGGCGTGGGGTCCCGGCGGCCACTCCCGGGGGGGGGGGGGGGGGGGGTGCGGGGGCCCTTCCGTCCGGCGGGTCGGCGCATCTCCTCTGCAGGCAGTCAATCGGGAAAACAAACCTCCCTTATTTGCCCGGACTCTTCGCGACGGCTTCCGCTCGTTTTCGCGTCTCTTTTTTTTTCACTTCCACCATGGCAGCCTCAATAATAAAATTTGGACGTACAGCGGTGCACACCCCCACACCTTCAACGCTGTTTGAGGTCGAATTTTGCAACATACGCGGACTCCACTCTAACCTCAACGCTGTCCACCAACATCTCGAGACAGCACGGCCAGCATTGTTGTTCCTGACGGAGACACAAATACTTCCGCCTGCTGACACAGGCTACCTTAATTATACCAGCTACGTGCTTGAAGAGTCCTTCAAAGCGAAAGCCGGTGTATGCCTGTATGTTCGGGCGGATGTTTGTTGTCGCCGTCTCCGCTGCTCGGAAGATCCCTCCTTCTCCATGCTGGGGGTACACGTCGACTCTGGCCCCCTGGCCAGAGTCTACGTGTGCCTCTACAGATCCCACACCGGCGATGTTGGGACAACTCGACTTTTTGAGCACCTTAGTCGGGCAGCAGATGACGCGCAGGAATAATTTCCCAATGCATAATTGGTGTTTTTGGGGGACTTTAATGCTCACCACAATTTGTGGTTAAGTTCTTCCAAAACTGACCATGCAGGGATCTCTGCTCACACATTCGCTCTCACGCATGACTTGAAGCAACTGGTTGATCAGCCCACCGGGATCCCAGATATTCCAAGTCAAGCGCCTTCTTTACTGGACCTTCTGCTCACGACACATCCACAGGGCTATCAGGTCGTGGTAAGAGCCCTCCTGGGCTCGTCCGATCACTGCCTGATATCTGCCAAAGTACCACAGGCCAAGCCTCCGCGTCCAGCAGTAGTCAAGCGCCGTATCTGGCATTATGGGTCAGCAGATTGGGACGGTATGTGTGATTACTTTGCGTCCGTCCCTTGGAAGCAGCGCTGCTTCAGTGACAGGGACCTATCGGGCAGTGCCGTTGCCATTACTGAGGAGATTATAATGGGTATGGAATACTATATTCCTCATTCTGATCTCATCAGTAAGGGTACACGTAACCTCTGGTTCAATCACGACTGTGCTGAAGCTGCTTTGTGTAAGCAAGCGGCATATCGTGCTTGGATCAGAGGCCGCGCTCTCAAGGATCCCGGGGTCGATTCACTCAAATCAGCCTACAATTCTGCTTCCAAGGCCTGTAAGAAGGTTTACATCAGAGCGGATGCCCAGCGTGTTGCACGTGTTGGCCAGGAACTTATAACGCATCCTGCGGGCTCCCGTAGCTACTGGCGTTTGGCCAAGGCCGTGCAAAAAAACTTCTGCCGGCCCTCGCTGCCACCTCTGAGATGCCCAGACGGAACACTAGCTCATAAGCCGCAGGAGAAAGCCGATTTACTGGCAAAACTCTTTGCGGCTAACTCCCGAATCGATGATTGCAATGCACTGCCACCATCATTACCTCACTGTGGCACAACGATGCCTGATATTAAAATCAGGCAGCGTGAGGTTCGTGCCGAATTGCAATCACTCGACGTCCGGAAAGCTAGTGGACCTGATGGCATCCCAGCAGTAGTACTTAAAAAATGTGCAGCGGAGTTGTCTCCCGTGCTCACGCGCTTGTACCAATACTCCTATTCTTTGAGGCGTGTGCCGGAGACTTGGAGAGATGCTAACGTGCAACCGGTGCCCAAAAAAGGGGATCGCTCAGACCCGGCAAACTACCGGCCAATAGCAGTCACCTCAGTTTTATGTAAAGTTCTAGAAAAGGTCCTTATTAACCATCTGACCCGCTACCTAGAGGATCACTCCCTGATTAATGATCGTCAATATGGATTTAGACCGAAACGATCGACGGGTGATCTTCTAGCGTACTTAACTCATATCTGGGGTGAGGCTATCGACAAGCGTGGCGAGTCGTTGGCTATCAGCCTTGACATTGCCAAGGCGTTCGACAGGGTCTGGCACAAAAGCCTTCTCTCCAAGCTTCCGGCATACGGTCTGCCAGCCCAGTTCTGTTCTTGGGTAGCTGACTTCCTGCATGAGCGTAGAATTCGTGTCCTTACGGATTATAGCACTTCGCAGTTCATGTCAGTGAATGCCGGCGTTCCCCAGGGCTCCGTCCTATCCCCCACTCTCTTTCTGCTGCATATCAATGACTTGATTCCTCTTGGGAATATTCGTTGCTATGCAGACGATAGTACAGTGCATGCGGGGTATCTCGGACAAGCAGCGGCTGGGCAGGCAGTAACCAAGGAGAAACGGGAAAATCTTGTCATTGAACTCAATCAGGCTTTGGACCACATTTCCGAATGGGGTACCAGGAACTTGGTTGAGTTCAATGCCAAGAAAACTCAGGCTTGCGATTTCACGGCAAAAACATCGCCATTGCTTCCCCTTCCATCTCTTCAGGGCACAACACTACCGCTGCAGAGCAACATTTCCATGCTCGGTATGGAAGTTCGCTCAGACCTGAATCCAAAGGACTACATCGAAACCGTGATCAAAACAGCTTCACGCAAACTCGGAGTCCTGAACAAGGTGCGGCGTTTTTTCACGCCCGATCAACTGTGCTTGTTGTACAAAATGCAAGTGCCGTCCTGCGTGGAATATTGCTCGCATCTCTGGGATAGCTCCGCCAAGTACGTGCTCGATGCTTTGGATAGGTTACAGCGGCGCGCGATCCGCATCATAGGCGATGAGGAGGTGACTAAACACCTTGAGCCTCTTCAATTACGCCGTGACGTGGCGTCACTAAGCGCGTTCTATCGTTTGTACCACGGCGAGTGTTCTGAGGAGTTATTCTCTCTTATCCCACCTTCCCCTTTCCTTCAGAGGACCACGCGCGCTGGCCTACGTTGTCACCGTCTTACTGTGGCCACAATTCCAACGCGTACAAAGAAATTTGGTGATTCATTTCTTTGTCGCACTATCCATAAATGGAATGCTCTGCCCGCTCACGTGTTCCCTCCCTCTTACAACCTGGGATCCTTTAAAGAGGCGTGAAGAAGCAACATGCAGGCCGGCAGGGTGAGGATGGCTGGTGTGGCAGGTAGAACTGCTGTATCAGCTATCTTCGCATCTAGACTTCACCTTCACTTAACATCAGGTGGGGCGAAGTCATTTGTCGGACCTATCTTTAAAAAAAAAAACTCAACTTAACGTTGTCTCTGACACACGTTTCCTTAGTAACGTGAAAAACAAGAAGTCTTGGAATACAAGTTATACAAGCAAGTTTTTTTTCCATTTTACTACAATATGCCCTTCTGAATCCTCCTCTTACCTGAATATAAGCCAGGTACTTTTAAGGATCTCGCCACACCGGTGTCGCTATAAAAGACAGTACATTCTCATCAAGTGGGAAAACCACTTACTTGTTCCCTAAAATATCCTTCTACGCACTCCTCTTCGAAGTCATACAGTCTTTCCATATCCTCCTTCTCCAAGAAGAGTTTCAGTCCGTTGTCGTATTGGAAGCGTTGGTGCGACACGTTTCTTGTTACCCACTTGCATGTCGCATATATGTGGCAGAATATTATGAAAGGTGGCGGGAGCACCGGCTTCTGTTCGTACTCCATGACAACCGTGAATCTTTGGAACATCCATACCTGGCAACATTTTGTTAAGTGTCATGATTGTCATACCTAACCTAGCTACCATTTTTTGTGATTATCTCTTATGCTAGCACTTCACATGGATATTCGTAAATACTTGCTAGATAGCAGTAAGCATTTCCTCCTTAACATGCCTTAAAATGAATGAAAAGGAGAGACTATACTGTCAAATATACTAATAGTAAATGGGCGCCGTATAAAGTGCTTAGATTAAAAATATTTACGAAAACATTTTGGTAGGTAAATATTTGTTGATCAACTGACTACGGCCGTTAATTTTTTACGAGTATTTTGAATTTTAAATGTCTGATTAACACATATAATACAGTTGACAATATTCTGCCCCCAGAAAAAGACAAGGCTTATCAGTTTAGTTAGAGTCTGTGCGGAAAGAGAATGGGATTTATATTGGAGGGCGCTGTAGTGCTTTTCTACCGTATTTGTAAGGTTTTACCCCTTTTAGACATGATTAAATACAAAAAACCGCAAGAAATCACAACAACAAACAAATCCGTATCAATACAAAACTTTCACGTCTTACAGATTGCTGGGTTTGATTGCCACATAAAAATCTTAATGTTAGTTCCGTTTTTCGCCACGCCCATTCTCTTTCCGCACAGACTCTAACATGCAATCTTTATTTTTCTATATAAAAAGTAAAAATGCCTAAAATGTAGGTATACTTTATGCTTTCTGGAACACAGAATATTGACAATAGTTTGATATATAAATTTACGAATAATAAATTGACATAGCTACGCGTTTCATAAAAACATTCAAAGCATGTTCGAGCCATTAATAAGGAAGTTATTGCTGTAGCCTAAATATATCTATGACAATAATTAAATTATTAGAACTAAAATTTTAAAGTTACGCATAACCAATTAAGAGGAAAAAGCATTAGAATCAGAATTTTCGTAACATTTTAAACTATTTCCGTAGTTTTTCCTTTGTCATTCTTTAACAACGCGGGCCCAGTGTGTATTGGGATTATTGCATAGCTATATGACAAGAACAATCCCAACATCTACAAGAGCTCTAGGTAATTTATCACGGTGACCCATTCGTTAAGGTTATGTAATCATAAACCGATCGTGCTTAACTCTACTCGATCAGTCGAATTCCTGCACGTTTTTAATATGGCTTCCATTTGCTCCATGATAGTGATAATACAGTTTATGTAGCTCAAAGCTAATTTCAAAGCTGTATTAAGGTCGCACATTTAGTTTCAGAACAAAATTGATTAAATTTTTCCAATCTGCAAGATGCTTTTAAACAATTTCTCTTATAAAGTGCGCGCTACTGAAAATTCTGCTTCCGATGCTAGCAAAATAAATAGAATTTAAAAACAAATAACGAAAGAAAAAAGCTAAACCTGATGCGAGACTTCATTGACTTCGTTAAATATGTTATTAAAAACAGCTATCAGGAGATTTATGAGCAGGATATTGGCAACGAGCAGATATATCGTCATGGCGACCGGCGTGATCCATCTTCCGGTGACGCACTTCCGGTCGGTGACGTCCTGCCCGCACGCGGGGTCAATGTCCGGCGCGAAAACCTCCCCGTACAACATGAAGTAAGGCTGGAAGAATACCTACAAAGGAGGGAGAAAAAAACAAAAAGGTCAACGTAAAAAAAAAAAACAAAACCTAATCTACAAAATAAGGTCTAACTAAAAACTCTACTTTAAAAAAAAACAATACATTACTTAATTTAGAAATCGAACTACCTCAAACTACAGATTCTAATCAAAAAAAAGTCCTATCAACCGTAACCGTAAATCAAATCTCGCAACAGGCCTGTCAATACAACGAATATACAAAAAACGAGACATTCCAAAAAGGTTTCGTTTCGCTACGTGTCTACTCCAACCTGATGGGACACGCCGTTGACCTCAATAAAGATATTGTTGAACACAGCAATGAGTAGGTTCACAAGCAATATGTTAGCAATGAGGAGGTACACGCTCATCACCACCGGTGGGACCCAGTGGCCCACGCGGCACTCCTCGAACCCGGGCATGCCGCAAGGGGGTGCCATTTGTTCGGCGAACACTTCGCCGTAAAGCATGAAGTACGGTTGAAAGAACACCTGAAAATTGTTAGTTGGTGACAGGGACACGAAACATAATGTTGTTTTAAATGTAGATATTTTTAACTGGCTGTGACAAATGAGACACGAAAAATAATGCATTTTTAATGTAGGTTTATGTTTTTATAAATATAAAACTGTTCGTTTCCAGAGATCTTTGCTTCTACACACAATAAAGTTATTGAATGAGCTTCACGGTATTTCCTAAGTTCTATAGCATTTTTCAGTTTTCTTCAAACGAGGCCTATACAGAGTGTGCCACGAAAGGCAGCGGCAAGGCATTGCTGATGTTGATGTGTGAACATTTAACATCGGATGGCACGTCAGCTCGTGTGCCTTCGAAGGCAATAAAAAAGGCGTTTACGAATAAAACAAAGTCAATTGTTACAAAAGTTAAGTGTTTATTTAACTTGGAAGCGCAATGGGCTCAGAGACCCCAGCACGAATTCTTGACAGCTTCGTAACGTATCGCATCGTCTAAGTTTCTTTGAAAACTAAACAGCGTCCTCATCGAATGTAAAAACAAACTAGCTTTTTCTATAAATTATTTGAAGATGACTATACGTTACGGAACTGTCATAAATTCGTACTTGGGCCACATCCTAGGGGTATCGATCGGCAAGTGATATTTTTTCTTTATCAGTTTTATAATTATGAAATGAGTTGAAGAGAGCGATTTAATTTTAAAGCATCCATCCTCAAATAATGAATGAATATAAAGTTCCCTTTAGTTCCGTTTAACTTTCTTAGCTCTCATACATAAACGTATTTAAATACAATACAAATTTTATTTAAGTATAATAATATAGTGAATTTTAAGGAATGATGTTACACAAAGTAGGTATAATAATAGAGTGAAAATAGGGAATACAATAACATATGATTAACGTATTTATTAAACAAATTGCTGAACAGAATAGAAGAAAGTGATTTCTGAAATAAAAAAAAACGTTATAGATCCATAAATACTTTTGATGATAATATAACAATGCCGTAAGTTAATTATTGGTTCAATACGAAAGACAATAAAGGTACCAATTAAGAAATATTTATACGACAAATAAATTATTTAAACGCAACAAAAGTAAGCTTTTGACCGTTTATAACGAAAGGAACTCATTAAAATATTCATAAATTTGTACACAAATAGATAATAAAACAGACAACCAACAGCATTTCAGGTCTCTACAAAATTCCTTAAATTATTTTAGAACCTTCTTTCAAAATATTAAGGCTTAAATTTGATTGGGATATTTTTGGCATTTCAAGAAATTTGCTGTTGATTGTACGAAAAATTTAAACCTCATTCTGTTTCTCAACAGATTTAATTATCAGCCCAAATGAACAGCGAATCCCCATTGAATATTTAGTAGCTTTATTGAGTTCTTGAGATTTTTTAACCGTAACTACCAGTAAGCAGTTATTTTTAACGGCGTCGAGTAAAACCGTAAAATATTCAGTACCCTTAGCACGAACCAATTTCGAATTCGAATAGTTTGCGAGTTCGAGATGACATTGTCAAATTTGTATGGAAACTTGAACAGCAGTGCCACAACGGACGTAACGAGAACTAAGAATCAGTACACATCATAAATAAACAGTATCTTTTATCACAATGTACATGAAATTTGCTTTAGAATAAACAAAAACTAAAGAAAATTTACGTCCCGAGTTGGCGCCACTGTGGTCTTTTCTAAGAAGTTTTTGGCACGAATTAATGGAATGAGAGTTTAAATTGATTAATAGTCTATGACGACATACGCGATTTGACGGAAGAGTAGACTTTTCAGGCTCAGTGCTGCCACCTGGCGTCATTTCAGTAGGTCTATTCGCTAACTTTTTGACATTTACAGAGTGTAACTGAAGAGTAAATTACATGGATATGCTTTTCAGAACAAGTATCTTAGTAGCGTTATAATAAAGCAGTAATGTATCACTACATAGCTCGGTGATTGTAACTTCTATCTGTTAAGAGCAGTTAGCTAACAGGCCTACAGGAAACCCTCATCGAATTGAAGTCGTGAATTGAAGAATACAAAACAATTGAAATGTACTCACTTCTCTTATCAAGTACCAACTAGCTTCCTTATCTGGGTAGAGGATGGCTTGCCGCGCCACCCCGAAGGACATGAGCACCACCAGTAATAGCACCACAAAGTATATCATATTCTTTACCATCTTACCCATCATCGTGACTAGAGGACCTGCGGTGTAAACAAATACATAATTAAAAACTTATCTAGCCTGTTTAGGATCTGAAATGTCAAGAACAATGCAATTCTTTTTTTGAGTGTGTATGCTGTTGGTCGCATATGACTTTTGCAGCGTCACCGGGTTTGCGGATGGTGAGATCCTAAGGGGACCTCAAGCCGAGAATTGGCGAGTGCTTCTAGAGGTATTCATTGACATAAATGGAATGATTGTTTTAACATAACTGCAAGTGGCCTTTAATGAACAAACTATTATAATCATCTAATTAACAATCTAAAAAAAAAATATACTTTACGTTTCGTATTTTTATATTTAATATATAAAATTCTCGTGTCACGATGTGTGTAATTGAACTACTCCAAAACGGCTCGACCGATTTTCGTGAAAATTTATATGCATATTCATTGTAGGTTGTAGGTCTGAGAATAAATGTTAAGGGTGGTCCGCGGTTAAATTTTTTTTTTGGACAAAATTTTGTTTTCATTTTTTTATGATACATCATACAAAAATACATACAATCTTAAATTTTCACTCTTCTACCACCAACCCCTATTTTTTATGGCGGTACGAAGTTCGCTGGGACAGCTAGTTATTTATAAAATGTCAATAGTACAATGTATAGTTAGTATCAACAGGTTGACGTGACGGTTAATTTAGCCGTGTTGTCTTCGTGTCATATAAAATTATTTTGACCCAGTTTCTGAATACAATAATATCAAACGACGCACAGAAAACTAATGCTATTTACTTAATATCGGTACAATGAACAGAAAATACTTAAGATTATAAACCTTAAAGTATAACCACATAATGTTCAAAATATTTTAGCACTGTAATATTAAAACTTTTTTCGACTGCAAGGCCCGACAGTCATTACTCTATTATTAACTTAGTTCGGTATTTTAACTCGCGTTAGTTGTTTTTATGAACAATAATCAACTCTAATTATTGTATGGTAAAAGAAAATGTTAGTTTTGGCGCTTCATCAAACTTATTGTCAATTCTATTGATGCGATCGTAAAGTACAGTCAGCTTCATAAAAATGTAGTTAAACACATGTAAGAAGCAACTATTCAATTCTATCATAGCATTTAAAGTTATCTTAATATTGTACACAACCTTTTACTTCTTCAGATCAGAAATGTTTAAAAATATTTTAATTACAAAGCTCTTTTATATGTACGCTTCGTAACTGGTCATTGATACGTAAGCGTCCAGAATACCCATTAATATCTTCACTTACATAGATAATTTAATTTCTAGTACATCAGAAGAAAGATGATATATGATAAACATCGCCTAATCGAAATTTAAGGTCCTATACAGAGTTTTTATTGCGCTATTTTAATATTTTAAGAGATAGGATAGATAATATAAATCAAGCAGCGAGGCATTTATTCAGTCCATTTACTTGATATCGAAGGCGATAGGGTGTAAAAAATGGACCATCACACCTTCTGGCACCATCCAGATTCTAAGTCTGCATGCTTTTCTAAAATCAAAACCATGCATAATGCGGTCCTCATATTTTGCACACTCAACTCCATCCAGCACTTGGTCCAGTACTAGGACAACATAGCTATAAGAGCCTATGCACACCGCGTTTTTGAAACGCGTCGTTGTCGCGCGTTTGTCGTGATACACATGCGGGTCTGACGTAGCCTGTAGACCTCTACCAGTAGGGCCCTGCCTGTGCACACGACGCGCGGTTATAAAACTCACGCCGACGAATCGTTTAAAACTGAAATGTACAGAATCAACATTAACAAGGAGATACATATTTCAAATAAATTACCGGATTTTCGTTTCATAACAAATTGATTCCTGTTGTATTGTTTCAAAATAACCAGGGCTATTTAACTCAAGGAGATACTTAGTACGAATTATTTCTCGCATTGTCCTACCATTGTTTAAATCTGAATACTTGTTCCAAACAAAAGACACGTCAATTACGTCATGTCCAAAATGAAAGGAATGACAATTTCATAAGCAATAGAAAATCGATGAAAATAACATGAGAACCATATAACTCAGTTTAGCGGAATAGCGTTTACATAATTTTCTTTATGTATTACCAAGATATTTTTGATGAAAATGTAAATTTTGTGTACCTTAGATAAATCAATCTTAGCACTTCGATCTTTATGAAGCTGACTGTACAGAATCAACATTAATTAAAATTGATTCACTTTTATGTTAGTCACCATTTAAATGCTTGAATTATGATATCCCATAGCACTTAGTGGATAAATTAAACATATATATTATTTAATAACAAGTCGTTAAATCACAATTCAGGAGCCTTAATTTAAAATCGAAAAAAAAACACCGATGATATGAGCATTTTGCTCTTGTCGAACTAAGTGCTATTTTTCTTCCTTTCATGTGTGCTCTCAGTATTATGTGTTCGACGATAAAAGTTTTAACAGAAAATCCGATACTTTTCCATAAAATTTGTATACGTTTGAATTTGTTCAAAAACTGGGCTAATTCGATACACGTATTATCATTAATTTCAGAGCAGTTTTCTCATATCAATCATAGTGAATCAAGAAAAAAAATCTTCTTACGCCCACATTTAATATAAACAAGAAAATCAATTTTGCGTTGCTGCTTCACGTAAATTTTCTAATATTCCCTGTTCTATTTGTACAAAAACTTTTCACGGTAAACCTAACAACCGACTGATGTTTCCAACATTTCTGTCGAGTGCTTTTCCAAGTCCTCGTATTTTCCCACGTATCTGTAGAACGTGCCTCTTATAAGGAAAACTTTGTGAATTTTGTGTATTTCAACAGATACAGTTTTATACACCGAGTCCGTGTATGATTACTTATTGCGTCATAAAAGATTTATAGCATTAAAAATTCTCTGATCAGTGGACTGACGTACAACCCAATCGCATTATCTTATATATAAAATTCTCGTGTCACAATGTTAGTTACCAGACTCCTCCGAAACGGCCTGACCGATTTTTGTGAAAGTTTATATGCATATTCCGTGGGTCTGAGAATCGGCTACTATCTATTTTTCATATTCTTAAGTGATAATGGTTGTCTGTTGGTTGTGGTAACGTAGTGTTCTGAAACCTACAATGCGCCTTCGCGCCAAAATTCAAACTATTGGGTATTGTAACGTAGTGTTCTCATATGGGTTAGGAGGAATGTTATCCAAGGAAATTGATAGAACACTATGTTGCATACCCCTAAAATATTTTTTGGACATTATTTATTTTTTTATAATGTGGTATTAAAAAATACATACAACCCTAAATTTTCTCTTCTACCACCTGCCACCATTTTTATGGCGGTACGAAGTTCCCTGGGTCGGATAGTTATTTATATAACTTTCATTGCATCGGTACAAAAAGACTTTTCTAGTAATTAATATAATTAGTATAATGAGACTATTTTCTACGAATACGTATGCTGTTGATCGCGAATGACTCTTACAGACCTTCACTGTACTTGTATACAAAATTTTGTTCAGTATTTAAAAAAGCGAAAAATTAGTGTGCACAGACCACACATCTAAAATGAAACTCCTTTTCTTAAATAACCTAACATTAAGCAGTGCAGAAGGCATAGTCGTGTGTGACGCTCGTTTCATTTTTTGCCAAGTTACCCTCCAACTTTCATGCTCGTCAGAAAGAGATTTTCACGCAACCCACACACACATACGCTCATGCCGCATTTACGTTTCATCTTTTCCATTGGATTTTTCCATTCACACTCCGTCCGAATAGAGGTTTCACTTGAAAACCGAAAATTTGTTCAGTGATAGCGAAATTGACTTATTTGTATAATGTGCTTAGGGGGCGCGTTCAAGTACACGTAACGCAAATTTTGAAGATTTTTGACATGCCCCCCCTCCCCCCCCATGTAACGCGCTTTAATGATTTCCTGCCCCCCCCCCTCCCCCCATCAACGTTACGTAACACCCAACTGACCATTTGTTTTCACAATTATGTTGCGCAAACTACCTAAAAGTCGCTAAATTACTTTTGTTATTCTTTTAATCGTGTTTGCGGTAGTAATTAATAATTAAAACAATCGATTTGTAATTCGCAATACAGATTTTAATACCCTATTCTTTTTTATTTAAATTAAAAATAACGTTACGCAACGCGTCGATCGAACCCCCTGCCGCCCCTGTAAAGCATCGTAACCTTGTACAAGACCCCCCATCCCCCCAAATTGCGTTACGTAATACTTGAACGCCCCCTTAATTACTATCACACCAAGCGATTCTCGAACTCTCTAACACAATTCGGCTGTATGATTCTTTTTTGTATGTGTATGTGAGTTACGCATTTTTTTTGGAAACGTATTTAAATGGCGATAAATGACATATTCAGGGAAAACAAAAAAAGTGAGTGGGTATTCCTTAAAGTTAAAAATATTGAACCAACCTAAGTACTTATTAACGCCCAATATATTTAGTATCCTTAAGTACCAATATATGATATCGACGCAGTATATGACCCTGCCGACGTCCATCGAGCTGGTGCGCAGCCTCAGGGTCAGCCCCACCAGGAAGAATATGATGAACCCAGCGTCATACGTGTTCCACATATTCCAAGCCCACACACTGAACTTATGTCTGGAAAAAAGAAACAGAAATCACTTTTTGAAGTCTATTATCGAGTTATTCTCTTCTGTTCCCCTGTAACCGATCTACTAAATTTTTTATGGCCTGGATCCTCTATTCACCACATAAAATAAAAAATTAAACGAGTCGCCCAGGGGATCAGATGGCCCGGGGGCGTCCCGGTGAAATGGCGCACACACAGGTGCACGGTACGGTCCGTCAAGGGATTTCTCATCGTAAAAAGAAAACAGGGATCAGATAGTATTTTTGATGTGTAACATCCTCCCCTCTCCTCTCGGTTTCCTGCAATTTGTGGGAGAGATTTCGTGAAATGGGACGGATGTGTGTAACAGGAAGTCGCGAAAGCGCGCACTATTTGATTTGATTTTAGAACATAATGTTCAAATGGCTTATTCCTTTTGTAGTAGGTTTTATTTCTTTTTTTACTAATATAAGGTGAGGTTTCAAATGTTACACATTGTACGCGACTACTGTAAGGCTCGCTGGTTTTTTTTTAATAATTAAAAGAGTAGCAAATAATCATATGGCCCTTCTGATGGTAAGCGGCCGCCATAGCCTTTTAACGCTTCTGATATATATAAAAAAATCACTAGCGCCGTTGCCTTCCCTGACCAAATCCCCTACCCCGTGGAGCCCTGGAACTTTACTAAGCGACAGAAACAATGATTATGTATTATGATGTTAATTTACTGTGGTCTTTAGTAACGTCCTCCACGTTACTAAAGACCACAGTAACTTTACTGCCCCAGACGGGCGCTCCAATCCAAGCGGATAATCCGCTATGCTCTATCTCTCTTATCGAGTTATTCTCTTCTGATCCTCTGCAATCGATCTACCAACAATTTTTAATCCCAAGATATTTCTTATTTACCCCTTTTAATATAAAATAAAAAGAGTCCCTCAGGGGATCAGATGGTAGTATAACAACTCCCATTATCATATGTATATGTCAAGTGTTTGAGGATCAAATACGGAAGTATATCGATTCTTAATTGACGCCGCCGTTAATTTCCACATCTTACGAAATAATAATTCTGAAATGAGGAGTATCTTGTCAACTTAAAGTAAAAAGCCAACGTGGAAGACAAGATTTGTGAAATATAGCTCGGATCTTTTTTTTTGCTGAAGATTTCCTTTATTGAGATATTACTGAAGATTTGAAAACTTAGGACAGTAGTCATCCAAGAAACCATCATTATAATTAATATGTAGTCAAAACTTCATTTCTAAAGTTACGTAGGTTAAAGTGACGTTTCAAAAGCCGGCCTTTAATAGTTCCTGCTTAACATGCAGTGCAGAGGGACAGTGCACTTAACATACAGAACTTAAGTAAGTTAAGAAAGTACTTTAGCTCCACTCGGCAAATGTAGCTCGTTCTTCTTAAGTAGGTATGTATGTTAATACAGGCTTACTTAAGCGAAATTTTAAGTCCTTTTCTAAGTCTTCGAACTAAGAATATAAACAAGTTTAAGTTATAATAAATATAGGAATGTGTAGCTTCGTAAATAGGAAAATAAAAATAATCCTTTAAAGAACTTTTGTCGTCGTCACGTCACTATGTGTCCGAAGTACAAAAGAATAAGTGTTGCCACACACGGGCCACACGCCACAGCCACAAACACCGCCACGAGAAGCTAGAAGCGGCTACTAAAGTGGCAGAATCGCGCGACAGCGGCCGACTAAGCTAAGGGAGAGAGGGGTGGGGAATCGCGCGAGTGACTTGTGGCGGCGTTTTGTATCGGCGCATTAAGTGGCCGGTGCGGGCCACAAGAAGCGAGCAACGATGATTTGTAGCGTGTGGCGGCTACCGGCGTACCGTGTGTGGCGAGTCCATATAAAATGTATGAAAACTACAAGAAATATGCCGGTGGCGGCGTTTTGTGGTTGTGGTCGGTGGCCCGTGTGCGGCGACACTAAGCTGTCATCTGGGTAGGGTGGGGTAATTTGCTGACCCTAGTAAATCTTATGACTACGTAATAAAAGTATTTCCGATACATTATGACTCACCTAATAGCAACAGGTTCGGACGTAATGATTTCCCTTATCTTCTCACATAAGAAAGTTATTATATAGCATATAGAATATATCTCTGGCCACGACGGTGTCGGGTCCATCTTTACTAATACTGTATACGTAAACATCAATAGGAACAATATATAGGCAATCTGAAACAGAATAAAACGTGTTTGAGCTTATTCTAATAAAATTTACTTTAGTTTTTATAAATCTAGCAGTTTAATGCTTAAAATATTATAATTTAATTTAAACAATCTATCCATTTTCGCTTAAGAGCCCTTTTACAAAATTGCGCAGGTGCCGTACTGATAGGCTCGAATGTAGATTTGCACTAGTAATATTGCATTTTACGGGTGATGTTTGGAGTCTTATAAAATAATTATTAATGAACTAATTATAAAAATATATACATATTTCAGTAGTTCAATGATGGTAGATTAGTTTTATGAAAGTTTTTGATAGTAATTCTATTTAATTCAATATCAAAATACGCGGTAAATCTGCATTACTTTTTTGTGAAAACTCACGGAGGTTAGGTGTTTCGTTGATAAAATTAATGAGATAGAAAATCCAAATTATAATACATTATGTTACAACAAAAACACATTTCTGATATCGTAGTAATTAATTTAATCTAATTTATTGAACATTATTTAGAGATTCAGGCGTTTGAAGTTGTGCATATTATCGTATTTTCCGTAAACTAGCTGCGGTAGAACGATCAGTACAAAAAAAGGAAAATAGTATTTGCAAATATTCTAAATTAACTTACAATAGAAAGAATAAATCTACTGTTTACTTCTATTGGAAATAATTAAAATCTTTTCTAATGGTGTAAACGAGGCGCTCAAAAATTTCATTTTATTGCAAAAAATGTGAAAGGGCTCTTAACGCGAGCAATGGGACACAGAATGCAACACGTACTAACTTTGTTAAGGTGCAACTATTATTGTTTAATTATAATAACATAATAGCTTTAGTTGAAGTACAATAATGTGCATGTGGGGGTCTTCTCCCACAGGTATTATTTTTCTTAAAAGAGGGCACACATAAGATAAATTGCAATTTCTACAGTGTTAAAGAAATAAATTATATACATTTTTATTTTTTTTTAATGGGAAAATCGGTATATATTGAAATAAGCGTTTATCGCATAAAAATGGCATATAGCCGCACCGACTTCTTTGACCATTAGATTTTATAATGCAATTGTATATAAATCGCGGCACGAAACTCTAGTGCTGACCGTTACTGCGCAGAAGTAAAAATTAAGATGTCTTGGGGGGAAAAGAGGTGCGCGGGAGGGAGTGCGTTGCGTCTATTGGCTCTTCAGTCGTATCCATGCGCAGCTATCCCCTCCGCGTTTTGTTCAGCGCTAGAGTTACGTGGCGCAACCTGTATCCCGACAAATTTCTTGAGCCACGATCATAGACAAGGAAGCCTGCACAGTAGCAATTTCACCTACAAAAACGTCTACTGCGCAAGTTTACTTCTCTGTGGTTTTGCTCAAGAAGTTTGTCGCTACTTGTAGCAAACCTTATTTTTGCAAAAATAAAAAGCTTTTAACGGCAATTTGCGTGTTACCTCGACGAAATATTAATTATGTTTAATAGGGTCAATTAAATAAAGAAATTGTAAATTTCAGTACTTTAAATTTATATGGGACCAACGATAATAAGGTTGTTTATACCTATAACTTAAAATTATCCTAAATAAACTAGTTTTCCAGGGCCATTCTTTCATTATTAAAAACCTATATGTGAAGACTTTCATGATCATATTCGGAAAAATGCAAAAGATTTCCGACTTTTTATAGTAAATATTTTTTATGTGTTACATGTTAACCTCAATGAGTCCTGACGGGGTAAAGGAGAGAAAAAAAAAATAAGTACAAAAGTCATCATACATGTTTTCGGCAATTATTGCTTTGCTGCATCCTTTTTGCGATAATTGTAGATTCGTGGTGAAAAATAATACAGCTCACTTGATAATTCAAGTAAAAATTAAAACTTTTTTAGAGGCGGGAACAGTAGAACCTTCTATTCGTGTCATTATTATTTGAAAATGGAACACGCAAAAGGATTGTTACAAATATTAGAAAGTGTATCGCTTGATTTTAACTTTTAAGTTGGCAACATAGAATGAAAATTGGTCAAAATAAAGAGACACGACATCAAACTACGGACATCGGCCAAATCATATTTGGATCAAAGTTGAACGTCTAGAATAGATATTTTTACTAATATTATTTATTAAATATAAATAGTTTTTACAAATTGTAATTGAAACAAATAAAAGCCATTCATCCCAACTTGTCCTTTTTGGTAAACAATCTTGGCACTTCTTTTTATTGAAAATACAGCATTAAAAATCAACTAATAACTGGATTCAATGGGTTTCAGACTATAATAACGATTTATTGTAATAGATTATTGACTTTGTTATTATTTTATATTAAAATTATTGATATTGTTAAAAAGTTGTGCCAAGATTGTTTAACAAATAGGCAAGCAAATAGGACAAGTTAGAAGATTGTTTTTTTTTTAAATTCTACCTTTTCTGGGTAGGCAAAGGGAACAATGCCCATAAAGCCAAGTCTTGGTTTTGTTAATCTTCGTTTTTTTACGTTAGAATGTCAGTGTGGCTCATTCTAATGTTTCTTGGAGGGTTTGACACGAAATGTATCGAGTTGGCTTTTCAGGTAAGCTTCTGTGAGGTAGTCAACACTACAATAAAATTCTCACGTCCACTTGACCGGAATAGCGTATATTTTAAAGGTTCCACTAATTCTTCAGTTGCGCAGACAGTTGCAACATAAAATCACACCAATTTTATTTCACAATATCCACTGTGAACGAATTTAACAATAATTAAAATAAGACGCCAACCGCACTCGATGAAATCAAATGGCTTCGCTTCTACTACATTTTGTATTTATCTGTGATATTGTTATATTTGTTATGATTTCTGTGCAAAAAACCAATTTCTGTAATGAAAAAATGTAATACAGATATACGTAATAAAAATGTCAAAATAACATAACCATTAAATGATCAGAGCAAAATATCTTTTTTCCTCGGCTTTCTTTCGTCGTGATTCTAACATATATAAGCTCAATAAATTACGCAGAATCTAATGATATATCATTTGTTGAAAGACGCAACAATTTAATTTGAAATAAAAAGATGTATGGGAGTTGACCGATGTCCTTTATGTCAATTTTAGGGGTAATGGTTATTAATGACAGACTCAGTAAACAAAAATAACAATTGAATTATATTCATCAATTTTAATAATAACGTCGGAATAAGCCGGTTTTGTACGGCTGATAATGATATCAGCCACCCATTAGGGTATGGCTAATATAATATAATGATGATGAACCAGTATTACCAAGTTGCTGTTACAGTTCCAGATATTTATCTGATAAATATGTATAGGTTGCTGCTATGTGCTGCTTGATATTCCAAAAATTTCTGTTCAAGACCAGTGAAACGTACAGATATTTTAAGATAATAAGTTCGAAATAGGCTATCAGAGAGTCGGGAGGATCCACTGGATGCGGGAAGCACAGGACCGTTGCATATGGAAATCCCTTGAGCGACCTATGTCCAACAGAGCGGATGTCCATTGGCTGATCATGATGTTGATGATGGAAAATTTATAGATCAGAGGAGCTAAATAAAATACGGAATCACAGTGACGATGACGAATGATACTTATATTCTGTGAAATATATTTTTATTAGGAAGCTGATACGACTGACTCCCTAGCACAGCAGAATACAAAGTGAAAAAAGTTTATAAGTGAACTGAATGCGTGAATGATCGAATGAGTGGGGGTTGAACGAACAAATGAAGTATTTGAGTTAAGACTGAATGCACAAGTATACTTTGGCATTACCTAGTCATGTTACTTTCTTTTTATTACAAAAGGAATACAAATTTTATTATAATATATATAGATTATTTTTTGCTAATTTAAATTCAATATAAATTCAACAGATGTGGCTATCAAATATTTCGAAGTTCAGTAAAGACCGCGCTGATGCAGCTAGTATGAATGGCTTAACGTACCTTCCATAGCACGAATTGTGAGCGGCCATAGTGAACGTTACATATCATCTTTCATTACCGTAGACCGAATATGCTTATCACGTTGCTATCGAGCTACTCCAAACATGCTCTCATTATAGTGTAAGACATATTTCACATTCACAAGTACTTGCTCATTATCTATATTAGTTATTATGAGTTACCTCATATTGAAGTCATTTTTCAATTTGACGACTCTGTATATAATACAGGGAGAAATAAACAGCCCTTGCTGAGTTTCTTGCCGGTTCTTCTCAGTACAAGGTCTCCCGCCGTAAATTTGCGAACCGATGGCGTAGCTTTTCGACATTCACAAGTGCTTGTAACAGCCTAGACTGAATAAACGATATTGAATTTTGAATTTTTTGAATTTTATAATTAACGTTAATAAGTCTTGATAAGTACGTAGGTATATGAAAACTTTTTAGTGCTACCTTACATCAGTAGGTGTAATTTGTTTCCATTATTTTCCGTCATCTCCCTAGGGGCTCGCGTGGGTCGCTCTGAAAGCAACCCGAAAACAGAATTAGTTTCCAATGTAAAAAATACTTACAACGTACCGACGCGACGATTACCGAAAACTCATTTCCGTTGAAATAATTTCTGAAGTGTTTATGAATAATTTACGTAATCTACTTTAGAATTATTATAATTTAGATGTTCAACGATAAAGGTGTATGATTTAGAAAGTTAGGTAAAATTTTTTACGTGCTTTAATATTATATATAACGAGAGTTTACATGAAAAAAATTTGTCAATGTTGGTAAAAATTATTGAATTTTGACTTGCCTTTATAAATACGTGAATTTATTCTAAGTGATCCTCTGAATTGTTTTGTGGACAAGAAAGGAAGGGAAAACAGGTAATAGGCCGTTAATTGCCTTTATATATAATAGACAAGAAACATTTCAACTAAGTAATCTCGAATATTATCGTGGATGATGGGCTTGTTAACCTTTCCACTCTTGTTGGTTCTATGACAACAAATAAGACCCAAGCGCCGAGTGGTGCCAAATGTAAGGAAAGTATTTATACAGGTTGTTTGGAAGATGAGT